ATATAGATGTACATTTAGCTTCAACTTCTCCATTGTTCCTTCTCCAAGTACTTCTGTCTTTAACCCAAAAAAAAAAAGAGTACTTTCATCCTCATAATTTTTTTTTGCTTTCTCTTACAACAATATACTCTTGTTATTATTACTGGTTCGTACGTTGTTCATTGTTTGACAAGGAAAAAAAAGTACATCCACCCAAAAAAATGGAGTTGATGAATTTGGCATCAAAAGAAACAAGCTATTGGATGATCGCACTGCCTGCCGTTTTTGGATCCCAAAACCTACATGATGTTTCCATCATCGGCTATCTCTTCCTCGCCGTCGTTTCTCTCTCTATACTCACGTGGGCTCTTGCCGGAGGCGGTGGTGTCGCTTGGAAGAACGGCCGTAACCGGTTGGGTCGTGTTGCGATCCCGGGTCCTCGGGGAATACCAGTATTCGGCAGTCTTTTCACTCTCAGCCGTGGCTTGGCCCATCGGACTTTAGCCGCCATGGCTTGGAGCCGAGCCAACATTGAGATTATGGCTTTCAGCCTCGGTTCTACGCCGGTTATCGTGGCTTCTGAGCCAAACACAGCTCGCGAGATTCTGATGTCGCCTCACTTCGCGGACCGGCCGGTTAAGCAGTCTGCTAAGAGCCTCATGTTCAGCCGAGCCATAGGATTCGCCCCAAACGGGGCTTACTGGCGCACGTTAAGAAGGATCGCATCGACTCATCTATTCGCTCCTCGGCGTATCTTAGCACATGAAGCTGGACGCCACCTAGACTGCGCTGAAATGGTGAAAGCTGTGTCAGCGGAGCAAAACGGCGCTGGATCAGTCGTTTTAAGGAAACACTTGCAACTAGCCGCCTTGAACAACATCATGGGGAGTGTTTTTGGGAGAAGATACGATCCTCTGGCTCAGAAAGAGGATCTTGATGAGCTTACATCAATGGTCAGGGAAGGGTTCGAGCTTTTAGGTGCTTTTAATTGGTCCGATTATCTTCCATGGCTCGGTTATTTCTATGACTCGATTCGCTTAAACCAACGTTGCTCAGATCTCGTTCCTCGAATTAGAACCCTCGTCAAGAAAATCATCGACGAACACCGAGTTAGTAACTCTGAGAAGAAAAGAGACATTGGAGATTTCGTTGATGTCTTATTGTCTTTAGACGGTGATGAGAAGCTTCGAGAAGATGACATGATCGCCGTTTTATGGGTAAGTTCGTATGAAATTGAAATAATACTAGTCCCATTAAATTTAACGGTATATTTGTAACGGTCTAGTTGTAATGTTTTTTTTTTTTTTTGCATTTATTGGTTCTAATTTTTTTTTCTTTTTTTTAATGTCAATATAGGAGATGATTTTTCGAGGGACAGATACAACGGCATTATTAACGGAGTGGACCATGGCTGAGCTAGTACTGAACCCTAACGTGCAAACCAAGTTACGAGACGAGATCGTAACCGCTGTGAGCGACGGAGACGTGGCAGATGCTGACCTGGCAAAACTCCCGTACCTGAGCGCAGTGGTGAAGGAAACTCTAAGGCTGCATCCTCCTGGACCACTGCTTTCATGGGCTCGTCTTTCCACATCAGACGTCCAGCTCAACAATGGCATGGTAGTTCCAAAGGGAACTACGGCGATGGTCAACATGTGGGCTATAACTCACGACCAGACGGTATGGTCCGACCCGCTAAAGTTCGACCCGGAGAGGTTCACTGGGAATGCTGACGTAGATATTCGTGGTGGGGATCTAAGGCTTGCGCCGTTTGGAGCCGGTAGGAGGGTGTGTCCGGGGAAGAACATGGGGTTAGCTACTGTGACTCGGTGGGTGGCTGAGTTGGTGCGACTGTTCGAGTGGGGTCAGGATCAGACCGAGCCAGTTGATCTTGGTGAGGTCTTGAAGCTTTCTTGTGAGATGGAGCATCCGTTACGTGCTGTTGTAACGGAATTATTTTAAGTCAAAAAGGGCTAAGTAGGGTTTTGACCTTTGTCAACGTTTTCTTTTTCTTATATTTCTATTTTAACGCTTTTTTTTTGGTCGAGAGGTATGAATTGCAGATTGCTTGCCGTTTTAGTATTTTATCGAGAGAGAGAGTGTGCTTTTTTTTTTCAATTATTATTAGTTGATATAGTGATTCGGTTTGATATATGTAGTATCGATCAATGTACCATTATATTTAGTGGGTCTAAAATGAATGGAGTAATGACTAAGAGGAAATTTTGGTCTTTTGTTCTTGCTATGATTTTGTCTACGTACTTTGATTTACATATTTCTAGAAATATCGTAATATTTGCACTTGTTTTCTTGCGAAAATGAGATATTTTCGAACCAATATAGAAACAAATCGGGTGGAAGTGGGACGTGGACAAAACAGTGAGATGGTTATTCTATAATTATAAATTGGACGATCTAAATTCAATTTGGTGCATCTGCTCGGTAATTTCTATCCAAAGATATGTTGTCATTTTGTAATAATTGAGTAGAATGAGGCAATAAAAATAATATCATGAACTCATTGATGTATATATAAAATTAGTGTATATTTTTTTGAAATTTGTGTTGTCATGCCATATATATCTTTACAACAATTTTGTTTCTCAAACCCGTTGTTATGGCTAAATTATCATCTTTTCAACCTTTATTTAAAACCATTGAACACAGCACATAGAACAAGAGCAGTGGCATCACACTCTAATTCAGGGATGGCACTACACACACACACTATTTTGGAGTGTTTGTTCTGTCGGTAGAAAAATCATTTGGAAGTCAAAATCAGTGAACTGATTTAACTCTGTCATGCTAAGACAAAATCTGTTAACTTTGCAGTCTTTGCTGGACAAAAATAAATAGGCTCTTAGTAAGCTATGATGATGGCGAAGGATTCCAAAGACGGTGACGTTGCGTAGTTTTCTCTAATGAATAGATATTTTACATGGCATAATATTTTGGTAATAGATTTGTTGTCAAGTAGAATTCAGAAATCCACAAAAACATAGCTTAATAACACAAATTCACAATATGAAATTTTAATATATTTTTTTTTGTGAAAGTTTAAATACGTTAACTTATTTCAAAATTTTAATCTCTCTTGAATTTTTTTTTTTTAAAAAAAAAATACATACAGATATTATATATATCTTGATTTGACAATATTGTATTCTGAATACAAATCTAGTTTTTAGATTTTTATGGTATAAGAATCAACTGATCATGTGGTGTCTAGAGAAGACTTTTACATTTGGAAGTTCAACAAGTCTGGAGATTTTTCGGTAAAATCTGCTTATTGGCTGTTTTCTCAGGATTTGGAGTCTGAGGTTTCTCTCCGGGCTGCTGCTCTTCCATCTACTAATGACCTGAAAAGTTTGATCTGGAAAATCCCTACTGATCCAAAAATCCAGATTTTCCTATGGAAAGTTGTCTCGGGTTGTTAACCTGTTGCAAAGGCTTTTAATGGTAGAGGCATGAGTATGGACCCTATTTGTCAAGTTTGTGGAGAGAATGAAGAATGCAGTAACCACACTCTGTTCTCTTGCACTTTTGCAAGACAAGTATGGGCACTTTCTGATTTCCCTAGTCCTCTTTTTGGGTTTGATCATGGGGCTGTTTTCTCTAATATCCACCATATGTTGGTGAATAGAAATAACAAAGACTGGCCTGAGGATATTAGAAAGAGTTTCCCTTGGATTTTATGGAGGTTGTGGTTAAATAGGAACTCGTTGGTGTTTGAAGGTAAAGTGTGGTCTGCTCTGGATTTGGTGATGAAAATCAGAGAAGATGTATTTGAGTGGACTGAAGCTCAAATTGTTGAGCCGGAGAAAGAGATTTTGGTGAATGATGAAGTCATTTCTCATGTTATTCCGGCTGGGGAGAGGGATAAGAGGAAGTGGATTCCTCCTGCTCCTGATTAGCTAAAGTGCAATGTGGGTTCTTCTTGGTCTAAGTCTACTAAGCTTGCTGGGGCAGCATTGGTTGTAAGAGATAGTGAGGGGCTGGTTCTAATACATGGAAGAAGATCTTTTACTAATGTTAAGGACAATTTTGAGGCAGCCTTTTTGTCTCTTCTTTGGGGAGTGGAATGTATGAAAAGCCACAGATTTTTCAGATTTTTGTTTGCAATTCAGAACCCAACTCTTGTCGAGGTTGTAAACAGACCAAAGGCTTGGCCCTCTTTTTGGTTTCAGTCTCAGGAGATCCGTCGACTCGTGGAGTCTGGTTTGGAGTGGAGTTTGGTTGTGGAAGCCAAATCTGCGAACAGAGGAGCTTCTCTCATTGCACAGAGTGTCACCAATGATCTAAGGCTGCATATTTACGTTGCAGTAGGTTATCCCTCTTGGCTTTTTGGGGTTTTTGTAGATGAGAGATCCTTTTCCTCTGTTAGATTTTCAGGTGCTGATTGCTGGTTAGCTTTTTGGTAAAGCTCATTCTTTTGTTTAGACCTTTCTTTCTTTGAAAGGGTCTTAGTGTAGCTTTTAGTGGTTCGGTTGTATCACTTGCAGGTTGGGAGTGGTTCTTTTTGTTTAACCAGTTGTATTCTTGTCCTTTTATATAAAATCAGATGTTCAAAAAAAAAAAGAATCAACTGATCCAAATGAATGTGAAACGAGCTAAAAAAAAAAGTTTAGACCTAAACAACTGTATCTAAACTATTTCAACCGTCAGTGTCATATTTTTATCTTGTTAGTTACATGATTAAATTAAAGTAAATATGATTATTGCTTAAAAGTATAAGTGGTAAACTTGTCCATAAGCTAAAGAAAAGGCACACCAGTTAACAAAAAATTACGACATCCTAATCAAATCTGAACAATCTGTTTTGAAGTACTCTATACTAGTTATCCCTCGGAAAATCATAACGAACATGGCCAGATATATTAATTCACATGATGTCTACAAGTCCTCGGGAGATAAAGTTATAAGGTTAAGAAAAAAAAAGAAAAAAGAGTGAGAGAAAACAGAGAAGTAAAGTGGAGGTGGAGAAGTCATAGGTTTCGTCGCAGAGAGTCTGATCATATAAATTAAAAACACCGAAACCTGTGCATGGAGTCGTATCTCTGAAACTTGGCTCGTGTCTTTGTCTCTTCACTATTCATTTTCAGACACTGACTTCTCACTGCTTTTAATTTAGTGGCTGGGGGTAGCCGACAATCATTCAGGTGACATTGACCCATCCCTCTTATTTAATTATCCTTTTCCTTTATGTGTATATTTCTATGTCGAATGGCTTTATAAATATTTAATACACAACTAAGACAGCAAGTTGATATGGCCGAGTTGGTCTAAGGCGCCAGATTAAGGTTCTGGTCCGAAAGGGCGTGGGTTCAAATCCCACTGTCAACATTACATTTTTAGTTTTTTTTTTCGGGCATAACGATAAGTTCGGCCCCGATTTAATTGACTATTAGGCCCAATAATCCTAAAGTCTGCACATGTCCACGAGAAATCAAACAAACCAATTTCAAGAAAATCTTGCAGCCTATCCATCAAGAAACCAATGATGTTTTCTTTTTGTACGAGTTTTTTTTTGGGCAAATTTTTTTTATAATCTCACCGGATCGGGATCAGTCCAGTAGACCAAAAATGGATCTTGTTTCTGATCGGATATATGATTTTCTTTTTAATCATCAAGCCGAGTTGTACGTGTTTTTTAGTCATTTCGGCCAACATGATTATTATGTGTGATCTCTTTTTTGCGCTAGGATTTTTTTTTTTTGCAGAAAGACCCTTTGTTGTTACTTAGTGCGTGAACATTGTTCACTTTTTGGAAGGCTTATCCCCAAAGATTGAATTATTATTAATAAAAGCCATCACACTTGCTTTGCTTGTGCTGAGTTCAACATAGCAATCTATGTATGTTGATGAATTGAAAACTCAAGAAAGTCACCAATAATGCATTGAAAAAGTTTTAGAAATCTGAGAATAGTGAAGAAATGTTCAAAAGCTTACGAAAATAGTAAAATGGACCGACCGACAACTAATACCGAGTTTTAGAGGTGGGAATGGAATATTTCTTGTGAAAATGTTATAAAAAGGACATTCGAAGACATTCGAGACAAAAGTATCATCTCACTACTCAAATATAGATTTGATATACGACAATTAGAGTGTGAGATCTCAATGGAGGAAGAGAGACGAAATGAAGAAGAAAGTTCTCATATTTGTATCCCTTTTCAATTCTTGAACGAAGCTCTCAAGACCTTCCTAAAGTGTATTGGTCTCCATCTCTCCCCTTCTCCTTCGATTTCCTCGGCATCTTCGGTAATCATTTGTTAGAAACCCATCGAGAAAGAAAGTTAAATATATAGAAGATCTATATTATGCATTTGATATCAATTACATTCACATGTATATTAATAAGCATGTCTTTCATATGTTCGGTTTCGATATTCAGATATTTCATGTTTAGACTTTTTTGTAAAAAATATTTTAAAACTAACTTTACATATCTTCTAATAAAAGAATATCAAAGCAAAACGGATTTGATTTCAAGGTTTTTTCAAAAAGAATCTCTTCGTAAGTTGGGTTGGTTTCATATTGATTTGGCCAAACTGGACGTTAATTCCCACTTGGGAAATAATTAATAAGATGAGCTTTAATTTTAACTACAACTACAAGTTTACAAACGCAGGAGGAGGCTACACACGACGTTGTGTCAGCAAGGGGTGGCATGATAGTCAAATCGAAGAAAACGCTACCTAGCTCCGGAAAGCCAGGCCGCCGCAACTAAGGAATTGATTGGTTTTCTAGCAGTCAGGGCCGCCGCAGAGGGCAAGCCACCGAAGCCACCGATTAGGGCCTCAAAATTTGAGGGCCTTTTTACCTAAAAATTTGTTAAGTTTTCTTATATACAATAATTTTTGTAGGGCCTTTAAAAAATATTGTTGGCTTTTAGAGACAACTACAACATTTTTTTTAATGGTAAAAATCTAATTTTAAAAAAATTTTTTTTATGGCTTTAATTTTGCTTAAGGCACCCAAATTTACCGGGCCGGCACTGCTAGCAGTCGCCAGTATACGATATGGTTGGAGATTATTGTGGTTACGCGTACTTGACGTTAGTCATTTCATGATAGCATCTCATATTGTTCTAAATAAGAAGTTTTTTTTTTCAATTGTTTGCGGTAACGAAAATTTTTTTTTGGTAAAAGGGTTTTTTTTTTTGCCGTCTACATTTATTATTAATTGCAAATTATGAGAACTATTACATAGACGATTCTACAACTGACAATTTCTGCCGACCCTTAGTAGATCCACGACAGACTACACTTCCTTCTTCATGATCTTGATGAATACCTTCAATGATCCACGACCTAGCGACACTTCCTTCACTGCGTAGAATCCTGGCGCACGGCTATAATTGTACATCGCTGGAGATCTCCTGCACACTTGCCTCCATTAATCTGCAAATTTGTTAATAAATCGCAATATCTGGGATTCGAACCCCAGACTTCTTAGTGTAGAAGCATTAATCAACCCTTGGTCAACCAATGGGCAAGGGGCTTCCACGGTAAAAGGGTTTATACAAGAATAAAATTTTATAAATATATCTTAAATATGAAAATATTTTTTAACATGTTCTCTTTCAACAAGATCTAATCATCTTCTATCAAAAAATTTCATATAAATAGTAATCTATACTTGATACGTCCAATAATTAAATTAATGTCTAACTGTTACGGTAACTATTTAATTTTACACCTGTTTTTAACTGCTATATCAATCGTATAAATTGTTAATAAACCGTTTAGTAACGTTTATATACAGTTATTCACAACGTAAAACTCTTGCATATAAACCAGCCGAACTCTAAATATGTATATGCAGTGATTAACAGCTGGTTTTAGTGTGTTGACATCATTATTAGAGTATTGTATATGTTAGCTTAGCTCGTGGGTCATATATTAATCAATCATAATTACTTGGCGTTTAGAACGCATTATTCCTCTTAGCGAGACATTTCTGTCGTATCTAATTGTCATATGCTACGTACTATATATAAACATACACATCCCTAATTATTGTGTAATAATATACATTCATACACATGTGTTTGCCTATATATCTACATGCTTCTAAATATCCGTTCCTGTACAAATGATGACTCAGAAAACTGCAAAATCGTTTGATGATTATTGATTCGACCAAAAACTGAAATCAAATTATGACAATCTAACGTTATTATATCTCTTTTTTTTTTTTTATCAGTATATGGATTGTTTTCACGTATTAAGTTCGGTTTATATTATTATGATCACCACATACGTACGAGTATCTATATATCTAGCATTCAATTTCATTACCCTTTTTTACACGAGTAAAAAACAAATCACAAACGGGAAACATGCAATATAGGAATAGTAGATGATGCGAATGCGACCGATGAGCTGTTACAATCAGATTAGTATATTTAATTATCATAAATATTTTATCACAACTTAATGTAATTGCTGTAAGTTGACTAAGAAGAAATGATGAGTGATTTGAACTCTATTATATATGATGACCCAATTCTCTTGTAGTTAAAAGAAAGAAGAAAAGAAATGGAGGGAGAAGGAAGAAGAGAAGATGGAGATAATTGCTCTTATCTCTGCATCCCTTTTAACTTCATCCGCGATATCTTCCGATCGTTCTTCTGGAGTCTACCAACTCCTCCTGATAATTCTCCGGTGAGTAATATCTATATGTAATCAACAATTCCTATATGTTAATATGTATTAATACAAATTAAACTATATTTATGAAAAGTTTATGATCACGTCTACCAGCAATTGTACGTACGTAGTAATATTAGTTTTTTGTTTTGTTAATAAAAACTATTAGTCAACTCATTAACTTTATTATACTTGAATTGTCTCATTTTCCTTTTGACGTGAAATTTAATTCACAATCCTATATCATATTAAAATGATGATCAAATTGTTTAATAGTATTAGTTATTATTTGGAAAGCATATTCTGATATCTGATTGTAAGTTTGGAGTTTCTCTGAATTTTAATCGTAGACTTTAAATTTCCGTATTTACAATTTTACATACTTGTGGAATTTTGAATAATCCTTTGCTAAATGATCATGTTCTTCTTCGTGATTACTCGGATGGATACGAATACAATATTAATATATAGTAGTTGGTTCATATATGTAAAAAGAATATGGTAAATGGTTTCTTGCGCTCATTCATATAAAATCAATCATTTAAAAAATCAAATACACGTTTCGACTCCGTGGACTAACTTATGAAACTTGATCAGGAAACTAAGTCTAAACGACACGAATGTTTATTTTGTTACGGAATTATTGTCACATCTTTCTTTTCAATATGAAATTTCTAATGAAAATATGTATATATAATAATTTGTGGTGAAGATATCACAAGAAGAAGAGGAAGAGACAGATGTTGTGAATGTGACTTCAAGGAGTGTGGTGTCGGGGAACGTTGCAGCGCGAAGGAGTAAGCAGCAAACGAGTTCCGGGAAGCGTGGAGGTACCAACAAGGCACCTTCCTAGACTCCTAGTTTTAGCTTCCACAAGTCTTCATTTCAATAAAAAGTCAACTTCAACATCAAGTAATTAATAATATAAATATGTTCGGAAAAAATCCTTTACATTTCTTCTCAAACTTAATGTATATTGTTATAAGGATGTTTTCTTTTGTGTGAATTATGTGATTCTTGACTGTTCGTAAGTTCTTTAAGTCATTCATTTCATATTCTTGTGCCCAATCTTATGGCAGTTTAAGATTGTGAATTCTGAACTACATATCTTGGCGAAGGTGAATAAAAAGTTTCACAAATGGGCACAAGAATATGAAAAACACAATGATTTACTGATCAATAGTTACATATCAGTAAAACAACTTTTATTATTTAAACAATCAATAATAAAAGTTGGTTTACTGATATGTAACTATTGTAGAGTGGGTCATTCGTACGCAAACCAAAATATTCCCTTTATCTGTTCCAAAATGAAACTAAACGCCAAGGGTTTTGTGGGTTTGAACAGTTGGCCACTGATCTCTGCATCTGAAATTCAAACTCCACATTTTCCATTGTATATTCATGATTGTTTTTCTTTTGTCAAAGTTGTATATGAATTTATGATAAAAACAATTTAGCCAAAAAATGAAACTAAACACTCTACAAAGCAGCAAAAAGATATCTTTGAGATAATAATTAATTTAAAAAAAAAAAAGATTTTATCCGCTACCTTTAAATTTTTATGTCTTGATTTCTATAGTAGTTTTTTTGATATTTCCCAAAAAAACGAAAGAATGTCTTTTATACTAAAATAAATTGAAACAAAAAAACTTACAGTTTAATATTATTTCAAATTAATTTAAAATATTTGATTGAATAAATTGATAAAACTTCTCACAGCTAGTTTATATATAGACGAAAGATTAAATAACAGAAAATTAAGACTTTCATCGATCATCGGCCTTCAAAAACCAATTGATCTGGTCAACCTTATTGTAAGTAGAGCACAGAGCACATGTGTATATAATGTTGGAAAACATAAATAAATAATATTTTATACTGAAACATGCAATAACACGAAAAGACGCGCCAAATGAGCTGTTATAAATTTATAATTAGATTAATATATGTAACTACCATTTTATACAGTAATACTTGGTGAATGAGCCTATATATATTTTAAACCCAAGTCACACACTCACTCTCTCTCGCTTTCTAGCTCTCACGAAGCAGATCTTGAGGAGAAGATGGAGAGAGAAGGAGTTTCTTATTATCTATGGATCCCTTTTAGGTTCATTCACCAAACTTTCCGATCTCTTTTACTCAAGCTTCTCGGTTTGCGATCTCCTTCTGATCATAGTTTCCCGGTATGTAATTTCTGTGATAAACGAGATTTCATTTGATTAGATCTCCTTATCTTTGAACATGACATTTTTTTTTTGGTAGGAATCTTTGAACATGACATAATTCCTAGTACAAATATTTCCTCAAAATGATGAGTTTTTTACGCATCCAATTTATACCTAATTTCGTTTTCCTAGAACAGATATTGGATAGAGCAAATTTTCTTTTTCCGGTAGAGATTGTAACTCTTGACTATTGACGGAAAATTAGTTGTCAGGATTTTGAATGTGTTTTTTTTTTTGTTTTTTTGTTAACTATGAGTTGAACGATTTTATGGGTTTTAATTCAAAATCAATTACTAAGTAATAAGTGGAAATAGTAGATTAGTCCATATTTCTTACATATTAATTCTAAGCTCTATACTTCATATATGATTGCTAACACGCATTCTAAATATGATGGATTCTTTTTAGCCATTCATATCGACATAGCCTAATATATAATTAATTTTGGGTTAGTTTGTTAAGAACAATTTCGGATCGGATCTGGTTAACGTGGGTGGATTCATATCTTATATCTTAAAATTAAAACAAGACTCTAGTGATCTACATGAATTTTTGGTGGTCTAGAGAAAAAGAAAAACTTTTTATGTGAAACATAGTAAAATTTAACTTTAATTAGATGCTGCCACCTCATAGAGAAGTAGTAGATCATCTTCAATTCTTGTGCTGACACATTATCACCCCATTTAACTTTTTCATTTTTATTTATTTGTATGTTCTTTCTTAAAGATTGATAAAATTGTCTTTTTAATACGAACTTCAAATTTCTCGCAACAGAAAGAAGAGGAGGAGAAAGTTGAGGCTGTGGAAGTGTCGTCGAGGGGTCTTCCGGCGAAAAAGAATGTACTGAAGAAGTCGAGAGAAAGTTCCGGCAAGCCGGGAGGCACCAACAAGAAGCCGTTTTAGTAGTTTACAAAAAAAAAAAAAAAAAAAAGAAGCCGTTTTAGTTTTTCACTTCACCTAAATAATATTTGACGGAGAAATTCTAATTACAATTTAATATTTGTATCGTATAATTCTTGAAGATTTACGACTCCTATATTTTTCTTAAGACATAATAACAAAATACAAACGTGAATCTTAAAAATCTGACCAAAAAAAAAAAACGTGAATCTTAAAAAAATACGTCAGTTTGCTCTCTTCTGGGTTCATGCGTCTTTAGAAAAATAACAGATCAGTTTGCTCTCTTACCTAATGTATAACAAAATAAATAAATACCTTATCGTAAACAAATAGCAAATTAAATAAATTAATTGGGATAAAAAAAAAAAAAAAAACTATTTGCATGTACATTCTACATTCATGTGGTGTCTCGTTCTCCGTACATTCTACATATATATCCAAAAGAAGTTGAATGATGAGGTGGGACTTAACAGTGTTACTGTTACATAAACAAGGAAATCTATTTATTACCTTTCGCTATGTACACCTACTTTCGAATATAAACCATTAATTGAAAAATATAAATGGTTGAGATTTTAATGTTACGGAATGTAAAAATTAGAGTTTAGAGATTTACATGATTTTAAGAAAAAAAAATAATGTATAAATCGATTAGGGAAAACTTAAATGTCTTGATGCCTATCTTAGTCGAACAAAAAAGTTGAAATTTAGGACATAACTTATGGAATTGTTGGTTTTCTATAGCCTCAGCTTTTAACAAAGAAAGAGACGGCCACTCTAAAAGATGTGCAATTTTTTTAAAAAGTTGGTTCTAATTCACCGCTTTATAATCGCAGTTTAAGAAGTATGATTGAACTTTTGGTAGCAAATAAAATTTGAGGAGATTATAAGATAGAGAAGATGCAGCAAGAGAGAGATAACAAAAGAGATTGTTGCAAGCTCGTGCCTCAAACTGTCAAGGCTTTTTTCAAGTGTCTGAGATTCAGACGTTCATCTTCTTCTTCAGACATGGTGAAAGCTAAAGCAAGAAATGTAAAAACTGATCATTCTCTCTTTCCTCTGTAAATTCAAGGATTGTGTATACTTTCTTTCAGCTAAGCTACTGTTTCTTTTTTGGTGGTGCAGGAGGAGAAAGAAGAAGCTTCATCTATCGAAACTTCAACGAGGAGTCTCAACGTAATGAGGAAAGGGATACGGAAACAACCGGTTAGCTCGGGAAAACGAGGTGGAGTTAACGACTACAACATGTAACTAGAATCTTGATGTAGAATTGGATGATCTTGTTTAGTAGTCACTCTAAAAGAAACTTGCTTTGCGCCTCATGAATCATCACGATATCAATACCATAATTTCATATCAATCAAATTACACTCTTAAGCTAGAAAGACTCAAGCTAGACTCGGACTCTAAAAAAAGGGTAAGAGAAAAGTGGGATCTGATTGATCACCTTCTATGCTTCTACTGCTTAGCTCGCTTTGCAAGATAACTTGTTGCCGTTTGGGAGAAACGAGTGATTGTGGACAACAATTGCCATAACGAACGTCCTTTAACTATCCCTTCCTTTAAGCTCCTCGCTTTTCTAGCCACCATTGGTTCTGTTTCCTCTGTCTTGGTTCGATGCATCACCTCCTGCATTGAAGCTACTGATGAGGTAAAAATGGAGTTAACCGTGAAAGTCTACAGTTTGAAAAAGAGAGTTCAGAAGTGATAGCTGAACCTGGATTCATGTTTGTTAACCGCCTTAGTCTATCTTCAGCTACGCGAATAGCCCGTGTTGAGCTTTTAACACCTTGAGTGATACCTTGGCTACACAAATACTGAAAGAGTTACAAAAGAGATGTGAAGAATAGGTAATAATCATGGTGGGATGTGAGACAAACCCTAAATCACTGAGCTCCATAGTTAAGTCACTGATCTCCATTCCCGATAAACGAACAGCAGCCATTGTATCTGGTAGCTCTTCTCTGGTTACATCCAGAAGCTTTTCAAGAGACTCAGCTGCTTTCTTGAAAGCCTTTATCAACATTCCAAAGTAAACAAATGTATATACAACTCAAATCAACCTTCAAAATTTATCAAAATCTGTAAAAGCAAAATGTTGGAGAACGAACCAGAAGAGTAGGAATTGCAGCAAAGAAGAGCCACGATGCTGAAATTGCTGTCTGCAACAGAACCCATGATGATGATTGTTACAAATTGACATAAAGTCCAGATCTTTATTGAGCAATTGGAATCAAAACCTAAACCCAAGAGTCAAATCAAGCAAGTATGGGGGATGATGTTGAGGCTTACTACGCAAGCGACGACATTGAGCAAGACGAAGTGCTTCTGTGTGAATGTCCATTGAGAGAGTTGAAGAGGAGGCTGCCCCACGGACGACGTGAATTGGGAAGAGATCGATGGCTCCTGCGGATTCGAGTACAATGGAGAGGGAGAAGAAGACGCGATTGACTCTGAACCCTTTGCGTATCGTGAAATCGGAAAAGCTAGCCGGAGAGTGTCCCGTCGGCGAAAGGAGAGATTTTTATCGATGAATCCGTAATGGAGAATCGGATTCCAAAAGATTAGACGTTTGGGTGATTGTAAATTCGAGGGTGAGAACAACATTGTGAATGGTTTTAGCTCTAGTCGTCAGAAGCCATTGTTAAGCTCCGAGTCGACGATAACAATGAAAGTCATCACTTTCTCAGCTTGCAATAAAAATAAAAACAAATTGCAAGATAAGTCCTCTATTTATGCTTTAAATAATAAAATAAGGTCATTACTATTATTTAAACCAATTTGACCTCCTTTTTGCGTCATAAGTAAATCAGAACACCACCACATTGGTTTGTAATTGAAGGTCTGTGAGCTACTCAGCTATAACTACACGTAGCACCTCCCTATGCACGTATCACAACTCACACGTATGGTCTTAGACCATCCGCAGTGGTGTATCCATCCGTCGGGTGTTAGTAATTTAAAATAGATAAATATTACAAAAGGAGGAGAGAGACATAAAAAGATTCATATCTCGGGTGTTATCCTACACTCGGATGTTAGTGAGACGTGGCGTTGTTTGAGTGGAAAAGGAGGAGAGAGACAAAGAGAGAAACTGAGGGTAAACTTTTTATTTATTTATTTATTTTTCCTTATTTTAATAATTTAAATCTCTGAGATATATCTCAGCACATGTCCCGCTGTGTATGCCCTTAAGGGCTCGGACTGATGTTTGAGCTATAACTACATATACATCTGGTTTGATTCGTTTTTTCTTACATATAGTTTTTTTTTTTTTTTTTTTTTGAATAACCGCGGATCTCCCAAAGGCTTCCTAGGCCCAAGGACTAATCCCACGAGGCTGGCAATTCCTCTATGTAAACCTGTCAGTGGTCGTGCCTCGAATCCTGGTGGCGGAAGTCACCGCTGTGACCCCTTTACCACTGGAACTGCAATAACTCGTGTAGGTAAGGGACTTGTGGGACATGTCGTAGGTAGATGGTGTCGGGAAAGGTTGATCAGCACCATACTGTAATGTGTAAATTTATTTCTGGTATGAGGTGTGACTTATGACATATTCAAAATATTGCAATCGGATTCCACTCATAAGTCACAAACTCATACCAGTAAATTAATGTGCATCGATCATCTTTGTTCTGTTCAGTATAGTTGGGCTCTTTTTTTTCCAATCATGGGGATATAATTGGTATAAGAGTATATAGGCCCTTTAATGATCCGTAAGACATGGGCAATTACGTTGGGCTTTGTTCCGTCACCACCAGTGGGTTTAGTTTTTTGGTAGCTGGATGGATAAATGTGGTACAAGTTTTAAGCAAAATAAAAATACTTTCCTTTTAAAATAAATTAAATTTTAAATTATTGTTCAATATATGTAGTTAATTCAATTTTATAAATTTAAAATCATATAAGAAGTTTGTGAAATTTCAGCTTTTTCTAATATAAAATTTTTCCCTAAATAGCTTACAAATTTTCTGTAAAAATAATGAAATATTAAATAGATTTGAAGGATCTTATACCTAATTTAGTTTCATCATAATCAAATCCTCTACAAGGTTCGTCAAACTTCCTCCAATCCAAATTTCAAAAAAATAATTAAATTTACCAAAAAAAAATTCATATGAATTTTGGGCCATACAATAAATTTTGGCAAACGGCGCCTTAATAATTTGGGGAAAAAAATCAAAAACCCTATTTCCTTTTCCTGAAGAGCGGTCGTTGAAATCACGCAATAAGTAGAACACATTTGGACAACAACCAAAAAAAAAAAAGATAAAATAAAAAATAAACAAAAACCCCCAAATTTGAGTCTCCTCCGGAAAAAAATTCGAAATTCCGGATCCACCGCCATCGATCCCTAGCTTTATCTCTTTCTCTCAATCCTCGCCGGCGAAGCCAGTAGGGTTTCTCAATTCGTTCTTAGAGTACTGTGGCAATGAGGAAAGGAGCGAAGAGAAAGGGTGTTTCAAAAGCAGGTCGCAAAGCTGCTGTTGCGGAGACTCAGAACGATGAGGTGATAGAGGAGACGACGACGCAGGAGGAGAGTCAACAGCCTAAGGAAGAAGTCGTCGACGAGAAGAAGGAGAATGGGGAAGAAGAGGAGGCCAAGGGAGATCAAGAGGACGAAGAGGAGGCGAAACCTGATTCCTTAGAGAAGGAGGAGGAGGAGAATCAGGAAGATGAGGTCAAATCTGACGAAGTTAAGGAAGTAGATGAGAAGAAACCTGTTGCTCGTCGTGGTGGTAAACGAAAGAGGGCTACGAAGAAGGAAACTGAGATTAAAGATGAGAAGAAACCGGTTCCGAGTGTTAAGAAACCTCGAGTAGCCAAAGTTAAGGAAGAGCCTGTCTACTTTGAGGAGAAGCGTAATCTGGTATGGTTTTTGCTAACCTTAGCTTAGGTTGAAGATTCATCACTAGGATTATATGCAATTTGGGGTTATTTATTTTAAGCTAATTTGATAACTCGAAATACGCTGTGAAAACAACAATGAGATACGTTTTTGAACTTGTATGTTTATCTTATAGCTTAACTTATAATGTGGAGCTGTTTAGAGTTCTTGGTTGCAAGAACAATGCAAAATATATTACTTTGTTGGTGGGTTTATCTGGAGAACAATTGTATGCTATTATAGTTCTTGTGTCAGATATGGTATCTCGTTATCAATGTATCTTGAGCACTTGAGTATTTTTAAGTTCAAATAAACGGGCTTGTTTTCTTGTCTTATTGCTGCTGTGTGCGTTGCTAATTAACATATGCGCTTGTTTTGTGTTTCCAGGAGGATTTGTGGAAGGTTGCGTTTCCAGTGGGAACTGAGGTATATTGTTTTGAGAAATTTTGGCTTCAACATCAGAGCTACTGTTTTCATTGATAATCTAATATATATTCCTGGCTTATGTTTGTTAATTTGTGATGGCAGTGGGATCAATTAGATGCACTTTATGAATTCAATTGGGATTTCCAAAATCTTGAAGTAAGTTGTTTTTATTACATTCTCTATTGTTTAGTCAAGGGTTTCCGGGGTTGACGAGAATCTGATATTTATGTTTCTTCATCTGTTTCAGGAAGCATTGGAGGAAGGAGGGAAGCTCTATGGGAAGAAGGTTTATGTTTTTGGCTGTACAGAACGTAAGCTATTTCTCTCGCTGTTTTTTTTTTTTTAATCTTGTTTGGAATATAGGTAGTTACTGTCTTCTTATCGTTTGACTTGTTTAAATAATCTTTGATACTTGTGGTTCTTTCTAATGTACTTAACAATCTATGGTCTCTTCCTTTTCTTGAACATTTGCTTTTTAGTTCCTGTCTAAGTTTCTCTTTTTAACGTTACAGCTCAACTAGTCCCCTACAAAGGCGCAAACAAGATTGTCCATGTCCCAGCAGTTGTTGTTGTGAGTTCTTTTTAAATTTCTATTAAAGTTTGCTTGCCATCACTGATCTCTGAATTTAAGATCTTATATTATCTCTTTTCTCTTTCAAAAATTCATCAATTTTATATATGCAGATTGAATCACCCTTTCCGCCTTCTGATAAGATAGGAATCACATCTGTTCAGAGAGAAGTGGAGGAAATCATTCCAATGAAGAAGATGAAAATGGACTGGCTTCCTTACATTCCGATTGAAAAAAGGTACTATGAGTTCCACGTGCATCTGTTAGACATTTGCTGTGATGACCTAAATAATTGAGAAGAGAAACAGAGATTCTTTCTTGGGCTATTCTTACTTCTGATGTTTACCAGCAGCTGCTAACTACTTTTGCTTTGTTCTTCTTGCAGAGATAGACAAGTGGACAAGATGAACTCTCAAATTTTTACCTTGGTTTGTACGCAGAGGAGGTACGTAGCATGTGTTCTCTTCTCTTCTCAGTCTGAGATGACTGATAGAGTTAAGAAAATCGATTTTTGCTTGCTATGAAGGGATTTTGAGTTACATTACAAATGTATTGAAATTAGAATATGAAACATGGCTTCACGTTGCTACTATGTGTGATGAGTCCGGTTGCATTGTATGTTCCCTCATTCCTGCTTAGTAATTTTTCTTTAGGGTGCAAAAATTTGATACATGGGTCTCTTTTGTTGCAAATCTGAGTCTTCTAAAGATAGTATTGTTTGAATTCTCTAGTTCTGTTGTACACAATTTGACTTTGTACATTATCTGCAGATCTGCTCTCAGACATATGAAGGAAGATCAACTTAAGAAATTTGAGTATTGCCTTCCTTGTGAGTTTTATTCATCTACTACTAATACTAGTTAAATTTGCAGAGTGAACCATTTATAGCACATGGCAGGCTGTTGGCAGTTATATATTCGTATGCAACAACAAATTCTAATGTCTCTTTTTTTTTTTTTTTTTTTTCGTTGCAGACTTCTATCAACCCTTTAAGGAAGATGAACTTGAACAGAGTACTGAGGTCCAAATAATGTTCCCCTCTGAACCCCCGGTAAGTTTTCTGGCATGCAATGAATGTGTTGGAAGTGGCAGGTCTACATGAATGGTCTGATAGGGGCACATTGTTTTGGGTATTTTCTTTATAATCAAGCTTTAATTTTCTGTTTGTGCAGGTTGTATGTGAATTTGACTGGGAGTTTGACGAAATTCAGGTGTGTTTGGCTTTTCTGTAACAGAAAAATTTGAATTACTTCTTCATTTGAGTCATCTTTGCATTGTTCTATCCTTGTGTGTTCGAAATCGCATTTGTCGTATGCTGAATCTTGAGATGGCTTTTTGTTCATCTATCTCAGGAATTTGTCGATAAACTGGTTGAAGAGGAAGCATTACCTGCTGAACAAACGGATGAATTCAAAGTAAGAGTGAGCTGTAACACAATTGTCAGTTCTTGACGCTTGAGTATCTTCTCTAATTACCATTGTTCTTTTTCTCAGGAATATGTCAAAGAGCAAGTTCGAGCAGCAAAGAAAGCAAATCGAGAAGCCAAAGATGCTCGAAAGAAAGCAATAGAAGAAATGAGCGAAGATACTAAGCAAGCCTTTCAAAAGATGAAGTTCTACAAATTCTACCCTCAGCCTTCACCAGATACACCAGACGTCTCAGGTGTCAAGGTAAGAGCAAAAACAAAAAAAAAAACCAAAATCCACCTCCAATAATACTTTCTGAGTCAACCATAAAAGGGGTTTTGATTATAGTTTGTTACAAAGCTCTGATTATGTGAATGATCTGGTCTTTGCTTCTTTTTTTGCAGTCCCCGTTCATTAATCGATACTATGGAAAGGCTCATGAAGTCCTTTGAGATCAGACCCTTGAGAACCCAGGATAGCTTTTCTTGGCAGCTTCAGCAGAAATCAAAGTTATTGAATCACAGGTGCTCTCAGAAACTCTTTGAGCTATTATAGTTATAAAGCCAAGTTTGTAGGACAAAATGTCTTTTACTTTTATGAGTTTGTATTCCCTTCCAAAAGTACTTGAGATCTTAGAAGAGTCACGGGAACCAATTCTTTTTGCGGAAAATTGGAGGCAACTTTTTATAATTCTACTACCCTTGACCTTGATGTTTTTCTTAAATTGCAATGGCATTTCTCAAATTACTTTTGACTCTGGAGTCCAGACGATTATGCTAATTATAAGAAAAGGAGAGTATTTTAATGGGGTGTTTCCAACTAGTAGTCAAAGTTTCGACAATACCAAAATGGTATTATTTAGTTGGACCCAATAAAATATTATATGAAAGAGAGATGGACAGACAGACAAAATATAATAAGTTTGGCATCTTTCATTTTATGGTTAGAGAAAATGACATTCTAAAAGGAGCAAATAAATAGACTACTCAAGATTTATTATGTTCATATTGTATTTTCATTAAAATTCGCGACGAGGATATACATATAGAAATGAATCAGTCGAACAGTGCCATCTATTTTCAAAAAAGCTTATTTTCCATTACCAACATATTAACCTTAGGGTAGTCAAGAATTTCTTAGATTTGGATGAAATGTCAAGAATTTATGTTTTGTCAATTAGTTACTAAAATAAAATAACAAATTACGGTCATATTTAGCTAATTTACTCACAATAATATGTGATTAGGGAAAAAATAGACAGGTTGGTCCGGAAGAGTAGTAGTAATTGAGTATGACACACCACGTTCTTCTCTTATTTAGTCACTCCGTCCCGTTTAAGGAGTAGTACAGTGTACGGACAAAGAACTTAACGGCGTTACAGTATCCCCGTCACGTTGTGTTGCATGTGATGTGAGAAAAAAGGTTTGGGTGCGAATTTTCTTCTTCTTGAGAAAAGAGAAAAGAGAAAAAGACACAGCGACTCAAAGACATGCCATTGTCCTTTCCAGTCTGTTTTTTTTTTTTTTACTTATCTGCAAAACTAAGCATATAGTATTATTCCACCACTTCTCTGCCTCTCTTTTCACTTTTTGTTTTAATATTACTTATTGTATATCTTTTTTAACAAAGATATTGGTATATTTATGTCCTGGTTTTGATTCTATCGGTTTTGGTATCATTCATTACGTTTAAATAAATGATGTTTCCTAAACTATGTGTGATATGACGACTGATAGTACTACAAAAATGATAAATTACTTATTGTTATAAGTGACTTGACGCAATTAGTGTAACAAAATTTAATGACACATCTAACAAATCGTTTTCATTTAAAGTATTCTTTTTTCACCGTATGATTTCAGTAAAATCTTTTGAACAATAGTCACTGGTCTCAATAGTATGTACACATATCTCAAAACCATTATATTTACACTGATGCTCAAACTCATCTAACTACATTTTGAGTTTCGATATCATATCCACTCAAACATGAAAAATTCAACTTTTCTAAAAACACCTTTTTGAGTCCATCTATGTGGTTTGGTTACATTGCACGACCACCCTAACATGAGTGAAAATAAAATGGCACTCAGGTTACCAAAAAACAAAAAGAACTAGAGAGTAATCAGTAATTAGATTCCATCAACAAAAGTTTTTTAAAAAATTGTTTCCATTAACGAGTAAAGTAGGTAAAGAGAAAAAAATCATAATTCCTAAAATGATAAAAGTTTATAAAATATCTAAACTTTAAATAGGAAACTATTAATCTCTGATTGCAGAAAAACTGTCATACCATAAAGAACTAAAGAAAAATAATAAAAAAATTCGATTTTTTTTTTTGGAAAACCTCAAACACAAAACATACGCACACACACTCTCTCTCTCTCTCTCTTCTTCTTCTTCCCCTCTTTCAATTTCCAGATTCCGAGTAGTACAATCCCTAAATCTCCGTCTCTCTGTTTCTCTCTTCTCTCTCTTAGCTATGAATCCTTACTAGGGTTTTTTCTCTGTGTGTTCTCAGTTTGCATTTGCTTCTGTGGAGTAGATTCTTGAGGGCTAAATGAGTCATTTTCTCACTTTCTGCTTCATTTCACTCCTCCTCATCGGTGCCAACGCCGTCACCGAGACGGAGCTCCGATCTCTACTCGAGTTCCGTAAAGGGATCCGAGACGAAACCTCACACCAACGAATCTCATGGTCCGATACAAGCAGCCTCACTGATCCATCTACTTGCCCTAATGACTGGCCTGGTATCTCTTGCGACCCTGAAACCGGTTCAATCATCGCCATTAATCTCGACCGTCGTGGTCTCTCCGGCGAACTCAAATTCAGCACTCTCTCTGGTCTCACTCGTCTTCGTAACCTCTCTTTATCCGGAAACAGCTTCTCGGGTCGGGTCGTTCCTTCCTTGGGTGGAATTTCGTCGCTTCAACACTTAGATCTATCAGACAATGGTTTCTATGGACCTATCCCGGGTCGGATCTCGGAGCTTTGGAGTTTGAATCATCTCAATTTGTCTTCCAACAAGTTCGAAGGTGGGTTTCCTAGTGGGTTTCGGAATCTCCAGCAGCTAAGATCTTTGGATTTGCACAAGAATGAGATTTGGGGAGATGTTGGCGAGATTTTCACTGAGCTGAAGAATGTTGAGTTCGTTGATTTGAGCTGTAATCGTTTCCATGGTGGCTTATCTTTACCAATGGAAAACATTTCGAGCATTTCCAACACTCTCCGTCACTTGAATTTGAGCCACAATGCGTTGAATGGCAAGTTTTTCAGCGCCGAGTCCATTGGTTCGTTCAAGAATCTCGAGATTGTTGACTTAGAGAACAACCAGATCAATGGTGAGTTGCCGCATTTTGGATCACAGCCGAGTTTGAGAATCTTGAAGCTCGCTCGTAACCAGTTGTTCGGTTTAGTGCCTGAAGAGTTGTTGCAGAGTTCGATTCCATTGCTTGAGCTAGATCTCAGTCGAAATGGTTTTACAGGTGAATTGAAATCTTACAACTTTTCTTTTTAAGCAAGATTTGCCAAAATTGTTGAATCTTGCTACTTTAGGCGATATAAGAATAAAACTATTGAACTTTAGAGCATTGATTTGACTGATTTCCTGTTCTTGACTAGACCCTTGTGTCATATTGTCTTAAGCTGTGTTGTATAAATGTATATTAAAGGAGTTTCTTTTGATTCAAATGCAGGATCAATTAGTGAAATCAATTCAACAACGTTAACTATGTTGAATCTTTCTTCTAACGGCTTGTCTGGGGATCTTCCGTCCACTTTGAAAAGTTGCTTAGTGATAGATCTGAGTGGGAATACTTTCTCTGGCGACGTATCTGTTGTTCAAAAGTGGGAAGCTACTCCTGATGTTCTTGATCTGAGCTCAAACAACTTGTCGGGAAGCTTGCCGAACTTCACTTCTGCTTTTTCAAGATTAAGTGTGTTGAGCATTAGAAATAACTCTGTCTCTGGTAGCTTGCCTTCTCTGTGGGATGATTCAGGGGTTTCTCAATTCTCTGTGATTGATTTCAGTTCAAATAAGTTCAGTGGCTCCATTCCAGAGAGTTTCTTCACTTTTGCAAGCTTGAGAAGTTTGAATCTTTCTATGAATAACTTGGAGGGGCCAATTCCTTTTCGAGGTTCACGTGCAAGCGAACTTTTGGTTCTAAGGTCTTATCCGCAGATGGAGTTACTTGACCTTTCAACCAATTCTTTGACGGGTATGGTACCCGGAGATATAGGTACAATGGAAAAAATTAGAGTGCTGAATCTTGCCAATAATAAGCTGTCTGGGGAACTTCCAAGCGACCTCAACAAGCTTAGTGGCCTTTTGTTCCTTGACTTGTCAAACAATACTTTCAAGGGTCAAATTCCCAATAAGCTTCCTTCCCAAATGGTGGGATTCAATGTGTCGTATAACGACCTATCAGGCATAATTCCGGAGAACCTTAGAAGCTACCCGCCTTCTTCATTTTATCCTGGTAACTCCAAGCTAAGTCTCCCAGGCGGGATTCCAGCGGATTCTTCTCGTGATATGTCTTTACCTGGGAAAAACCATCATTCGAAGCTAAGCATAAGAATAGCGATTATTGTTGCTTCAGTTGGAGCTGCTCTTATGATTCTTTTTGTCTTGTTTGCGTATCATCGAACACAGCTCAAGGACTTTCATGGGAGGAATAGATTTACAGACCAAGCCACGACTAGAGACGCCAAGTTTGGACGCTCTTCTCGTCCCTCCTTATTCAACTTCAGCTCAAATGCTGAGCAGCAATCATCATCTTTGAGCTTCTCAAACGATCACTTGCTCACCGCGAATTCAAGGTCGTTATCCGGGATACCCGGATTTGAAGCTGAAATATCCGAGCATGGTGTGCCCGCTACTTCAGCCCCTACAAACCCTAACCTCCTTGATGATTATCCTGCAGCATCTGGACGGAAGTCTTCTTCAGGAGGCTCCCCACTATCCTCCTCACCCCGTTTTAGCGACCAGCCTGTGATGTTAGATGTTTACTCACCTGATCGATTGGCCGGAGAACTCTTCTTCTTAGACGTTTCACTAAAACTCACAGCAGAAGAGTTATCCCGAGCTCCTGCAGAAGTCCTAGGTAGAAGCAGCCATGGAACACTGTACAAAGCAACACTGGATAATGGACACATGTTGACGGTGAAATGGTTGAGAGTTGGACTCGTGAGGCATAAGAAAGATTTTGCACGGGAAGCCAAAAAAATCGGCTCTTTAAAACATCCTAACATTGTCCCGTTGCGAGCATACTATTGGGGTCCCAGAGAACAAGAAAGACTCCTCCTTTCTGATTACCTGAGAGGAGAAAGCTTGGCCATGCATCTATACGGTTAGAAGCTCTTTTAATTAGTCTTTTTACTCCTGTAACTATAAGCCTTTCTGTATCTTGTTTGAACAAAAAGTAATCACCCTTGAGGCTTAAGAGATCTACCGTTTTAATCTTTCTGTGCAGAGACTACTCCTCGGAGGTACTCTCCAATGTCCTTCAGCCAAAGACTAAAAGTTGCAGTTGAAGTGGCTCAGTGTCTTCTCTACCTTCATGATAGAGCAATGCCACACGGGAACTTGAAGCCAACTAACATAATCCTCACAAGTCCCGACAATACCGTGCGAATAACCGATTACTGTGTTCACCGTCTGATGACTCCATCTGGTGTAGCGGAACAGATACTAAACATGAGTGCACTCGGTTACTCTGCTCCTGAACTTTCCTCAGCTTCCAAACCAATACCAACACTCAAATCCGATGTCTATGCGTTTGGTGTGATTCTCATGGAGCTTTTGACTAGACGGAGCGCGGGTGACATAATCTCGGGTCAAACAGGAGCCGTTGATCTGACCGATTGGGTGCGGTTGTGTGATCAGGAAGGTAGGAGAATGGATTGCATAGACAGAGACATAGCAGGTGGGGAAGAGTTCTCAAAGGGAATGGAGGATGCACTTGCTGTTGCAATCAGGTGCATTGTCTCTGTCAATGAAAGGCCTAACATGAGACAAGTTCTTGATCATCTTACTTCAATTTCTGCCTGAGATTTGTTTGTTTTTTTCTTCTCTCTAAATTTTTCTGTAAATCTCCATGGATTTCCCTTCACCCATCATCCCATTTTTTCTTCTTCTTTTCTGGTTTTATGTTTCTCTTTAGTAGTTTGATCAGATGATTCAGATCCTCAGGTGTTCTTCTTACATTTATTTTTTGTTGATTATTTTTCCCCTTCCTTGTAAAGGTAGAAGAAAATCTAATCCCATTGATTCTGACACAAACATTCGTGTTTGCTTATTGATTTTTCTAAATTTATTTCCTCTTAAAATTCCAGTCTTGATTAAGGTCTCAAACCATTCTTGACATCTAAACAACTTAATTACGTTGGTTCACGTTCTCCAATCTCTCCAGAGCACAAGTCTATTGAGGAATATAACGTAATCTCTCCATGCATTTTAATCTCATTGTCGGTAGCTTTCAATGCACCAAAACAAGACAGAGGAAAAAGAACCAGTGGTTTGTTATGGCAATTGCTCTTCACAATATCACTCGTTTCTCCAAACTCCCCGCAAGTTATCTTGCAAAGCGAGCTAAGCAGTAGAACCCTTTTTCAGAACTCTCGAGCCTAGCTAACTAGATTAAGAGTATAGTTTGATAGATATGAAATTATGATAATGTTAAGTTTTACATCTTTTTCTTTAGTTTAAGATGAACTAGAAAAGTTCAATATATATATAACATTGTGGATCCGATAACTAATATTGTTTATATAGAGAATTCTAGAATTTAAACTCACAAAATGTATAACATTAATTCTAATTTTTGTTTTTATGTTTGAAAACTGGAATGACAACTAACATAAATATGATTTTAGTTTGCTAACTATTTATTATTTACCGAACAACTCAATGTCCGAATAATGTGAACCGCATCTGATCCAAAAACCGATATCGAACACTCTTAACTTTTTTTTTTTTTGTCAAACAGACCCTTATCTTATCTACTACCATTGGACTATTGTGTGTTTTTTTTTTTGTCAAACAGACCCTCATCTTTAACGCGAACGTCTCTCAATGTAAGATCTGTGCGATGGAGGCAGACTACATTGACCATCGCGAACATCTTCATCTACTAAGGTATCATTATGTGCGATGAAGGAGGCATACTACATTGTTTTTGCAATATCTTATGTTCTGGTACTTTATTTCCGTGTGTGATGCAACTACATGGTTGTAGGTTCGTCTATGCTTAGAGAGTCATTACTACAAAGACTACACGGACGACAAAGACGAAATAGGCGTTACCTTAGCCCCGTTTTCAAAAAGTTGGTTATGATGAAAAACGAAATAGACGTTATCTTAGCCGAAGACATAGATAGAGCAAGTATTTTTGAGGAAACGAGTGTGTTAAGTCGTCTTGACGGGATCCACTGCTTCAATGTACCTATCATTTCATGTCTTTTTATAATTCCCTTCCCCCATTCTATTATATACTTATTTTGTTTAATACTTGCTACGGTTATAAATCAAATTCTTAATGTCACATTGGAATCAAATATACAACAAGCAAATCATATGTAATTCTATAATATTACATTACATACAGAAAAAAGAACAAAAATCGAAAATTGGTTTCTAAAAAGCTACAAACTTTACGTTGCTGATCATATTTACAACTTAACTTCAACATTTCGTTTAGCCGCAAGACAAGAATCACCATCAAGCAGCAGCTTATGTTATTACTCTTGTTCTTGTCCAAAATCCAGTCACCAGCAAACTCCATTCTTGATTCCTAAGGACTCAATCAAACCTTTGTTGAAATCTAAGCACCTTGATTACGTTGGTTCACGTTGCCTAGCCGCCCAACTCGAACTCAAAGCTCGAAGCCGCTGGAAATACTCCCCTAATGCTAACAAACCTCTAGCCGCTTGTCGCGTGGTTAAGATCCGATGCATCTGTTGCAATGTCTCATGTCTCAGATGATCAGCCTACAACAACAAAACAGTTTAAGAACAACAACAAACTCAAGAAACCAGTTGTTTTCCTAATAATCGCGTTAGTTTTTGTTAAAATATTTCTTTCTTACTTGATTAACAAAGCTGACCAAAGCCTCCAATCTCTCCATAGCACAAGTCATTTGAGGAATATAACTTCCTTCGCATAGTTTCCCGGCTGCTACACTCTCTGCTAATGTGTGTTGCAGTTTCTCCATACCTTGAGATAACGCATCTTCCGCTTGTTGACATGATTGCCTCAAATTACATACATCCAAAAGTTGTTGATCCGTCAAGGGATCAAAATGCGGTAACAGAACCTAGCCAACAACAAAAATGAATCCTTATCCTAAATCATTGTAAAAAAACATTACTTTTTATGGATTAATGACGGTTTTTTCTATTACCTTGAGAAGCTCTGAGGGTCTAAATCCGCCTATCCACAAGAAAAACCGCTCTGCTGAAGTTTTCCACATTCCTGACATGACGTAGAAGACATCGATTTTTGCAGCGGCTGACTTCATTCGGAAGAGTTGAAAGTAATGTTTCATGGCATTCTCGACTAGCGAACGAAGCTCTATATCACTAACTTGTCCATGTAAAACTGTTCTTAGTTCGCTTATTTGCCTGTTCTGCTCTTCCACCCAATGTCCATATTCCATCTCAAATGCAACAATCCCTAACAAGAAAAACAAAACTGATGAATTAATTTTGAGAGAGATATGGAAACTACGTAAAGGCTAATAAAGGTGAAAGATTCAAACCTGAGCTCATGTTATCTGAGAAACAAAGAGCATTTGAATCTACTCCATTTCCGACATAGAAACCCTGCAACATTATGATCACAAATTATTATATCAACAAGATACTCAAGGAAAAATAATATTTTGTGCAAACCTGTTGTCTAGCATGATCGAGTTCTTGCTCTAAATGAATCAGTTTCAACCGGCTTGTCTCTAGCTGCTGAACATAAGCCTACAAGAAAAGACTCTATCGCTCAGTTAAAAGAAAACAAACAAACCAAAACTGTTTTACGAGTTGCGGAAACATAAAGTTTCATACTTTCTTGCGCAAACGACTTTTCCTAGCTGCCTCCCGATTCTGTGCAAGCCTTCTCTGTATCTGTGGAGACATAAAGATTAAAATGACAAAATCTTCACGGAATTAAGATAACCAAATGAGCTATATTATAACTTACCTTATCAGGATGTCTAGATGTGGAAGCCTCTTGGTCAAACTTGTGAGGAGTTCCTTCTGTCCCATGAGAAGTATCCTCCGACTGAACAATGATTAAAGAAAGCATTAGTTTTTGAATTCAAATGAGATACTTTATCAGAGATATAAAACAGATTCGAAGTACCAAGCTGTCTGGTTTTTCGTTTGTCGGGATTATGATAGAGCCAGGCGTATACATGCCTCCATTGTTCTTGAAGCTTTCTTCCCACATACCGATTTGGTTGAGAGGCTCGTAAACTTCAAACCTTCTCGGTGGAACAAAATGTGTCGATGTTGTATTCATGTTTCTTCAACTGGCAACAAGAAAAGAGATACATACAAAACTTCATTCATCAAAATCAAGAATTGCAAAGATACGAGATCACAAGTTAAAGAGAGATATGTAAGTGATTTGCAGCCAAACAGGAAAAAGGAAAGGTTGTGGCATTAAGTCATTTTCCATCACCCAATTCGTCAACCCTAGCTACTACCTTCCCTACTTCTATAAGCTCCATTGATAAGGCGAAACATCGGTCTCATATACACCAGAAAAGCCCTGTGCTTACTAGTGTTTATTGAAAGGTTGTCAATTAGATAAAGATCATTGAAATATGTTCTCAAAACCTCTAATTGCATTTCCTAAAACAGACCAAATTCAAATGTCATTGTCAGAGTTATTGGATCCTACTGTATCTTCTTCTTTTAGCCACTAATGGTGGACCATCTTAAACACCTCCCAATAAGGAAAAAAATTCCATTACTCTCTCTCACTGATTTGATATGACATTCTTGTACAGAAGTCAATATTCGATTAAAAGTCTACTCGGAGAAGAAGGTATAGAGGATAAGAGATAGAACCAAATTATCAGATAGCCAATCTATCAGAAGCAACCATCAGAAAGAAATTACAGCTTTCAATTTGCAGTCAACGACGATAAACCCTAATCATCGATTAACAATAAACAACAGAGAATCAAAGAGTTTCAGAGAAACACAAGTTTCGAACTTTTTTCGAGTCAAGCAGAGATAATGATATTCATGATCAACCCAAAAGATAAAAATTCAGAAAGAACAGAGATCTGAAGTCGAACCTTCTTCTGGTCTTTTGTGTCAAAAGGGCTTCAAAAAGACGAACTTTTCCCGCGGAAACCATGGAAAGAAAAGAACAAAAGCAAAGGAACTTTTCACTTTCAGCGGCTAAATCGAACGCAAGGCCTAGAAATCTGCAGCTTAAACCGGTTCGAGAGCAGAAGGGATGATAAAATCTCCTTCTCTGAACTTGTCATCTCGAAGAAGAATCATGCGAGAGAACACGACAACTTTAAAAGAGAGCCCTTTGATTTGAGTTCTTTAAATTTTCTATATCCTAATAAATGTCAAAAAAAAAAAAAAAAACTGAAATTTCATTTTCTGTTGATTCTTCGGTGATATTTGTCTTTTAAGCAATAAGTAAAATACAGCAGCTACACTGGAGTCAAAAACTAATTTTGACATGTTTAATAAATATTATTCTATTACTTAATTAAATTTTGTTTCTGTTTATTCTGTTTTCTCTCATTTGTCATGTCACATCACCAAGTATATTAGAAAATTTTAAGTAATTTTTTTTTTTTGATTATTCAGTATTAATTCATATTCTGTGAATATATAGTAAATAGTTTTTATTTTATTTTCAACGATATATTATCCAGCACACGTCAAAATTTGCGGCGAGTCTAAGTCGGTGACGACGTGCCAATTGACGACACACGCGCGGCTTAGTAGCGCGTGGGAAGAGTGTAAATCAAATTATTGTGGTTAATATTTTGTCGCGGGAATGAGAAGCGGTTAAACTTTCTATGTTGGGATTATAAGACATCAATCAAACAATGAAACGAAGTACACGTAACATAATCACAAGCCTGACGTCAACAAAATAAAATAAAATAATAAGACTTGAGTGTACGAAATCATTAGTTTTGATAGTTCTATAGCATGCTGATCAAATAAGAGGACAATAATATTGGCCTAATATTGAGGTTCTTATAAGCAAAACGATCAGCATGTAATCTTTGAAGTTTTCAGATTACTAAGCAACGCTTATATAATGTAATTATATCAACATTTAGGTATAGTTTTATATGTAGGTTATGCCAACTAAAAAGATTCACATATACGTCTTGTTAATAATAAAATCCTACTATTTGATAATATTTATATACTGAAAAAGATAAACGAACCTTTGCGAAGGTCTTTTTCAAAAAAAAAAAAAAAAAAAAAAAACCTTTGCGAAGGAATCACTTAGCTGACAAAGAAATATTACAATATTTTGATATTAGAACAGATTGGCTCTTCAAGTTCCATTGGAGACATATTTTTGTGACCACAACTTCTATCCACTTGCCTCTTTACTTATTATTTTAAGCACAACGAATACTAACTAAAATATGTGATTTGGTGCATTTTTCTGTATAAACAATATCTAACCAACTTTCCCTTTTCCTTTAGTATGTTATCATACATATATATATAATTCTTGTTTTCATGTATTACATTGTTTGCCTAGCATTATTTTCCTGACAAATTCACACTTATTTTGTTTCTTTTCCATATGATTAAGGCCGTGAGTAAGACATTTAGCAAACAAAATAATGAAGACGTCACTGCGGGAGGTTCTTCCGCAAATTTCTTTAACAACGCACTTCTTTCTTTTTTTTTTACCGAAAGAGTCCAATGTCGAATTTCAGACAAGATATTATGTATTAGAGCACAAAGAACATTAACTATGAAAATAAAGAATTTCGAAAAAGATTGTTAATGAGACATGACGCACAAACTCTTTGCTTAATGCCTATTTGTGGAATTTATTCTCGAGTGCTATCTTATTAAAAGTGGTTTGCCACTAAGAGTGGGTGTCGTCATTCTTATTTTTCATTTGTATTTTAGGCTAACTATACCCATGTCTTGAAATCAATCTATAAGAGTTTTCACGAACCCTGTAATATTTAACTCGACTTTATTTAGCCACATTCTAAAAGATATTATATTTTTAGTTTTGTTTAATCTATAAAATATCATAGAAAGGATTCTATAATTAAGTGCCCCAACGTAGAGCCAATCATTCGTGAAAGATAAATAGTCCACCGAAGATAAAACATTTTATATGAAAGTGGTTTATGTTGACGGGTTAACATCCAGTTAAATGTCGTAGGATTCAATGTTCTCATTGTGAACAAAAGCTGAGACGGTAGATTATGCATTTTTAAATGTCCTTCGAATTTACAGACATGGACTATATCAACTATTCTTTCGGCACCAAGCATCTTTCCAGTATCCTTGATTTTCCGAATTTTGACTATATATTATGGAAGAACCTAGGCAAGAAACTGCAGTTGGTGGATCATCCTTTCCCATAAAAGTTTTTAGATTATTTAAAAAGTTAAGTATGACAAAAAGTTTTGGGATTTGGTCTGGGAGCAACTCGACATTGTAGATCATGGAAGACGGATGATTCAAAATGGTTTCGTAGCAAACCAAGTGTTCTTGGTCTAGTGGTTGCCACTTGTGGAGGAGTTGCCATGTTGGTCTAAGCCAGAGATCGATTCCCCGCAAACGCGCAATAGTTAGATCTCCACTTGGCCACATGGATATGGACCCTTGCTTTCGGCCCATTTGCATACCCGGAGAGAGAGTCTATCTGTGGACTGCACCTCCCCCAGAGAATTAGTCTGGACCCCTCCATAACTCTGGGATTCCCCTGAGTTATTAAAAAAAAAAAAAAAAAAAAAATGGTTTCGTAGCTCAAGCTTCTATATATGCTTTGGTTGGAAAAGTGTTACCTAGCTCAAACCTTGGTCGTGGAGATAAAAAGGATACGAATGCCAAGTAAATCGAAGCAAACTTGAAAGCTTTTAAAGGAATTATATATATATATTGTTGTTTCTATTTATGTATGCTCAAATGTGAGTGTGTTTGACGTGAAAAGGAAAAAAAAAAAAGGCAGTAGAAGTAGATCCCACTTATCCACTTACTAGGTGTAAAGTTATGATGTTTTATTCGATGAATTTCATCGCAAGGGTTTTCTTGAAACAAAAAGATAGATTTGTTAAGTAGCCAATTAATATTGAGTATGTTCATATACATGAATTTAGACTCGTAATAGTTTTATAGCCAATTTGATTAATTAATCGAAGTAACTTACTTTCTAAATACTCATTATATATATATATATATATATATATATATATATATATATATATCTTACATTCTTACTGAATTTCATATGAATATATCAAATAAGGATATATTGTATATCTTTCTAGAAACAAAGAAAAAGAACGCGCTCACATGGTGGTGGGCGGGCCTAGGGGTGTTTGGGTGAAACTCCCTCCCCTCCGGATTCGACTTCTTCCCCTGCTGTTATCAACATTATATGGGAAATTTGTTAGTTGGGCTTTGGCCCAATTGGTTTACCTGGTAGTAAGAAATTGGTTTACCCGAAGGGTCTACCCGTTAACACGGTGGACAAGTCCACTATGTAGCACCTCGGTGCGTTCTTACCGGAGCTGACCGGATAGCCGATATGATATATCAAAAAAAAAAAAAAAAAAAAAAAAAAAAAACGCAAAAAGGAAGAAGTAAGAAAATTGAGGAAGTCTTTGCGACATTATCCCCAAGACAAAATGGGAACTATCATCGTTTTTAAGATTACTTCCTTTTCTTCTCTTTCCTTTTGGTTCCTACCTTTGACTACATTATATCTTCTTCTTTTACTTTTTCTTCTTCTTCTACTATATTAAATAAGCTGAATATTTAGCAATAATAAAATTCTGTTCAGCATCTTTTTTTTTTCGTTTAGTAGTAATTTAAGTCGAAGTAAAAGATTTTTGTTTTTTTATTGATAAATTATCTAGAAGAAGATTATTAAAATCGTCGTGGAAGAGAGACATATCATTTCCTGATCCCCCGAAAGAAAAAGAAAAAAAACAAGAGTGGGCTGTAAGTTTTTATCATATTGGGCTTATATTATAAGATTGGGAAATAATACTTTATGACCCAATAAAGTATTCTGAACAGATTTGGGTCTTCGAACTTTCGATAATGAGGAATAAAATGATTCCACAAAAAAGTATTATATTATTTGGACAATTCCGACTAATTGAGGTTTCTAAAACCATTGTCTCTAACTAAAACAAGTATTGGTGCACACCTTTTATAGAAAGAAAACCATCAAAACCAATAGAATTAACTATAAGATATGATTAACACAAAAAGAAAGTGGAACATTCCTCATTCAAAACCCGCACACTGAAACAATATAAATACACTCGTGTGTTTTTTTTTGGCATAGAATTGGAGACAACCGATATAGGAAGATCGAGCAATGGATTCATCGGCGGACATAGCAATATTAGTGGCAGAGGAATGTGAGCACAAGGTGAATTTAACGGCAGAGAAAACATCGAATTCAGCGGAGGTTGGGTGGTTGATGATGTTTGGGATTGAGGAGAAGAAGATTGAAAGTTTGATGAGGAAATTTGAACTTAAATCTCAGTTTGCTGTGGCTGTTTCTAGTGGCTTTTTCTCTGCTTAATTATTTTACATCGTTGTACTAAGTCACGTTGACCTCATGATGCAAATATGGTTTAGGCATGATTTCAAATAATCCTTATTATTACTTTCATTTGCTTCTCTTACCTTCATCAAAGATTATTTGTTTTTATAATCTTTTGGGTTATTTTGTAATAAGCACAGTTTCTTTGAGGTTAATGGAATCTAAATTAGTAAGTTTTTCTAATTGTCAATGTTCAAAAGAGATGATTAACGTGAGTGATGCGAGCATATAGATGTGTTAATTTGACAAATTGTAAGAAGAACTAAAACACAGAGAATTTCAATTGAAGTAGTGAAAAGAAGTTGAAGAGATTCAAAACACATAGATAGGGTTTTCACAAAAGGGACCATAGTTTTATAGTTTGTAGCTTTAAATGACTTGTAAGAAAGTTTGTTTGTTTTTAGTGGTGATGTGTTAAAAAGACTAATTTACGGGGTAATAATCACAAATTAATAAACTTGTGGGGTAGAAAATAAATTATCAACAAATTGTTTTCTTTCTTCTTTAGACATGATGATGTGAGAAACTCTGAACATAAAAACTTCCATTGTTGATCAATCTGAGAACTCAAGAGGGCTCTGAAAATGGAGAGCGACGACGAGAGTCCGGTGGTTCTGATTACGGGATGCTCTCAGGGAGGGATTGGTCACGCGCTGGCGCGTGAGTTCACTGAGAAGGGATGCCGAGTGGTGGCGACGAGTCGATCACGGAGTACGATGACGGATCTAGAGCAAGATTCGAGGTTATTCGTGAAGGAGCTCGATGTGCAATCTGACCCGAATGTGAGTAAGGTTTTGTCGGAGGTTATTGATAAGTTCGGTAAGATCGACGTTCTTGTCAACAACGCCGGAGTTCAGTGTGTCGGACCACTGGCGGAGACTCCAATTTCAGCCATGGAGAACACATTCAACACCAATGTTTTTGGTAAAAATATTGAATTTTTAATTTCAATTATCAGAATGTGTGTCAAAGTTCTCTCATTTATTGGACCTTCAATAGTTTGAGTTGGATTTCTGGTTTTATGCTTATTAGTGAATCATTGGAATTTACTTTAATTCTGTGAAAGAGATGAAAGCTTTTTGTTTCTCTGATTTGTTGGCTTTGTCGAATACGTGTGTTGATCATGTTAGTTGCGTTTGGGTTGTTAGAGTTTTGAAGAAGTGAACTTATCAATGCAGGTTCCATGAGGATGACTCAAGCTGTTGTACCTCACATGGTGTCTAAGAAAAAGGGAAAGATTGTCAACGTTGGAAGTATCACTGTTATGGCACCTGGTCCATGGGCTGGTGTCTATACAGCTACCAAAGCTGCTATTCATGCTCTTACCGATACCCTGAGGTTCCGTTTTCAGATTTGATGATTCCACTGTTTTAACTTATCAAATGCCGCTATTTGTGTCGTTTGTATATGTTTGTTTGTGCTTTCTCTGTCAATGGGAGATTTGATGGTAGTAAACTAAGAATTGTTAAAATGGTTTGATCTCAGTTTAAGGTGTGATCAAACTTGAGTATTATTTCTGATGACTAAAATCTGATGTTGGGTTAGGTCTATGGTTCTTGATGTTCATGAGAAGAGTAGTTGTTCAAATTCTCCAGTACGGAATGGTATTGGTTTTTCAATTGCTTATTATGATTTCTGCAAAACACAGGTTGGAGCTTCGGCCCTTTGGGATTGATGTCATCAACGTTGTCCCAGGAGGAATAAGAACAAACATAGCAAACTCAGCTGTGGCAACCTTCAACAAAATGCCTGAGCTGAAACTATACAAGCCTTATGAAGAAGCTATCAGAGAAAGGGCGTTTATATCACAGAGGATGAAGCCAACTCCTGCAGAAACATTCGCCAAAGACACCGTAGCTGCAGTGCTGAAGAAGAACCCACCCGCTTGGTTCTCTTCAGGCAGGTATTCAACCCTCATGGCAGTCATGTACCATATGCCCCTATGGCTCAAAGATTTTCTCCAGAAGCAGGTTTTAATGAAGAAGTGATAATCAGGTTGGGGTTTAAGACAGAATGTAACATAAACACGAATGTAAAAGATTTGTTCAAATTGTTAATTAAATCTTATGTCTCCATGTTTGTGTCGGTTCGGTTCTTAAGGTATAGAAGTCTACATACATGCATGAAGGAGATAGAGAGTAAACACGAGAAAGTTATTACATTATGTTGTAAAACCTTGTGGTACAATTATCTGTAACGGGAAAAAGGTGAGGATTCTACAACCATAGGAATAGTAGTTCTACTTTGATTTGACCCAACAATATAAAATCGAAACCACATTCGATCAGATAAGAAAAAGGGTCAGAACTATCTAAAAGCTATTAACTAACATAATTTCTAATTTTAAGAATGGTGTGGAGCTCCGTAATACATTATCCCTGGTGGTTGGAAAGTTGGACCTTGTTGAGATTGCTGAGCTGAGTTCGACTGAGGAATTTGAGGCTGTTGATTACCTATCAAATGTGGTGGTGGTGGTGGTGGCGGCGGAAGTCCAGGTGGCATTAACGGAATGTTGCCAAAACCGTAAGGGTTGTTCATTACCGGTGGTTTTAGGAATTGTGGTGGTGGTGGATTAGGTATTACATTGTACTGACCTTGTGTGGTAGGTGTCTGATTCTGGGAGTTGTTGTAAGAAGGGAACGAAGCATTAGTGTCTGAAACTGGAATTGTGCTCTCTGATTTGGATAGACCAGAAGTCTTTGTTGCTTCAGCTGCGAATGAAGATAGAACAGATTGCATTATCATGTGTGATGAGGTTGATGCTGTGAGCATCGCAGCAATAGATGCAGGAGTCATTTTTGATGCTTGACCAGATTTTGTGTTGTCATTTGTCTCGGTTATCGTAGTGCCAGCAGCTGTTGGTTTTGATGCGTAATCCTCATCATTAAGCCGTTTCTGCATGTTTTGGGCTTCCTCTGTTTGTTCTAGTGCGACCTAATAATAACAAAATGGTTCATTAGCTTATAGCTCAAGTTGGTCAAAGATGCAGTGGGAATCCAAACACAAACCTGAATCTGAGCTTTAAGATTGTCCAGTTCGGATTCCTGGCACAAGTAAGCAAAAGAATGAAAAATGGATTACCGAAATAGTGAACTTGCCAAGTGCAAAAACGCATTTCGTACCTGTTCGCGTAATGCATCTTTAAGCTGGTTCACAAGGGAAGTTCTACTTCCTTGGACAGATTTAAGTTTCTCAATGCATTGTCTCAAAAGGTATTCTTCTTCTTCCAATTCTTTCGCCAAAGATTTTCTCTTCGGGTTGTCTTTAGCTGGAGAGATACAAATATGTCGATTAACACTAGATTTTGAGAAAAAATCAGGGTAGATGTTGGTAATTGATATTAGTAAAACAGATTTTTACCAGTAGAGCAGGCTTCTTCAACATCTTTCTCCATCTTCCTGATTCGTTTAACTGCGGACTTACATTTATTCATCTCAGCTTCTTCATTTGAGTTTTCGGCAACAACCAAATGATATGCTGATGCTATCTTCTCAGCCACACCCCCACTTGATGATAATTTCTGGTTCCAAAGGCCAAAAAATGAAATTTGACTGATATTAATAGAGGAGAAAAGGAAATCTTGGTGTTTAGTGTTTTACCGTTCTAGACGATTTTGAATCCCGTTTTCCAGATCTGGATCCGCGAGACCGCTTTTTGCTGATATCAAGTGGCAGGGGAACATCTTCTCCAAGCATTACATCTTTAAGACTCTTTGAACGGGATCCAAACACTCTTCTTTCTTCCCATATCTTGACCTACATACAAATCACGTATACCGAATATTCCAATTAGCAAATTAACTTCTTTATTCATGTTTTCTGTCCTGCATCACACATCTCAAGAACCTTAAATCTCTTTATCCCTAACATCAAACACTACACTACCCCAACACAAAACATGAGATTGAGCCTAACCAGACATTGACCGTCATATAATGAAAGAAACGCTCCAACGAAGAATGAAAGAAAGATAGAGAGAAATACCAAACGTGAGACAACGCTTTTGCCATAATCATCTCCTTGAGAAACAATGTCTTTAACAGCCTTAGGAAGAACATTCCAGAACTCTTGCACGAACTCATTACCTTGACGCTTACTGTTCTGAAGAATATCATTAGCCAAATACATAAGAGGGACTTTCTGAGCCATCTCTGTACTGTGAAACTGTTTCTCCCATGTCGTAACGATCAATTCAGCTTTGGTCCGATTGAATATACACCAATGTGAGAGAGCTTAATTCCAAAAGAGTCAAGAAACCAAACATGGGAAAATTGAACACAATTACAAGATCTAAGCATAAAGGTAAGAACTTTTTTTTATAAACTCAAGATAAAAGTGAATAAAAGAGGATACTTTCGATGCACTGTTGGGTGCTATTGAGCTTAGCGAGCTTATCAATCAGGATCTGTTCACTGAAGACACTACTCATCCCACCAAAACTCACAAAACCCTAGAAAGTAGAGATTTTCCAGTAGGCAAAAGAAGCTCAAATCCTCCAAGTGGTTTACGAATTTGAGTGAGAAGCAGCCGGATTTGCTTAAAGCCGGTGAACTGTGAGACAGAAGAATGCGGCGGAGCTGGACTACTTGTGCGGCGGAGCTGGACTACTTGTGCGGCGGAGGGTGAACGGAGAAAAAAGAACCCTAGAAGGCAGAAGCAGATGAGTAGTAGTAGGAGATAGTCAAAAACGACGACGTTTGACGCCGAAATCGATCCCTAGAGCTAAAATCGCAGGGAAGAGAGGAATCAGGAAAGTTGAGTTTTCTTTTTGCTTTCAAGATACTAAAGATGGGCTTTCACTTTCTTTTTCTCCATATTTTTGTTCCACTTCAATTATTTCTCATTTTGTTTGACCTAAAAAAAGATTTAATCTTTACTTGGAAAACACAAAAACTTTAAATTTTAAAAATCTAAGAATGGATAGTAGATATTTTTATTAATAAAAAAAAATAAAAACATTATACTACATGGTACTTATTAAGAATCCGGTGAAAAGGGTAGCCAAAGATAGAAACTTTTTTTTTTAGATCAAAAAGGATTTCTCCAATGGCTTTCACTCGCTGTCTTCCTCCTCACTGTCTTCCAATTTGATATGGTTCATGTTCCTCTCTAGAGGAGGGAGACCATCTTCCTCATCATCCTCTGACTCATCATCACCAGATTCACCATCTTTCTTAACATCTACCCAAAATAAGAACGAACCAGAAGCAATATTTAAATTTTTTGTGAGATTGCATCTTACGTTTGGTAGTAACAGAGAGATTTAAAAGAAAAAAAAAAGTGACTTACGTTCTTCGAGGGCAGGTGGTTGTTTTGGGATCTGAGTTTGCTGAGTAAGCCAAGAATTTTGAACTGAGATGATCTCAGCGCTATTCTCACATTTCGAGTACTCCTTTAGAATATCTCTGCGATATAGCGAGACCTTGTTAAAAAAAAACACATACTCCAATTGTATTCACCAATCAAAAAGCAAAATGATGTGAAGATGTTTAGATTCTCCGGTTTTGTTACTTGTTAAGAGATAAAAAAGCATGACCCCATTTGAATTTTCCTAGCAAAAGTTCTGCAGTTTCCTTCTCCCCACTGATTCGGAAAACAAACAGAGAAAGACATTAGAAAACGGGATAATGTATGACCAAAAAAGAGAGATAGATGGGTTTTGGAGAAGATGTTATTTATGGACTCACCATAGAATTAAAGCAGCAGATAAAGCCTCCACACAAGATAGCTCACATGGCCTTCCATAATTTACTGGATTTGCTGCTACTAACCATGGTACTACAACCATAAAGAAAGAAGAAAAATTTAGGAAAGATTTGCTGCTACTAACCATGGTACTGCAACCATAAAGAAAGAAAAATTTTTTAGGAAAGATCTGGCTTGATCTATATTTATCAGCTAGGAGGTAAGTTCTTACAAAGACGAGGAGCAGTACAACGCAGCTTTGCAAACGGGACATCGGTTAGACGTGCCCAAGAACAATCAACAACAGCTAATCCTTTCCTTTTAATCAGATCATAGTCTTCCCTTGAAACACATTGTCTACCAACTGGACTGCCAAAATCATAAGACTTAGAATTAAAATACTAAAAACATCATCTAATGTCATTACAAATGACCCTAAGATACAGTAATAACAGGTATACCTTAAAACAACTCCTCCAAAGCCTGTGTTAACCCGTAACTCCTACAAATTCAATCGCATCAGGATTTTCAGCTGAAACACTTAGAAAGAAGAGGACATATATATATTTCACTAGCTCAAGATACTTACTTTTAACAAGTTAAATCTAGCAAGCTTACGACCTGTGCACCTCTTTGCATCACATTGACCAAAATCCTAAACAAACAAAACACAGTAGTGAGTATTGAAGCAATTTGTTCTTCGCAATTTCATTGGATTTGAACAAACATAAAAGGAAACTATGCATACCCACATTGCCAATTGAACTTTTGGAACTGGTGCTTCTCCCTCAGGTTCTATATAAAATCACCCAATAAGAGCATTACGGGTAGTATATTCAACAATTAAAGCCGATCACATAACCACCACAACAACAAAAAAATCCAATTTTTCAGTACCTTGATCAAGAGGAAGCGATTCATCTTCCCTGCAATTTCAACGAAACCACAATTACTCAACAGAGATAAACCTCAATTCGCAAAGATAAGATTTTACCTTCCAAGATTATCAGTCCGACTAGTTTGACCACGATTCGAATTGCCTCCTCTAGATCGATTGTGCTTCCCGTAACCCATTTTTTCCGGCGATATTTCCGACAAATGCAAAGGCTTGTTGATCGGCTCAGGGTTTTATATGTAAATTAGGGTTTCTAAAGGTAACCGACGGACCGATGTTTAAACCAAACCGAAACGAATAAAATTGAGTACACGTGTTAGTTAAGCAGACCGTTCAGGGTAAGTACGTAATTAAATGGGTGATTTAAGACAAAACCGTAATTTCGAATCCAAACCGGACAATGATTCAGTACACGTGTAAAGTGCACCACTTGGGGTATTTACGTCATTTACACAATCTCGCTTTCTTCCCGTTAAGCTTCTTCTTCTTTCTCACTCTCACAGTCACAGTCATCCATAACTCTCCGACCAACATTCACACTCTCTCGATATATATCTCTCTCTTCTATAAATATCCTTCGATTGAGAGAATCAAATTTTACTATATTGTTCGCTTGTTCACTCTACTTTAACAGTGCTAGGTCTTGTTAATCTGAGCAAAACCCTAGCTCGAAATTATGGCGTCACGATCTGCTTTTATACTCTTCTGTGTTCTATTTCTAGCTACAGAGGGGACTCTAGCTTCTGTCTTTTCCTCAAGGCTGATCCATCGCTTCTCCGACGAAGGAAGAGCGTCGATTAAGACTCCGAGTTCGTCGGAATCGTTGCCGGAGAAACAGAGCTTGGCGTACTATCGATTACTAGCTAAAAGTGATTTCCGAAGACAGAGAATGAATCTTGGTGCTAAGTTTCAGTCTCTTGTTCCATCTGAAGGAAGCAAAACTATATCTTCTGGAAATGACTTTGGATGGTACATTTTTTTTCTTTAATCTTCACTCTAAATTTAGAAACAAAAAAAAGTTCCTCTTTTTATCCTGAAGTTTCTAAATTTTGTTCCTTTAGATTCGATCCCGAAGAAAAGTCCTGTGTTTTGACTAACTCAATCTGCTTGATATACACAGTCTTTTCCTTTGGGTTAACTTGTTTTTTGGATAAGTAAAATAAGTTCTGAACTTTGTAGATATAGTAGTGGTTTGTTGCCTTTTATGAATTTTGTGTTTGATGTTTTTACTCAGGCTACACTACACATGGATCGACATAGGGACTCCGAGTGTATCGTTTCTTGTGGCTTTAGATACTGGAAGTGATCTACTTTGGATTCCTTGCAACTGTGTGCAATGTGCTCCTTTAACATCCACTTATTATAGCAGCCTGGTATGTGATATAAAATGATAAGCATGTTGCTTATATATAGAGTTAGATAGTGAAATGATGACCGGTTAGCGCTTATTTCCAATTGATTGATTGGCGGATGCTTCCTCGTGTTTGGGGGCACATATTCTGCAGGCTACTAAAGATCTGAACGAGTATAATCCATCAAGTTCAAGCAGCAGCAAAGTCTTTCTGTGCAGCCATAAGCTGTGCGGTTCTGCTTCAGATTGTGATAGCCCGAAGGAACAATGCACTTATACTGTTAAATACCTTAGTGGAAACACCTCGAGCTCAGGACTACTTGTTGAAGACATCTTACATCTTACATATAATACTAACAATAGACTGATGAATGGTTCCTCCTCTGTCAAGGCTCGAGTTGTTGTAGGGTGCGTTTTACTTTTACCATTGTTTACGCTATGTTTGTTTTTAAATGTGTAAGAAGCAAAGTATTGATAAATGTGTCTTCATATTGCAGATGTGGTAAGAAGCAAAGTGGGGACTACTTGGATGGGGTTGCTCCTGATGGTTTGATGGGTTTAGGACCTGCAGAAATCTCGGTTCCAAGTTTTCTCTCTAAAGCAGGACTCATGAGAAACTCTTTCTCGTTGTGCTTTGATGAGGAAGATTCAGGGAGAATTTACTTCGGTGACATGGGACCGTCAATACAACAATCAGCACCATTCCTTCAGCTTGAGAACAAGTAGTAATGAACGATCTCTATACTTTTTTAACCATTTTATTTATGACAGCTTTTATCAATTAGCAACTTATGTTGATTTTTGTTTACAGTTCAGGCTACATTGTGGGTGTGGAGGCTTGTTGTATTGGCAACTCGTGTCTGAAGCAGACGAGCTTCACAACTTTTATTGACAGTGGACAATCATTTACTTATCTACCGGAAGAAATATACAGAAAAGTTGCACTTGAGATTGACAGACATATAAATGCTACGAGTAAGAGCTTTGAAGGTGTTTCATGGGAGTATTGCTATGAATCTAGGTACACTAATTCTATAAAACAGATATAGAGAAAGGAGCTCTTTGCTTGGTTTCATATATTCTTCTCTTAATATTTTTTGGATTTTCCTTTTTGTTTTGATGGAGACAGTGTTGAGCCAAAGGTACCAGCGATCAAACTCAAGTTTTCGCACAATAACACATTCGTGATTCACAAACCTTTGTTTGTATTCCAACAAAGTCAGGTTAGAACATCTTTACACGTTTTATGATTCCTGCTAGAAAAAACAAGATTTAGATTTTGATGTATTACATTGTCATCAACTACTTTCCAGGGGCTTGTTCAATTTTGCTTGCCTATCAGTCCTAGTGAACAAGAAGGCATAGGAAGCATAGGACGTATGTATTAGCCTTATTCATCTTCTCTCTTTCTCTCTCACATCCTGAGACCATTGTCTCCGTCAATTAAACTTATATTTTTCTTTTGCAGAGAACTACATGAGAGGGTATCGAATGGTTTTCGATAGAGAGAACATGAAGCTAGGCTGGTCACCCTCTAAATGTGAGATTTTGATTTAAACTGAACATTACTACTAAGATCTCTTTTAGGATCCGAAACTAAATCGAATGATACCGGGGTTGTTTTTTGCAGGTCAAGAAGATAAGACAGAGCCGCCTCAAGCTTCACCGGGAAGCACTTCATCGCCATATCCATTACCAACAGAGGAGCAACAAAGCAGAGGCCATGCGGTTTCACCAGCAATTGCAGGTAAAACTCCATCCAAAACACCATCATCATCATCCTCATCAAAATCATCATGCATCTTCTCTTCCATGATGAGATTATTCAACTCTCTTCTTCTGCTACATTGGGTTGTTTCTTTAATGTAGAGATGAAGATTGTCTTATCAAAAACAAAACTATTTTGCCTTGCATATATATAATAAGTTGATCTTGCACCAATTCTATATATCTTCCTCATCATCTCCATCAATTCAATTCGGATCAAGTTTACTGAGTTAGTACAAAGTTCAAATTTTTGTTCTAAATTATTTATATAACATGTGCAAGTTTTAGTTTTCAAATGATTAATACACTTTTTACGGATATACAATTGAATAAAAAGATTCACTTTTTTTACCGGCCAAATAAAAAAAGAAAGAAAAGCAAGACCAGTTCAAGAGTCATGGCCACGGCGTTTCACGAGCTGCTTCTGAGCCTCCGACAATCCTCGGGTCACTTCCTCATCTTCCGGTGTCTCTTTTTTCAATATCTCGTAATCTCCAATCGCCGATTCCCAATTCCCAAGCTGCAACCACACTCACAAAACACATTAAAATTACAACCCCAATTTTATACTATATTCACGATTTTGCCATTTATACAAATAAAAACTCTACTTCAGGAAACGAACACATATTAACTACCTTAGCGTTACAATCGGCTCTTCTGAGTCGAGCCTTGGTGTAGCTAGGACGGACTGCAAGTGCCGCGGAGGTATCCTCAACGGCTCTATCGAACTGGCCTATTTTGGATAGGCAAGCCGCTCGGTTACATAGCAAGACTGAGTTTCTTGAGTCGTGGTCTAAGCCTTCACCATAAGCTGCACAAGCTTCTTGAAATCGTCTGGCTTTAAAGAACTCGTTCCCTCGTGATCGCGCTGCTGTAACCGCCTGCGCACGCCTGAGAACCATACTCACTTCCCTGTTGTTACCGTCCAGCTTGCCCGCTCGTTGAATCGCCTCAACTGCCTCTACAAATCTGTTTGAATAACCCTGGTTAGGACAGATATTATCTACAACTGTAAGCTTGTAGGGACTCAAAGAGAACAAACCTGCCGGAAGCCATGTGAACCTGAGCCCAGATGACCAAGAAACCGGCGTAACCGATGGGTCCGTAGTATTTTGTGCTCATTTCCCCATCGAAAACCGGGCATCTCGACAAAGCATCGTCGGCCTCTTGATGTCTGTATGTCTTCAAAAAGGCCTCTGCTTGCAATGCATATACTTGAGGAGCTGCATCAGCGCCTGTAGTTATGGTGTTTTCTGTTTCTTTGATCAAAGTGTTCCAATCTCGCAATCTTTTGGCCTCGGTACATTTGTTGAGATGTGTTTGAACCATTTTAGCTTTTGAAATGTCTTCTTGGTCAGCTTCTGGACCTGCATGCTTGAAATGATATATTGACTTCTCCACCTCTCCTAACCTGTTGGTTTAAAATTTGTGCTTTTCAGAAAAATGATGATAGTACTTGAGTCGCAAGGTAGATTTTTGATGAGATTACCTGAGGTACAAGTTAGCCAACCGATGGTGTGCTCTATGGTAATGAGGATCGATTCTGATTGCTTCTCTACACTCAAATACTGCCTCGAGAATTCTCCCCAATGCCGTTAAAGCTGCGCTCTTGTTGCTTCGATAAGAAGCCTTTTTTGGATCGATGGATATTGCGGCTTCATACAAGGCTAACGCCTCTGCGAAATTCCCGTTCTTATAATCTTCATTACCCATTATCTTTAACGTTTCGGGGTCCATTCGTGTGGAAATCGCCCTACACAAAGATCCTGACTGATCTTGATTATTTGAAGCCGGTATTGGTGTAACCGATGTTTTTCTTTCCTCTTCCATCGTCTTCTTCACTCCATACCCTCCACCGGTATTCCCGTATCCATTGTTCTGGATAGTAGTTTGATTCCCACCTGATGCTCCGGGCTGCTTCAAGTTCCCAAGATTGCCAAACAACATCACATTGCTTGAAGAAGCTCGAACCATAGAGCAATTATTCCCTTTTGCTTTCTGATTATCCATGATCATGCTCTCTAGCTCACCTGATAAACCAATTGCTTCCCTTGGAACCTTCCTCGCTTGTTGTTGTTGGACTGGTCCTTGATTACTACTTGGTTGGTTATTCCCATTACTGCCTAATTGATGGTTATTTGGGTATTGATGCGATGAGGGTTTTGAAATAGGTCTCTGTACCTGGTTCTGGATCTCTACCGGCTCAGGTAAAACTTTATTTTCTTGAAGCTTCCTCGGGTTAAATTCAGTACATGGAGATTTGGTGAACTGAATGTTAGCGGTGGTAGCGGTGGCGGTGGAAGCATTGCTGCTACTCATTGTGCTTTTATGGCTACTATTGTCTGCGGGACATTTCTTGGACCACAAGCCACGTCTATTAAACACAAATCCCAAAAACCGACAACGCGACTTTTTCTCCACCGGATTATCCGCCATCCTTCCGCTTCTAGATAGAACCGAAACCCCGCCGCAGAACAATCAATGGAACCCCAAGAAAGGGGTAATATAGGAAGATAGAAATATAACGAAACAGAGCTTTTAATGGTTGGTATTTACAAAAGAGGACACCATTGTTAAGAGGAGAGAAGAGATGGAGGAAGCTTCTTTTGTTGCGTGTCCTCTTCTTGAATCAATAAATTTCATACAAAATGGCATTATGATCAAACTAGGTTAAGAAGAAATGCAAAAAGGAACGACTAATATAGGTTAAAACGAAAAGAACAAGACAATTTATTTTTCTCTTCTCAAATCGATATCAAATTCTCAATAGACTTTGGTGGTGGGTTTGTCTTCTGTTCTGTTCTGTCAATTCAAGATTTCTTTTTCCCTCTCTCTCTCTCTCTTTTTCTGTTGTTGTTTGTCTCTTTTTTTTTTTTCTATGGCAATCGCATGTTGACCTGGTATTGTAAGAGAAACAGAAAATGAACCTCAGATTTGTTTAGTCAATATTTAGAAAGACAACGAGAGTTTTGTCGGAACAAAAAAAAAACGTCCGATTTTTTCTCGACCCGATTCTATTTCTGGTTGATTTTATGGGGTTCAAATTGGTTTTTTTTTTTCTATGTAAATTAAGGTGTTTATGACAACGTATGTGAATTGCTCATAAAAACTAAAATAATGTGGGTTCACCAAATCAAGAATCTAAGGAGACAATTTTCTACTAATTATCTTAAACCAAAAAAAAAATTCTACTAATTATCTTTATGTATATATATGTTTTTATTTTATGAGTCAATAGAACTCAAAAGTCAGTTCTTACAACGCTAGCTATAATTTTGTGTCTACTTTTCTTTTTTGACAGATTTTTGTGAAAATTATCTTTTAAACGACACTAAACAGAGAAATATGTATATGTACACAGACCGTCAGTTGTGATGTGTAAAGCTGGTAAACGTACGCATAGATGGCCGGGAAGAAACTAGTTTAAAATGAATACATAAGGTTTTTAATTAATGAATTAGTACTAATCACCTCGAACCCCTAAATTAATAACATAATACAGCAATAAACAATTCTTAAACGAGTGGTCAACTAGCAAATTACGTTAACCCTTAAGCACTAATGAGGAAGAAACAAAACCAAATATTAAAAAAAAACAAAGGGGTCGATCGACTGATTAGTCGAGAAGCAGAACTTGTGGGCTTCGTGGACACACGTATAATGAATTGATTCTATATGTAATTATGTGTTAATACTTTTACCTTTATTTTATTACTAAATTATTATGCATGCTTGTAATCGCTTTTAGGTTTAAACGAAAAAGAATCTGCCGACTTACTAGAGACTAGAGAAGGGGTTTATCCGTTTGTGTTTCATTAGGGACACTTACTGAAGTAGACTACACGTGCGGTGCTTGGCTCGAAGCATGACAAGTTTAAGACGAGTCATATCACCTATACTTTCAAGTAGTGAGTAGTGACCGACACGTTATGAGTCCCTTTTGATCTCTTAGCTAGGCTTCTATTCGGTCCGTTGGCCGGCGAAGTAGCGCTTGACACTCCAAAAGACCTTCGAATATAAGTATATAACTAATAACTTTGCACAGTGATAGTTCATTGTGGTAATAACTTATGTATCAATGCATTCATAATCTGTGGGTTTACAGGAAAATGATCATTATCATTTTGGCCGAGTGCACCAAATAAACAACGATTATTTTTAATTTGATCAAAGAGATCAAATTTGGTGTCTTTATATTTTAGAAAATCAGATAATTTGACAATTATAAGCTAATATTTCATGTAGATGTGTATCGACCAGTAATGTAACATAATTTAATTTGGTTATTAATTACAAGATCATAGAGTTAACTTCTTATAATGTTTGGTGAAGTGATGAGAAACCAAGACCAGGACCAAGATGGTGTCACATTGTCAAGTCCATACTAATTAAAAATATTATATGTGAATCCGCAAATTTTGTATAGAAACTGAAACAATAATATAATCTTTATTATGAAAGTCAAGTTTTTTTTTCTTTTTCTACGGAATGATATTTGTGTGTATACTAATTCAAAACATTATATGTGAATTTGCAGATCTAATGTACATACAAATGTTTTAAATTTGCAATAATAACAAAGACGCGGATTTGACGACTCGCATGGTTCGGCGACAATGACATTAGACACGCAAACTTATTACAACGTACGCGAATGAGAGTAGGCCCATTTAAACCCATTATTAGGCCCAGTAGGTCCCACTTTTTTGCCTTTGCTCTCCTTAGTCTCCTACATAAACCAATTTCGCAGAGTCCCTCTAACTAAGCTCACTAGAAAGAAAAAAAACACACAAGTCATCTTCATCTCCTTCCTCTCTCTTCCTCATTTTCTTAGTAATCTCTCTACCTTAATCTCTAGTTTTCTCAAATGGGTAGGCTTTGGTTTAACTATATTTCATCTCGACATAATCTTTATCTATCTTTCTCTGTGTGTAACCAATCCTCTGTTTTTGCAGTTCGTTTTGTCGTGGAAAAACCACAGATAATGTCAGCTACTCAAAACGTTGTCGTATCAGAGACCACAAGATCAAGTATCATCCCCAACAACAACTCTTCTTCTCAGAAGCTCCCTCCTGGTTTAATCTCAATTTCCAAGAAAAAGCTTCTCAAGAACATCGACATCATCAATGGTGGTGGACAGAGAATCAACGCTTGGGTCGATTCAATGCGAGCTTCTTCCCCTACTCATCTCAAATCACTTCCTTCTTCTATCTCCTCACAGCAACAACTCAACTCATGGATCGTAAGTTTTTTTAATAGTCTCTCCCAAACTGATCTTGATGAGTCTTTCTCTTACATTTCTTTTTTTCTTGTATGTTTTACGACAGATGCAACATCCTTCAGCACTAGAAATGTTCGAACAGATAATGGAAGCTTCGAGAGGAAAACAAATCGTAATGTTTCTTGATTATGACGGTACTCTCTCTCCCATCGTTGATGATCCAGACAAAGCTTTCATGTCAAGCAAGGTCCGTCTTAAAATCACATTTATTCTGTTTGACTTAATCATATTTGAGATTAATGACATTTCGATTGCTGTTTCTCAGATGAGAAGAACAGTAAAAAAACTGGCTAAGTGTTTCCCCACTGCTATAGTTACTGGTAGATGCATAGACAAGGTATTTCTTTTTTTCTTGGCATTTTCCCCATATTTTATTACATACCATTTATAAATTTATAGTTACCTAATTTAAGCTTTAATTGTTTTTTTCAAAGGTGTATAATTTTGTGAAGCTTGCTGAGCTGTATTATGCTGGAAGCCATGGCATGGACATTAAAGGTCCAGCAAAAGGCTTCTCCAGACACAAGAGGGTGATTTTTCTAATAACATAATATATATTGATAAAAACAAAACATTAATACTTTTTTTTGTAACAGTACAAAACATTAATACTTTCTTTATTGCTTTAAGCTTATTTATTTCCTTTTTATTTAGGTTAAACAGTCTCTTCTGTACCAACCAGCTAATGACTATCTTCCCATGATCAATGAAGTAAGACATATATTATTATATGTTGGGTCCACTCAATAATTAATTGAATGTAGTATCTTCTTTTGTTGTATTATATAACCAATATAATATACCTGCGAGTTGATTCTTGATTATATAATTTGATTTTAAGGTTTATAGACAACTCTTGGAAAAAACCAAATCAACTCCGGGAGCCAAAGTAGAAAACCACAAGTTTTGTGCTTCTGTGCACTTTCGCTGCGTCGATGAGAAGGTAAATATTGAAATCAAATGAAGATCTAGAAAATATTATCAAATAGAGAAAACTAACATTAAAAATGGAAAATTTAATAAACCAGAAATGGAGCGAACTGGTTCTTCAGGTTCGGTCGGTATTAAAAGAATTCCCTACGCTGAAACTGACCCAAGGTCGGAAGGTATGACTTGACATATTCTCATTGTCAAAACATCTACTTAAGAAAATTTGTTTGGAATCTAATTTTGTTCTACAAACAGTAGTGTAAATTATTTAAATTTATTTTTGGATTTATTCAACAGGTTTTCGAAATCCGTCCAATGATTGAATGGGATAAAGGAAAAGCTCTTGAGTTCTTGTTAGAGGCACTTGGTGAGTACTTGAGTTGTTGTTCACTATTTTTAAAAATATTTTGTCCTCAATCTATGATTAATATAATGCAAGAATTTAGTCTTGCCTTTTCTATTTGAAAGTACTTTTTTCTCGACTAAATCATTTTTCATCATCAGTATGGTTCTCAATTCTCCTTTTAAATTTAGATAATCAGTTTTGAAGACTGAATTTTCAAACTTTGGATACGACAGGATTTGGGAGCACTAACAATGTTTTTCCGGTTTACATCGGTGATGATCGGACTGACGAAGATGCATTTAAGGTATATCTATTTTTTCCCTAGCTAGTATTTCATAAAGTATAAGAGCGTGTATATAATTAAGTTACCATACTAATCATATTTGTTGACTTGAATTTGTGCCATGTAAATTAGATGCTACGAGACAGAGGCGAAGGCTTTGGCATTCTTGTCTCCAAGTTTCCCAAGGATACCGATGCTTCGTATTCTTTGCAAGATCCATCCGAGGCAAGTCTAAATATATAATGATTAATTAATAGTATATATGTGTAACAATATACTAATATACCTATCCATGTATTAAGCTGTTAATGGTTTCTACTCGAGCTAACTTCAATTTCCTAAATACGAAATGAACAGGTGATGGATTTCTTGCGAAGATTGGTGGAATGGAAACAAATGCAGCCAAGAATGTGAAAGGATAATATAATAAACGAATGACAATGTTCGAAATGCCAGTGGACATATTGGTGAATGTATAATGAATATGTACATGCCTAATTAACTTATCTTGGAACGTTGTAGTTGGTAAAGGATAGGGCAATGTCTTAATATGCCCCCTTAGGTTAATCTTATTTTGTTTTCGTAAGAAAAAAAAAGGATGAACAAGAAAAGAGGTGACAAATTTGTTTCCAGCAGTCTAGTAAGTTGTAACTATCTTTGTAAAAGCAATATGTAAACGCTTGTTAATTAAGAAAGAAGTTTTATTTAACGTTGTCTTTGCGTTTTAATATAATAACGGGTTTTCGGTATCTACGTACTGACGTACATTCCGTCTTGTTTGAGAATTATATTAAAATATCGATCTAACAATAAAGAGATTTGTTCGTATGAAAATCTTTGTGAAAGTATATGTTATGCCAATGTTTGGTAGTTACTGAAATAGCTATAGTTTCTAGCTCCTTCTCTTTTATTTTCCATGTTCTTCAATCTATATGTATATAATATTTATAATTTAAAAGTTTACATTAATTTGGAGACGGTGCATGACAGAGTAAAAACTATATTTACGTACATAAACTATTATTTGTAAATTGTATGTGACACATATTTAGAAAATAGTTAAATATGTGGATATAATGCGAGGAATTTGAAAGTGTTTGATACTTTGATGTATCTAGATTTGTCTCACTTTGTGTACTTGTCTACTGACACTTTGACACATAGCCTCATGGGGTCCAAGTGAAACTAAATTATCAATTCAAATCTGTCTGGGACGTACTTTTCACTAGTATATATAGACGAATCAACCTAACCAAGTTAAACCGCATCCACGAATTTAGGAATTATTACAGGATTTGCCTTTTTTGGGCCACCATTTTTTAATTTTGCCATTGTTGATTGTCTTTTAGATATGCCATTCTCAGCATGATGAAATGACAGAATTGACCTTGACGCTGGTGAATCGTTTTTGGGGGCACAAATGCATAAAGCGGTGATGAATTTTCTAATCATCTCCTCCGTCACCACCACAGCCATTACTTGTGTTTCCAATCCATGATAATTAATGCGATAACGCTTCTTTTTTTTTTTTTTTTAATGATTTTGTGCATTTCTAATGGATGATATTTTTTCTCTACAAACGTAAATATATCCATTTGTATATTTGGACTTTATATCTTTTAGGTCAGGGACGATAATTTTTTTTTTTTTGGACAAATGAGTCTCATCCACGAACGCATTGTCGACTTGAACTCTAATCTGACAATATTTAGTTAGTCCCGTTCCAACTTCCAATAACCGGTTGAAGTAATCAAATAAACTAATTTCGATGTATTGCAGATGATCCATTTATGTAACAATAGAACAACTAGATGTGAAACTTGAAACTGAAACCCTCATACTTCTCAATTTATATCTAGTTGTGTTACAGAATATGACCAAGTGGTGTTTGGTCTACTAGCATACACATGGTCTCTTCAAATAAGTGAGAAATCGTGCTCTCTTGGTTCAAGTGTCACTTAAGAGAAGTTTTGGTTCCGATGGAAAGACATATGGGTCAAAGTCGATAATTTCTCAATTAACCATTAAAATAATCACGATATTGTATTTTTTTTTACAATAATAATGCTTGAAATATTTGGAGTATGTACATAAACTTTAATGATATTTACTTATACAATTGCCTATGCATTACAGTACTATTGTCCGCAAACTATTTAGCCGTAGAATTATAAACGACTTAGACAAATTACAGCACACAAGTAGATAAATTGTACATGTCAAGCCAAATAATCTCTGACTTTCCTACGTTACTGTTTCCTATTCTTACTCGAATTGGTGCTTACGTCTTTTGGAAATCTGACAGTATAGATGGTATATACAGAGACATAATTGAATACATACATATGTACATGTTACATAGATGGACATATATATGAGTGGCTAGAACATCATCCGATGCATGCACGTAGTCTCTGTGAAAGCTGAGATATGTGTACAAAAGAAAAGTCATGACTATACGTATAGTGTCATAGCAAATCAATAATAGTGGATGGTCATTATGGTCAAAGCTTTTTGTCCATAGCTTTTGGGTGTATAATGCGACTAACTATCACAATAAGGCTGCATGTGAATTTTCAATCCCTTTCGATGTAGACATATCACCAATACTCAGTTTTACACTTTTACTTATATATATATATATATATATATATATATATATATATATATATATATATATTCTCATTGTCCATGACCTAGATTAAATAATAACGAAATTACACTAGAAACCCATAAGTTTCCGTATTGAATTTGTGAACGTAGCTATGTAGGATATGATATGTGTAAGGACTAAGAAGTAAGAATCATTGCACCAAAGATGTGGTGGCCTAGTGGTAAAAAAGGGTTTGTTCCCTTGTACTCAAGTTCAAATTCTTTTTTAGTACGGTAGAGTATTTTTTAAATCGAAATATCTAAAGGCAGATTATGAATACATAAGAGATAATGGGCCAAAAACCCATTGCGAATGAATCGATTACATTTCATAATAGACGAATTAATACAACATTGTTTAGAACTGGTTTAAAACTATGTCATTATGATAAATTTTTACCCAAAAAAAGGTCATGAAGAGAAATATACAAGAATGAAGGGTAGATTAACCATCTCTTTGTTTTTCACCAAATATATGATTTTATTTCCCCCAATATTCATTTTGCATTTACTAGGATTCCCCGAAAAACTAGAATCCAGCAACTTAGAAGTTCTGACTGGTTACATAAATAGAAGAAGAAATTAGAGGAACTGAGAGCATCTCCATCAGTACAATTTTTGAGAGTGTCTCCTAATTTAAATAATAAAAAAAAATTCAAAAAGAAGGAGAGAAAGTGAAGAGAATGTCTCATAGTTTTTCTCACTGCAGAAACTCTGAGACACTCATATGCATATGTGTCAGTTTTTAAATTGGTATAATCTAAAATAATAGAAAAACAATTAATTACAAAATTAAATTACAATAAAATATTAATATATTTTTCTTTAGACACTCTTTTTGGGTAGGAGAGCGATGGAGATGGTCTGAGAAGTTTTCTTCGAGAAAAAAAAAAATTTCTTTGATAACAATGATAATAATGGTGGGTCCAGAAAAAGTTAAAGGGGAGGAAATATTCTTCTATAAAATGCACCAGTCACAGCCATAATGAATTCAAAGAAATGTGGTGAAACTTCTAAAATTTAGGAAATATAAAGTTCCAATTCTAACGTGACAATGAGAAGAGCTCAGATTGGTCAAATTGGATTACACTTGTAAGATCGCATAAACCGTGGATTCCACTTACTCCTTTGGCCAAAGGTAGATGAATCCAAAGTTTTAATTGAGATGCGTTAAAAAGTATACTATATATATTAAAAAAAAGCAAAATACAGACAAAAACTAAAAAAGGAAAGAAATTTTTTTTTAAAAAGGAACGAAAACCGAACACATGGGTGAGGCAGGAAGCAGAGACAATAAGACAATTCCAAAGAGTTACAAAGTGTTGTCAAACTAAACTCACTTCCTCACTTTATCTGAACGTGAAAAGATGGATTCCACTCTTTGCTTTCCCTTCAATCCCTTTCACTGGCTGATTCTTAGCTCTCTAAGCTAATATTTCTTAATTAATTGTTAGCTTAATCAAATTATTTGATCATAACTTCAAATCTCAATTATTGGTGATTAAGGAGTCTCTTCACACCACAAAGTTCATACTTTTTTAGTGTAATATATTTTTAATTACGTTAAATGAGAGACGTCTTCTAGAGTTATATCTATGCAAAGGGTTTGGTTAAAAAGGGAATCTAATCTAACCAAATATTGAAATGTAGTTTAATCATATATATATATATATGCATATATAATCACAAGAGCATCATATATTTATTCGGCTAATATTTTAGTAGGCTTGTATATGTATAATAGTTTCAATAATGTATGGATCTTGGAGATGGAAATGGATGAATCACGTGGAAGAGCTCAGATTTTATGTCGACTTATATATATATATATATATCCAAGTTTATGAACGTAGACTCTAGAAGTTGCTATATTCTTTCTATTCGCTACTTACGTTTATAATTGGTAATTGGTTTGTCCATAATCAAAAGCATTAAAGATGAAGAAGTTTTTTCTGTTATTTCTTCTTCTCTATTTTTGATACTAAAAATAAAACTATTTTAAAAATAAATATATCTGCATGTTGTCAGAAACTTGAGGGTGAAGAGAAGGGATGGTCTTGGGCTCCCGTAGTTTTGTTACACGTGCTCGCATTGGCGACCGGTCCCTGCTTTGAGGGTCGAGCTTTCCGTCTGTCTTGACTCTTTACCATTTTATCATCTTACTTATATATATATATATATATATATATATATATATATATATATATATTAACTCACATATATGTGTTACATACACATAGATAGTGAGCCGTTTATGATATGAATTTAGTTTTGTATACTTAAAACATCAAAAGAGATTATTTGATATGGGCATCGTAATATCGTATTATTATTAAATCTGTATATATTCCATATATTATGACAAAATGTTAATCACGCATACTCTTTTAAGAAGATGGGACCTGCCTAACTCGTGTACCAATAAATGAAATGGAATATATATATGAGTAAACTAAGAACATCATTATCGTGGGATCCAAGCAGAAGTCCAAAGTCCAATGGATCCAAAAATTTAATCCAAAACGATTAAAAACAATGGATCCGGCTCTATTTTTGGATTTGTTGCACAGCTTTGGATCTGCGACGTGTCGCAATGTGGTTGGTTGGGACATATGTATTACAGACCAAAAAAAAATTTCTTGTGTTTATCATTTGCGATTCTTTCTCCTCTATCTCTCTCTTTCTCGCAAAACGCCGCATGCGAAAATCGTCAAGATTCTCTGAAATCGAAAGCAAACGGAGGAGAAATCGTTATCTCCGACTACTTGATCTATCCTGATCATCATCTCCACCGACGTGGGACACTCCCTGAAGCAATCCACGACTTTCCCTGAAGCTATCCGCGATTTTTCCTGAAGCAATTCGTGACTTTCCTTCACCAAATCGGCGTGAAACCTTCATCAACTCTTTCTCATGGTACGAACGTCTTTCTCTTGCTATAAATTCTTGTGAATTTGATTAGGTAACAAATTAGGGTTCTGTGATTTTAGGTAAATTAGGGTTCTTGGTTTCTTAGTCAAATTAGGGTTATTTGAAGACGAATAGGTCATGATTGTGCTTAGGGATAGCGAGATTAGCCATGATTGAACACGATTTTAGGTATAGATTGTTTGATTTATAGATTGAACACGTTTTTTTTTTCTGTGATAATGTTGAAATGTTTTGGAGCTGGTATGTTTTGTTTGATCCCAACTAACATAGTCCCTGCCTCCTGATCTGGCTATTTTGTGACTAATACATTCTTGTGCATTTGGTTTCATTTTATTGTATCTTTCATGTCTGGACATTCTAATATTTTGTCCAACTTGTGTAGGTTAAGGAGATACTCTCTTACTATCCATCCAATTATAAGCAGTCTGCAGTTATTCCTCTTCTAGATCTTGCACAACAGCAGCATGGAGGCTGGCTCCCTGTTTCTGCTATGAATGTGGTATGTCTTTGTTAAGTGTTTTTCAGCTTTCTCTTAATGAATGAAGATTCTGAAGTAAGCATTGTTGGCTAGGTGTTTTAAGGATCATTCTCTGTTAACAAACTCCATTACTTTTCCTGCGTTAATAAGTAAAAGACTTAATAAGTAAATGCTTGTTAGTTGTGATAAATGCTTGTTAGTTGTTTAGTAACTGTCTACATCATGTTTTATTAATGCTTTGTGTGTGATCAATGCTTGTTACATTGTGATCAATGCTAGTTAGTTGTTTACTCTCAAGTGATAAATGCTTGTTAGTTGTGTGATCAAGTTGTTCGACTGATCAATATAAACAACCACCAAGATTTCTTTATTCTTTCAGTCTCTTTCTTCAGTCTTTCTTCTTTCTTTATTCTTTCTGTCCTCTTCTTTCTTTGTTTTTGCTGTCTTTCTTTCTTTCTTTCTTCATCTCAGCCAGAAGTGGTGTAATGGATTCTTCCAATCCATTTACTCAATCTTCTGGGTTCTTGGACCTGCTCAATAGTCAACCATGGACTGAGAATGAAGCAAGCCAAGTCCCTGTCCAAAATGATCAATGGTCAGAGAGCATTCAAGCTGAAGTCACACCTGAGCGAAAAAAAAGGAAAACGTAACAATTGGTCAGCAAAGGAAGATGTTGTGCTCATATCAGCCTGGTTGAACACAAGCAAAGACCCTGTGGTGGCCAATGAGCAAAGGAAGATGACCTTCTGGTCAAGAATAGCAACCTACTTTGCTGATTCTCCTGCGCTTGTTGGGATGCCAAAGAGAGAGCCTGACCATTGGAAGAAAAGGTGGAGGAAGATCAATGATCAGGTCTGCAAGTTTGTTGGTTCCTTAGCAGCTGCAACAAGTCAGAAGTCAAGCAGACAAAATGAAAATGATGTAATGAAGCTTGCTCACCAAATCTACTCAAAGGATTATGGGGTCAAGTTCACACTTGACCATTGTTGGAGAGAGCTTCGCCATGATCAGAAGTGGTGTGATGCTTCTTCACCTGCAGAGAGTGACAAGTCAAAAAGAAGAAAGGTAGGGGATAGAGCTGAAGCTGCTGGTCACTCATCAAGCTCACAAGCAGCTAGCCATGGAGATGAAGCCATGGCTCGTCCACCAGGTGTTAAGGCGGCAAAGGTCAAAGCTAAAAAGTCTAACAAAGGCGTTGAAGAAGGACTAGATGCTCTGTTAAGGATTCAGAGCATTTGGGAGATTAGGAAACAGGACCATGAACTGAAGAAAGAGGACTATGAACTGAAGAAGAAGCAAAGCAAGCTCAAAATGTTGGAGAATCTCCTTGGAAAAACAGAGTCACTTAGTGAAATAGATATGGCTTTAAAGGACAAGCTTATCACTGACATGTTGTCATAAGCTTGAATGTTTTCTTTTGTTTCCTGAATCAGTTTTTTTTTTCCAGAAGTTAGTGTAATGGAATGTTTGTGATCAAGTAATGCTTATGTTATTTGTGAACTGATTAAAGTTTGAATTTTTACTTTCATGTTATAGTGGTTTAGTGAGTCGTCCTTGGCTACGTTTCTTATAGAGCTTTGATTATCGTTCTATCTGATTTAAGTGATGTGTCTTGTCTTTTGTTGTATGCCATCTCTGATTGTATGACCAAGTATACTCAGCTTACTTATTTATTTCGAGTCATTATTTTTCATGATGGTTGAATGGTTAATGTAGTATTACTTAGCTTTGATTGTATGTGTAATGGCATAACTTTCTCTTAATTGCAGGGCTCTTGTGGTTTGTTGCAGACTGCAACGCTTAATCATGTCTTTGAAACTATCAGGCTGGTGCTCCATTTTATCCTCTAGAAACTGGAAGGAAGGATAGTGCAGCAGCTTTCAGGGAGATTGCAGAACAACAGCTTCCTGCACCACACACTACTCTCTCGGTGATTCTTGCAAGGTTTTTTGCCAGAGGCTTCAACGAGAGAGATACCGTCAACTTGTGGTTCTTGTTTCATTTTAAATGTAGCAGCTGATGATAAATTGTGGTTCTTGCATTATAGGCCATGGTCTTGTGAAGATTCACTTGAGTTTGTGTGTCAAGTTTTGTGAATGTGTGAGTTTTAAGATTATAGAGTGTGTGTCAAGTTTTGAGAGTCAATGTATCCCAAACACTTTTACACATTTTTTCAAAATTTTGTATTTTTAGATCCTCAATAATGGATCCACCATTGGACAATGTTAAAACTAAAAAATTCTACAAGTGTCTAAATTTTAAATTTTGCATTATTTACAATATAAATATGGTTTGGACTCCTAATTTTAGATCCACCAATAATCATGCTCTAATGTGTCACACATGGGAACTCCTGCAAAGGCGAATGCAATAACAATGGGGAGCCAAATTACTATATACGTGTCTGTTTTTATATATTATGATTATGTAATATATGAACGTGAGCTCTGTAAGAACCAAGCAAATAGTATATATTTTTCAAATAATTTGATAATTGTATATATTACATAATCATAAAAATCGTTAGACGCTAGTCAGATGTTCGGTATTGATCTAGCGATTAATCGGAAAATCGGATTAAAATCAGCAATTAATCGTAGATTAGTTTAGGGTTATTTTAATATTTTTAAAACATATTAATCCAATATTGTTTTCAAAATTATAGTAAACACATGAAACTATATTTTTGCGACAAATTTTTATGATTTTTATTACAAATTTATGTTTCTTTTTAATTAAAATTTGAACATAAGTTATTGTAAAACATCACAAAATTCCAATTTAAATGATTGAATATAAAAAATAAAAAGTTTTTTTATACTTGCAATATGAAAATAATCGGGATATGTAAGATTAGGCAGAGAGTAATCGGATTAGGCGGGAAGTAGTCGGATTAGACGGAGAATAATCGGGTAACTGATTTCTTTAAGAGATTAGTTATTAATCAAAGCGGATAGGGTGAGTCTAACGATTAAAAATATTATATATATATATACAATTAATAGGTGACCGCGTTTCACGCCGAATTTGTTTTGTTATTTTACCAAATATTCCCTCTGTTTCGTTTTAGTTATCGTTTAAAGTTTTTTTCACACAAATTAAGAAAACCATTAAATGTTATGTTTTACCCTTTATTAAGATATTTTATAATTTTTTCATTGGTCAAAACATTAAAACAAGAGAAATTGTTAAAAATGCCCCTTTTTCAAAACCCCTTTTCAAAAATGCCCCTTTTGAGAGTCCATTTTTAAGTTTGCCCTCTTTCAATTTTTAATGACCATTTTACCCTTATTTGAAACAAAATTAGGTCCACAAAATACAAAATATTTTTTGGCGGGAAAAGTGATCCCGCAATTTTCCCGCCAAAACACTTGTAAAAACCTTTAAAATGGACATCCAAAGGGGGCATTTTTGAAAAAGGATATTGAAAAAGGGGCATTTTTGTGAGTCTCCCAAAAAACAATAGGGATAAAATTAAAATTTTTACAAAACATTTACATTAAAAACCTAAAACGACAACTATTATGAAACAAAATTTATCCTAAAACGACAACTAAACTAAAATGGAGGGAGTACATTATATATATATATATATATATATATACCGACATCTTTCTTTTTTTTCTTTTGGTTTTTTTAATTAAGAATTTAACATCACTTATCCACTATATCCGAACATTTCTAAATAATATCACTCTGTTAAACGCAATTGTAAAATAAAATGAAGTCACCTATTATTGTGTGTTTAAAATGATACATTTTAGGACACCAGAAGCCCATAGGTGATTGGGTTTATAACTTCAAACCATCTTTATTAGGCTTATTTTCAGTAAATTAATAAAATTGTGGGTTCATAAACCAAAATTTACTGGTCCAGTTATTGTTTACAAAATTCTAAAGAGCCCATAACTAAATTACCAATGTTTAAATTTGACGTTGTTCCTACGATTAACGCTAACTTGCGACATACGTCAAGAATTGCTTCTTTCCATTATCTTCAGTTTTTTCTTCGAACTTACTTTACATCATTTATCCAGAAGTCAGTACTCAGTACAATCACCCAATTTCGAACAAGCAGGCAAAAAAAAAAACACAACACATAAAAGAAAAACATGAAAACAAATGTTCTTTTTTCGGTATTCATAAATTTCTTGTAATCCGAGAAAATAATTCAGTTAAAATCAGATAATATGTAAACAGAATGGTCAATATTTACTAAAAAGAATTACATTTTTGGTTGACTTGTTTGTATGTCATTGAGGTAAGTATAAGACGAATTCAACTCATAATTCTTAATCTCAAGAAATTAATAACCATAATTACGTAGGTCATCAATGTTAGTCATATGTTACTTATCAAAGATTTTGCAAATTATCAGTAAAAGTGGACCTCTCACCAGTTGCAACCTTATACTTGGGTCTTATTCTAAGTCATAAGAGAGTAAAACAGAATGGTCTCAATGCCAAAGAATCACAAAGAAACTTGTGTTTTGTAACTTTGGTCTTAAAGAAAACAAAGGAGTTTGATAGAAGAACTTAACAACACCAACAATAGTTGCACTCATACATACCCATTTACGATTTTAAGCATCTACACATTGCATCCAGATATTGTAATTTTCAGAAAGAGAAGTTCGAATCATTACAATGTTTGATCAAGTAGAGAAGATTACTTAATTACTGGGTGTTGTGTTTAGGTGATTTCATTGCTCTCTCTACATCCATCCTGCAATCTTCTCGCAATTTTTTCATCCTCACAAAGCTATTTTGCTGCAAAAATTGGAATTACACTCACAAAACTCAGGTTTATGTGTACAAGAACAACTGGTTTATAGTACACTTTGCATCATGCTATGAAATCAGGTTAGAAGCTTCTAAAAGCACTTACAAGGTGGCTATTCTCTTGAGCCAGGATATCGCCCATGCTAAGAAAGAGCGACCTCCACTGGGCCATGAGCTTGGATTCTTGTTTTGCAGAACTAACGGAATTTTCCGTGACATGAAAATCCGTAGATATTTCTTTAGCATTCCTTTGAATCAAGTTGCTAGCTGCTTTATGACTCTTCTTCATAGCTGGCTCAGAAGAAACAAAAAACAACTCATATTACAATAATCACAAGAAAATCCTAAAGAGCTTGTTGCAAATATACGGGACATACCGGATAATCGACCTTTGGTATCCTGATAACTAAGATCTAACCACATATACGAAGCTGAAGCAATTCATTTATAGCAATAGCCAAGTTAGATAATAATGTTCATGAAAATCAAGAGAAACGAAATGTAAGAAAAAGCTGAAGAATCAGGCACCGTGGAGACAGAATGAACAACAACAAGATTTTAGCAAGTCATCTCCTGTATTCAGATTCACATGCTCCTTACTGTTAACATTCGAGCATCTACTCATTTCAAATGATCTCAAATTCTGACAATTAGACAACTCCTTCCCAGTCTTCAGTAGATTCCTGCTCTCGGTATTGCTAGGTAACAGAGATAAAGCCAAGCCTTCACCAGTGACATTGGTTTGATTCGCATTAGCAGCCGCGTTTAACTCTCGTGCACCGTCTCTATCACCAGGCTCAAAATAGATCTGTACAGACTTGCTTTCCTTCAAAGGTTTTCCATCTCCACTGGAGAATTCCATCACAGCATCATGATATTCCTCAGATTCTTCTTTGTCAACAGAATCACCAGAAGTATTTTGATCAAACGAAGAAGACCTTTCAATTGTATCCAAAGGTCTAGCATTTTCCTTAACCAAATCATCTACAACTAAACACAACCTCTTTGAAAACTTCTCTCTTGAAACTTCATGAACAATGGTCTTACCAGATTCATCAAGCAAATCACCCAAAATCGATGAAATCCCTCTTTTGCTTGGAAGATTCGTCAAATCACCCAAAACAGGTCGGGTTTTCTCCGACATTGTTTTGTTGCTATCTTCAGTCATCTTCAAAATCCCCCAACAAAGAAAGAGCAAAAATTTCAATTTCAAACAATTAAAGAAGTCAAATTTGATACTAAGAACTCGACGAAAGACACAAAATTAATTCAACAAAAACCCTTAATCGAAAACTCAATTTCGAATCGATTCATACAAAAAAAAAAACTAGAATTCTGGGTGACTGACCTAGAGAGATTGATAGGGTTCGTCGGTGGGATAATTGTGGAGGATCTGATTGGTGAGAAAATTAGGGTTTTTGATTTGGTTGAGGCGGGAACCGTGCAGAGTTTCCGATCTCGATTCTCTTCTTTTGACTCGCGTTTTTCGAAATCATATCATTATTAAATTAAAAGCATTAAAGTGAGTCTGGAGCGATATCTCGTGGGTCCCAATGGGCTCTCACCATTTTCTAAATATAAATTTTTTAATTTGTTAGATGAGAGCTTATGTTTTTTTAAAAGATTTTCATAGTCTAATGGTAGTCTCTTTTAGTAGGGTTCTCTCAAAAAAATTTATTATTTTAAAATTATTTTATTTCATAAAACTCAATTAAAAAAAGAGACTATGATTAATAAAGAATTTGGTAATGTACATATGAATAAGAATGTTCTAAAAGGTTTAAAGTACCCATTACATGATTTGAAGTCTTCAACAAAACCGAGTTTCAGAGTAGTAATGTGGAAATAATAACCGGGAGAAATGTTTGAGTGTGGTTTCATATATATCTTGCTTCTCACATGATGAATGTCAATGGCTTCTCTAGTTGTGTGCTTGGTAAAACTTAAAAGCATAGATGAGAATAGGTCATGAAAATTACAGCAAATTCCACCATTACCACCTATCTTAGAGACCATTAATACGGAGTAGTTCAAAACAATAAGTCATCATTGAGTGCAGACAAAAGAATACTAACTACATGGATAGAGCATACCTTAAATACTGAGTTTCAAGTTGGATCCCGAAGGTTGGCATGATTATCACAGATTCTGAACAAATCAAATCAAAGAAAAGCTAGAAGTAACTAAAACGTGAAGCTGATGTCATTTGGCAAGCCTGTAAAGCGTGTACAATTATGAACCAGGATCTCACCTTTGTTGACGAACTTGCGACTTTGTAGCATAACTAAGAAACCACTTAAAAGGCAGCCCCAAGAAAGAGTTCTAGCTGGATTGTCATGTTAATTATCACTTTTCAATTCGAGTGAAGAAGAAACAGATGGAACAACAACAAAACAAGCTTGTAATGTAACACAAATTAACTAAAGTGCTCTTAAAACAAACCTTGAAACAGAATGAAAACTATCAAACTATACTCCATCATCAATCGTAATAAACAAAATGGTATGCCTTTCTCATAATATGCACTAGCAACACTTGTTCTAAGCAATGCCTCGGAATTACTCAAATGTCAACCGAGAGACAATCGAATGTAAGAACAAACAAAAACAGTTCTATGAATCAAGACGAACGATAAGATTAGAAGAACAAACCTTGCAAAATATGGAATCCATGAATCTCAGAGCCGATAAGCCTACCGGAATCAACGTTGTTGCAGTCTGAAACTGTGTCCAGTGGAAGCCCAACGAATAATTTTACACTCTCCAGCTGCAACAAAGAATAAAAATGAAAATTTGTTTTCAAAATTGGATCATCAAGAGGAAAAAGATCAAATCTTTCTTAAGTTTCTATGTTTAATAGACTCTAATCTGAATTAGTATCACCTAAACAAGAGAAAAAGGAGATTTTTTTCTTCGATTTTCTGCAGATTTCCCAGAAAATGATTGAATTACCCAAAGAACGCAACTTTGCAAATCGAAGGAGGAGAGAGAAGAGGGTTAATTACCGATTTAAATTTTGGGGAGGAATTGAGAAACGGAGGAACGTCATCGGAGACGATGGCTTCACATTTGACAGATCTCGAAGAACACCTGATCGCGATCTCATCGGAGACGATGGCTTCACATTTGACGATGGCTTCACATTTGAAAGAGAGAGATAGTCGGGACAAAAAACGAAAGAAAAAAAATACTGAAAAAGACGACACGTATGCGTCTCTCTTCAGCTCCAAAATCTCTTTTAAGAGAAACGATTCTCTTAATATTAAAGCTTTCTGATTTATTTTTTTTCACAATAATTCAGAGAGACTGTAATGAAAACTCTATTTTTCTCCCATTGGAGATGCTCTAAGCCCATTATAATCTACCGAGCCTAATACATATGAGAAAGGATCTGGCGGCTGGGGCGTACCATATTTTGAAGTTTTGAACCGGCAACCCAAATTAATGGATCTAAATTTAATTCACAAACTGAATATGAATGCTTAATTTGAACTTTCAAGTAAATATAAAATTAACAAACTGAATAAAAAATACATTTTTCCATACTTCTTTTTTAAAAAACCAATATCTAAGAGCATGTGAGGTAGGAAAAACCTCTCCTATTCTCTCAAATATATTATTTTAATAATTTTTGTATAATTTCTTTTTTTATTTAAAATTTAAATTACAAGTAAAATTCATAACCAATTATATTGAGACATGTGTCAAATGAGTTTCTACACACCCTTTTAAAGTTTTTTTTTTTTTTACCTTTTATTATTTTATTTTTTTAATAGATGGAAAACTAAGTGAAACTTCTACTAAACATGTTCTAATATATGCATATGATCAGTGGCGGATCCAGAAAAAATATCAGCCTAGGGCACATATAATTTTTTAAATAATAATTATGTTTTTTAAAGCATCTATTATATTTTAAAATATAAGTTTCCTAAAATCTAAAAATTACAAACTTTTTTTTTTTTTATGAAAACACCATTTTCGTTGATTTTATTAATGAAATAAAAGTTTACTAAATTCACTAAATATCATTTTTATTTAATAAATTCACTAAATATCATTTTTATTTAATATTTCGGAATTAGATAATACTTTTTTACATTAAGGACTTAAAACTAATTTGTTATAAAAAAAATACGAAGTAACCAATATATTATTGGTTGGTATATAAATTAGAGAAAGAAAAGAAATGTAAAAATACAATCAAGCATGAAAGAAGTATGAATTAAAAAAACAAGGAAATATGTGTACTGGCAAAAAAAAGAGGAAAGGTGGGGAAAAAAATATGAAAAAGCAAAATATGACTAGAGGGAGGCATCGATCTCGTCAGCTACTATTTCTAATATTGCATTAAACACCACTTGACCAAACAAACAATTAGGAGAAGTGTTCAAAATTTAGTTTTTAGATATTAGTATGGGGCACGTGCCCCACCCCAGCCCTCTCTAGATCCGCCCCTGCATATGATATCGTAAACTTGCCCTTTCAGTTTCAAGTAACCGACCAACCCTAAAATTATGTTTTTTTTACAAATTTATTCCCTGTAGTTTGTTTGTTTTTTAGTGTTATTATTAATCTTCTTTAGAAACGAATGAGTTATAAAGAAATTCACTCCCCAAAATTTAAAAATACATTTAAGCTTAGTAAGAGAAAGGTAGATAGAACTTTCGTAAGCAAGCTTATCGAAAGCGTCGTAATCATAATATTGCTGATATCAATAATCCCTGAAATCCCGTGCTTACGATCATATTCAATGCTTTCAGTTTCATCTTATGCTATCTCTCACTCGTAAATAAAACCCTTTTAATCTTCTTGTCTATAAATCTACCTACTATAGTCTATATATTTATGATCACCTATATATACTATGCAGTATGCACAATTGCACACATGTATGATCCACAATTCTTTTCACAATATGTATAATGTAGTATATATGAAGATCTAAACATTTTTGAAGTATGACAATAGATTTTTTATATTTTTGGACTAAAAAAAAATTCCGACTACCGATTTGACTATCTTAGACCATCTTTATCAATGAGTTCTTAAGAAAATCTTAAGATGATCTTAGTAATTTTGGTCTAAGATTGCCAAATCCAAAATTAAGTTTTTTTTCTTTTTGGCTTTTAGGTAAGCAACTCCCTCAACTCATCTTAACTTTGGTTCTTAGTAATAATACTAAAAAATTACTAAGATCATCTTAAGATTTTCTTAAGAACCCATTGATAAATATGATCTTAAAGCCATAATGTTTACAAAAACATTTTTATATCATATGCGCAAAGCGACAAGAAAATGAAACAGTCCTATTAAAACTTTTATTAGATATATTAATTAAGTCGGTTCAATGAACTCTCGTTATCCATCGACTTTGATGCAACCGAATAAATTTTTAATTTTCTACTAACGTCCGGCGTCGTGATGCCCGCCGGAGATAACTCTTGTCCACCTAAAAAACATAAATATCTCCGCCACAAAATTTCAAAATCTATTACAACTTATGTTTAGCTCAGACCAAACCAGGAGACTTTGACACGTTCTCATCGCACATGCACACCATCCCCTCTCAACAAAAAATCAAATATAATTCGTGATCTACATATATAAATAGGCCACTCAATTTAACAAAGGTGGTTGTGCTACATCAGTATATCCTTCTACGTACGGACAATAACCTCAATCACGTATAATATAATATAGATAAGTATCAATTATAGTCCATGACTCGAAATCTAATGGACTAAAAGAAAAAAATGGTGGAAGTAGAAGAATTGGAACCACTTAGTCCGATTGAAGATGAGGAAGAAGAAATCAGCTATGATGACCTCAAAAGACGCATGTGGAAAGACCGAAACCTCATGGAAAAGCTCAAGCAACAGAAACGACACAGCAAGGACGTCGTTTCGTTTACAACACACCGAGCCGAAGCGTCACGGCGCAAGAAGATGGCTCGTTCTCAAGATTCGGTGTTGAAGTACATGATGAAGATCATGGAGGTGTGTAAAGCGAAAGGGTTTGTCTACGGAATTGTACCGGAAAAGGGTAAACCAATAACGGGTTCTTCCGATAGCTTAAGACGTTGGTGGAAAGAAAACGTTCAGTTCGACCAAAACGCTCCAGACGCTATCACTGATTACTTAACACTCGCGGCTGCGGCTGCTGCAGCAGAGCTAATCGATAAGTCTTCATCATCATCGAGCTTACTACACATGTTACAAGAGCTACAAGACACGACTCTAGGGTCGTTACTATCAGCGTTAATGCAACATTGCATGCCGCCACAGCGGCGGTTTCCGTTAGAGAAAGGAATCGCTCCGCCATGGTGGCCGACGGGTACGGAGCTTTGGTGGGGAGAGCAAGGATCGGCACATGAGCACGGTGCGCCGCCATACAGAAAGCCGCACGATTTGAGAAAATCTTGGAAAGTTAGTGTTCTCGCGGCTGTGATCAAACACATGTCGCCGAATTTGGGAAGAGTGAGACGTCTCGCGAGACAATCTAAAAGTTTGCAAGATAAGATGATGGCTAAAGAGACCGATACTTGGTCTCGAGTCTTAAACCAAGAAGAAGCTCTTCTCAATATCAAAGACCTCAAGATCTCGGAAGACCAAGATCAAGAATCGTCGGGGTCTAAGAGAAAGGGTGAATTTATGGAACCGTCAAAGAGTGTTTACACTTGCCAAAACTCGAGTTGTCCTAAAAGTGACGTGAGTTTTGGATTCGGGGACAAGAACTCAAGGACAGGTCATGAGATCCAGTGTCTATACGGGTCGACCCAAGAGCCGAGCCAGAGCGGTGAATATACACCTTCCATGCTTGAAATGGTTCCAAGTATTGTTACTAGTTCGACTAGTGATGATGATTATTACAGTGTGAGCTCGAGTGCAATGGACAAGCGAGATGGTGATGATCATAGCATTAATGGGAATTGGATGGAATATTTTTGGTTGGAAAAGATGCAGCAGGAGTTACATTGCTCTAGGACATTCGAAGATGATGAGGGTACTGGAACGGATATGAACCAGTTCACAGAATCTGATCGATCGGACAACGTGAACCAGAGTAATTTTTCAGTTTGGGACATGGGTTGCGAAGACAAGGACATATACATGTTCGATTAATAGTTAAGCTCGTTACTAATTATACTACGCTTTACATGTGCCCAAAGTCAGAACTGTCTCTGCTTGTATTCTCTAGTTACATTGCTCTAGGACATTCGAAGATGATGAGGGTACTGGAACGGATATGAACCAGTTCACAGAATCTGATCGATCGGACAACGTGAACCAGAGTAATTTTTCAGTTTGGGACATGGGTTGCGAAGACAAGGACATATACATGTTCGATTAATAGTTAAGCTCGTTACTAATTATACTACGCTTTACATGTGCCCAAAGTCAGAACTGTCTCTGCTTGTATTCTTTAGTTACATACTTACATCTATCTACTTATACAATACAATAAAATTATTTTTAGATCTCGTATTAATAAAATAACTAAAATATAAAATATTGAAGAATTATTTTATCCTACATAAATAACAGAACATACAACACATTCCTTTTTCTTATTTTATAAGATTGCAAATACTTTATTTTATATAGTCTCAATAGTCTCACCATCCTTAAAGACTCAACAACATAATAAAATAAAAATAAATAAACTCTAAATCAACTTTTATGTTCTGTTTCACCAAGATCATAAGATGAGTAAGGATATGACTCAAATAGCCCGGATATCGCCGTCGGCGAGGCAGCGTTTGCGGAGAGTAGCACAACCACGGAGCGGTTCGTCCCTGAAGAAACCCATGGCATTGGCATAGTGGCGAGTAGAGGCGGCTCCGTTGGAGCGCGTGAGGATCACGGTAACGGTGCTTCTGCCAGGATCAGCCTCTTAGCAGCGGGACAGAGGACTGTGAACAAGCTCCGCCAGACATTGCTGCTCCTCAATCCCGTCTCAATTCATTATGGGGTTCATGGTAAAACTTAAAATAAAATAAAATATCTTATTAAAAAAAAAATTGGAAAATTGGATCTTTTAGCCTTAATAAATTTTTTGAAACTGATAATGGATCCTGGACTTTTGCCTATCTTATCATCCCCGGAGACGGGCCTGCTGGTCCTGTCGGTCTCCTCTAACAGCGACTTTGTATTTCTCATTGGGTCCCGTCACCGCCACTCCAACCAACTCCGATTTCAGTGTCACTCTGTCTTTGCATACTATTCTCTCACTCTTGCCCCTGATTTTTATATCTTATATATTAAAGGAGAAGTCGAAAGTGATCACGTTCGCTCTCAGAATATGAGCAGTCGTTTTTGCCCCCCCCCTTTAATGAGATTAGATTAGTTAAATTTCCATTTTGTTAATAAAATAAAAATCAAAATTGTGAAAAAATATACATACCGTCTTCATTTCTTCAACCCTAATTCGCTTATTGGACTTATATTTTTACGGAAAAAAGCCCGGTATAATTTACACCGTCATATGTAAAACCCTAAAACCTTATGCTGGAGATTCCTATAAATATATGATGCCTCCATTGAAAATCAAACATCACGGCTGGCTTTTTATGCATAGCAATTATGGTTTATAATTCTTTTTTGTACCTCAAATTTGGTTTTTTCTATGATGCATCGTCGTCGGTTTTTTTTTCTCTTTTTTATGTTATGGTCACTTGGAAAGTAAGATCTCAAAGATTTTTGCCAATTTGTGATGAGTTTTTTAGTTTCTTTATTCTCATTAGATAGTTTCGATATTATGATTTTTTTCATATAGCTATGATTCTTTTCATGAATCGAGTTTTTTTTTTTTTTTTTTTTTTTTGGTGAGCGAGAGGGAGGCAATACCTCCCCCGATTTATTAAATTAAATAAAAGAATTAAAACCGAACATAACGTGGAAGTTCCGTCCCATGAATCGAGTTTGTGTATTGTGTGTTTGTGTTTTATAAATTGGTGTTTATATGATAATACTGATTTGTTTCTTTTATTTTTTGAGTTGTATGTTCGCTTGATTGTGTCAAATAAATAACTTTTGGGTATCATCTAATCGTGTGTTTTATTTTTGTAGGTTAATCTTCACCGAAAGTATTGAAAAAGATGATGAAGAGTACATCGTGAATTGGTGCATGAAATAAAAAAAAAATATTTAATTAATAAAATCTCCAAAAGATATTAAGGTTTGTTTCATCTTGCGAAAATTTATTCTATTATCTAACTATATTTTCTATTTTATCATGAATTTATTTATTTGCTTTTTTTGGCTCCTATAAACCTTAGGATATACTTTTTTTTTTTTTTTTTGAACTAAACCCTAGGATATACTCAAAACACATTAAATACGTTTTTAAATTCAGGGGCAAATCATGAGTCGTAACATGTGTCTTTTTTTGAACCCTTTTAGATTTTTTAGCTAAACATTATATATCTTATATATGTTCTCTATCTGCTTGGATGTTTCTCTGAATCGACTGATTCGAAATCGGGGTCAACCCAACTTTGAAGGGAAGATTAATCTAGCTCGGTTCGAACCGAGGCCCAAACTGATTGACTTGCATGTCCTTCATAGATTCAAGCTCTATGCTACTCACTCGGTAACAAAATCTCCTCCTCTTTCTCTTAACTTCGGTTTAATTATGATCTGTGATTATGTGAATCTTATTAATGTTCAAAATCTCTTTTTAATTTATTATTGATTTGCATCAATATGAATCTTTTTTATTCGGCAACTGATTCACCGGTAATTGGTTTATGGATTTTTATTGTGTTTGACATTATTGCATAATGAATTCGTTAATTTTCCAATTTTGGATTTGAATTCTCTTTAAGGTGGTTTGGTTTAATTCCATGAATCGCCCTATCAGGTACTACTAAATTTCTGATTTCTTTGGCTTTCTTCAATTTGTTTTCTTGCAGGATTCGAGGGAAAAGTGCTTGCACAAGTGTTTCTAGACAGAGAAAATGAACATTGAGATTTTTTGGAGTTTTGGTTTTATTATTTTAATCGTGGTGTGTTCTCTTTCTTTAGGAGGTTTTATTAGTCTTCATATATTATTTTCTATAAGACGTTTCAGTACTTTGATTTGAAAATCCAATATTAATAAACTATACTTACAATTTTATGTTATTATAGGTATTGTGATTACAAATTCAATATATGTACGATTGGTAAACCTATATAATATCTTAAAGTAAGGTCGAGTGTCAAACCAATATAATATCTTAGATTCCTGATCGGGTGTTAAACCAATAAAATGACTTATACATAATCGATTGGTGTATACTAACTTTGAATTAGGTTTTTAAATAATATATTGCGTTGGTTATTGTAATCTATTTAAATCATGTTAATTGACAATTATTTTTAACGATGTTTAGCTCTCATAAAATATGATTATATTATATTGTGATTAGTTATTAAAAAGGGAAATATGAAAATGTATATGAGAATTGTGTTTCGTTATCAATTGATGAAACCGTTATATAATACAGATTATCTTTATGGTATTTAAATATTTTTGGTATTCTTAACTTTTTCGATGGTAATCTTAAAGTGAAATTTTTGATTAAAAAAATAAAGAGTATTATTATATATCTTTAACATATATATAGCTAAAAAGAGATATCCAAACTAATGTTAAATTTAATTACATCTACCGTATTATTATATAATTGTCAGATATATGTTTTTTTTCCAGATATATGTTACATACATTATAAAAAGTTTATACTCTATATATGAGATTACTTTTTGTATATATCACGAAAAAAATATATAAATAAATTATGATAATATGTTCCTTTCCATAAAAGACACGTTTGGTATATTTTTTGAATAAATGTTTATTTCCCATTTATCGAAAGTGTTGAATTTGCATTAGTTTATAGTGATGACATGTATTATTTCCTAGATAAATGACAGAATATTATTAAGTTTGTGGTTTCATAATTAAATTTACTAATTAAACCAATATATACTAATATGGTATATTCTGTAAAAATGTTAGGTTGTTGTTTTACAAAAATGTTAAATTCAGGTAAGATTAAGACAATTGCACAATATGAAAGTGCTCACGTTCACTCTCAGAAATTAAAAATACGTTTTTGCCCTCCTTTGAATGAAATTGTCTAATTTAATTCTTTTAAATAGTTTTTTTTCCTTTTTTATAAAAAAAAAATTGCACCGAATATTACAAAAATGTTAAGATACCTGAACATATTCGGTGGACTTATTTTTGGAAAAAAATAAATTGGCCTGGTATAATTTACACCATCATATGTAAAACCCTAAAACTCTATGTTACAAATCCCTATAAATATAGGATGTCCTTCATAAAACACAAACATCACAGTTTTTATTTTATGCATATTCGTTATGGTTTATAGTTTTGATTTGTACCATAAAGTTGGTCATTTTTATGATGCATCATCTCAAAGATCTTTGCCTATTGTTGATCGACCTCTTAAACGAGGATTATAGTTTAACCGATTACATGTTTTGATTTTCATAATTGGTTTGTTGTTTTATGTGTGTCTATTATGTTAGTAATTAGCACTTTTTTTTCAGATTTGGTACATGCATAAACAATTTAGATCGTGGAATTGCAAACTAAACTCGAATGAAACTAAGGTATTTCTCTAATTCGATTTCCTATACACTTCTCAAAAATAATGATTTGTTTATATTGTTTTTTTTTCTTTTGTCCCATGAAAATAATTACCCTAATAAAAAGATTAATTAATTATGTCAATGGATGTGTTCGGGTACGATCTAAAATTATCAGATTTTTATAATTTTTTTTTTCTTTCGTCTATTTTTTTTTATAATTTAGATATGATTTTAATTAATATTAGATTTTATTGTTTTGAAGGATATGTACAAAATAGTGGACATTGTTGTATCGTTCCTAAAATCGGTCATCGTTCCTAAGATCATGCATGATTGTTCCATGGTTGCTTCATAGTCTTTCTTCAATTATCGTTCGAACGAAATTTCTCACGAGCGTAAACATGATTTGGAATATGGCGAGAAAGAGGAGAAACAAAAGAAAACATGCCTAACCATTCAGGTAAATCCACTCCCCTCTTTTTCTTCATCCTATCTTTTTAATACTCTCTTGGTTATCCCTAAACCGAAGATATTTTCATGCCTAAAGCTGAGACGTAAGTTTGTTTTCTATTATTTTAGTCTTCTTTATCTTTCATATTTTGGTTACTAATTAATTTCTTTCATGCTAGATAGATTGCACTACGATGAAATACAAACCTCTTGATGACATGTCACGTTTGAATTCTACAAAATATGAATATAGAATTCGAGTCAAGATCTTGTGTTTATGGAGACAGAACTTCGGTGGGCTTGGTATGAGTTTAGTGATGATTTCTATCATATAGGAAGGTTTGTGATTTTCTTACAAAATTTCCCTTCACTCGATTATTAAAAGTAGTGTTCACAATGTTTTTTTTTTTTTTTTGTAAAAGGTTCAAAGATTAAAACTTCTTTGAGAGGTGGGTTTATAATCGCTTTGTTTCTAAGATTTCTATTGGTCATTGGTTTCACTTTGATTATTTTTAAGGTTGTTGATCAGTTTGGCTCATCAAAGCTACTAATCATCGATACATGCAACTAAGATTACTAAAATGGACATTGTTAGAGATAGAAACTACTTCAATTTCGTTGATTTTACACGTCTTAGGATGGTGTTCATTACGATGATATTACTTGGTTGGAAAGTTTCTTTTCTGTATAAATTATTTTTGATATATATGTTTTAGTTCTTTGTTCTCTAAATAAATTTCAGTCTTTTATTTTACGTGAAAATTAATTGTATAATTTTCTGAATGATTTGTTAGATGTGATCGGTGAGGTTGTTACTTTACTCAAGCTGTGTCTAAAACCCACTTTGGATACTAACAAAGATTACACTTTGGATAGATGTGTAACTACTAAAAATCTCGGCTTTTAAGTTTGTTATGTTTTTTTCCTTTATTTTAGTGTGTTTTCAAGAATTTTAATAACTCTAAGTTTGATATGTTGTCTTTTAAGTTGTAATATATTATTAAACATTGGGATTTTCTTATATGTGAGTTCTTTTATGATTTAGAATTAGAAATATTGAATAAGAAATAAACTCATTATATGTATCACCAAATTTGAAAAGAATAATATTCGTGAAAAACTTGATTTATAAAAAAAAAATTTAATAAAAAATAGGTATAACTTTTTTAGAGTTTCAATTGTAATAATCTGCTATTGTATCCATATTTTATTCGATATTTATTGTTCCATTCGATATTAGTATTTGCAATGTTCTTAGTTAATTGCATTAAGTTTATAGTAATTTTAAATCTATCAATTTTTCTTATTGTATAAAGATTTTTAAATGTGTTTTTTATAATTTCATTTGGCCGCGTAAGGCGCGGGTAACTAAGCTAGTAACCCTTAAAAATATTTCAGTGTTTCAAATAAAACAAGTATTTGGTTTTGCATGCGATTTTTTTTTTTGATAAATAATTACATTTCTAAATATAGACTTTTGGATTTTTTTTAACAAAATTATTTAAACGTAAACTAAAATTTGAAGTTTTAGACATTAATTTGATTTAATTTAATTTGATTTTATTTACTATGAGGATTAATTAAATTTGCGGAAATATAAAAACCACCACGATTGATTCTGCAAAAATATAGGATTGGTAAAAACTTGCAAAGTCTGAATATCATCATTATACTATTATGCTATTTACATGTATACAATGTGAACTAATGATAATAAGTACGTAAGTATAAATACGGACCGCGGATGTATTTGGTGGGTCTCGAATCCAAAGCGGCAAGTGTCGCAGTAACACAACGATCAGAGGTACAAATAATTTAGCCATCTCCATAAATGAAAGAACGATATTGTAGATTTTGGAGATTGTTATTAGTGAAGGGGTTTTCTGTATAATCTAAAAATCACTTAAAAATCCTCAAAATTTCATAGCCTAAGTCGTATAAGATGGAGCATTACGTTACAAACAGTTCACTTTAGGTTATAAAATAATGAAAATTTTGTATATTGGAACAATAATCTTTATCGAAAAAAAAAAATTGGAACAAAAAGAAAAAGTTTGTCAAATAGAGAGAGTGATGAAACTGCTGGTTAGCTTCGGTCTGACCAGAACGTGCTTATGTTTCCTCTTAACGTAAGAGTGCATTTGAACACTGACGATTCTCTAGATCTTATCTTGTAGCCTGGTTGTTTACATATAGATTATATTTAGTAAAAATCAGATTCGTTAAAGATGATTAATTAATGTTCACAGTGGCGTCTGATACTCTTGTTCTAAATAAAATACAGTTCTGAATCTCTTTGTATAATATATGTGAATTATATGTATAATATTTACTGCAATGTCTAAATACATACTATTTCTTATCATTTATTTTATAAATGTGGATTAAGGGATTTCTTCGTGGATGACGGAAGTGATGCTGGTCCGAAGAAAATATGGAAGAGGTCGGTCACGTAAACAACAATGAATCTATTGGGCCGAAGGTGACCGACATGGGCCCAAGAAACCCATTCCAACCATACGCTTTTAGGATAAAAACAAATTAATTACGACGAGAAAAAAAACGCACTGAGAGAGCCACGTTTTCTTTGCAAAATAGGCCGTAGGCTTCTTCACAGTGAAGCAAACACAAGTTTTAGAGAGAAGAGAAGAACACGTACACGCAAGATCTCGATGCAATTCTCTCACGAATAAGGTACAAAGTTTCATCAACCTTTTTGTCTTAAGACATATAATATTGACTTAAATCTCGTCTACTTTCATCACACACAAAGTCTCTTGGCCAAAGAGAGAGTATTAAGATATACAAACGCTCGCCCTTATCAGCGGAATAATTATATATATATATATATATATTTCCATAATTATATATGTTTTGGATTTTAATTTCAACCGCCGATTAAAGGTGGCTAAATAAGCAGCGGGAGAGTCACCGGAAGATTGTCGGATATTTGTCCAGCAGGTGAAATCTCCATCTCAGCTTCTGCTCCCACATGATGATTCTTCTTCATCTGTACGATAATCATAGGTCAAAATCACTATTCACTTTCTTCTTTTTGTCTTCTATCAACCATAAAAACACATAAGGTTATCTTTTTTTTTTTTTTTTTTTTGTCTGCCTTTTACGTTTAAGCTTTTAAGTTTGGAAGCATGTACCTAAGCTTTTACCAACCAGTTAATAATCTAACCTATAGCATGTAAAAAAGTAGCACTACTCCTAGACAGACACTTGGAGTTGAGCCAATTATTGGTACCAAACCTAAACCATAACAAAAAAAATAAACCCTAATCGGTTCATAGACTCTTTTTTCGTTAAAGGGTGATTAAATTAAAATAAAGACAACGTTTACACAACTTTCAAGGAAACCAATATTTAACCAAACTAGACTGAACCAGACCATATAACCTGAAAGAGAATCAAACTGAACCAAAACCTAAATAAACCTTTACACACAAAAAAAGAACCAAAACCTAGTTATGCGATGTCCAACAACCGAAAAATATATTTATATATTTAGTAAAATGATATAGCAATAATGTAATTTCTTACTCTTTATTAAAAAAAAAAAAGAATAACTTAAAAATTATAGTGTAATCATTAACTTATACAGTAACTTTTGTTGTTGTAACAATCCTGACTTCTCATCTGATATATATATATATATATTAGATAGCTTTATCAATAAAATTACTATCTTAAAATTATCTTAAAACTATTCACCTATCTTTCTAAAATCCGAATTAAATCGGAATCAAGATTTCCCCTAACTCAAACGGACCAGCCCGAATCGAATTTCTGTTCTTATTTAGTAATAATCTCACTCACCCTGATAAACCAAATCTACCAACAACCAAAATGCCCTAATCTTGATGAGAAGTATTTTCTAGAATACAAGACAGAAATGTGTTGAGTAGTGGCTGCCAAAAAAGAAGAAGAGAAAGTGCTAACTAGTGAATGCTTGAAGTGCAATGTCTATATGTAGTATTCATGGACAAGAAGTGCTTCCTAGTTATGCATATACTCTGTATAGGAAATGTAGCTTTCGTTACCTGGCTAGCCAAAACCTGGTTCTCTTCTTTCAGCAATTTCTCCTGTTTTAAAAAGACCAACACTTTCAGCAAATACTGATCAAGTTTCTAAACCTAACTTCTTCAGATTTTGGAATCCAAAACATATGCATTGGGAAGTAGTTGCAAAGATGTGTGCAAGCTCGTTAAGAAGACTTAGAGAAACAAATGACAACACACAAAACAATATATCTGATGTGCTATAAACTTGGAATCAAATATTTGACCTTTTCTTTGAGGTTCTCAACAAGCTTCAACATTAGTTCTGTCTGCAACAAATAAAAGCAGCACGGTTGTTTACGGCAAACAAAATTCAGAAAAGAGTAGACATTACAGAATCAACTTACCTTCTTGGCTCTAGTTACGGAGAGGGCAGTCTCAAAGTGTTCCTCCAATTGAACAAGAGTATCGACACTCACATTATTGACATTTGATCCCACAAGCTTGCTGCATATATTCATAGTTTGACAAAAAACCCTAATTCCTTTGTATTCAAATATAGTCTTAGTTAGTACTAACCTTTCCACAAGTTCAAGTAGCTCATGGTGTGAACCATAGTTCAGAGCTTTTGACTGAATATCCTGCCCATGAAAAAGGGACAGAAGAAGCGGTAAAAGACAAGGGCTACGAGAATTTTGATATGCATCTGGAGCCACCACCTCATTTTATATTTAGGATCACTCGGTAAACTAATAATAGTAAATTTACTCCTTATAAAACTCCATCTGGGAAAAGATTCAAAATGTTTGTATTACCAAGGCTTTAAGATCATCAGCATGTTGTTTCCCATATCGATCAAGGATCTTCACCAGGCTGGAGAGAAGACAAAAAAAATATATATATATGTTAGGATCAAAACTACTATAGCTAACCCTTGAAAAGACCACTGGAAATGAAACATGTATATGGCATCAGAAGAGACATTTTGAGACAACACCTTAATTTTTACACATGTATATTATATATAACACCACTAATATTCTTAACATTTTAAAAAAAAACAATAATCTTAGTATTCATGTTTAAGCACCGGCACATCTGAATTTGCACCCTTTTTTTTATATATTCGATCGGCTGATCCGGTCAGCCCCGGAGGAACGAACCGAAGTGCTACCATGTGGACTCGTCGCCAACACCTAGGTGTTGGACTACCACACTGTCTAACCCCGAGTTTAGAATGCTTTCTCACTAATACTTGGGGGTATCCAGTTAGTCTAATCCCGGATACCATGTGAATTGCTTGGGCCAAAACCAAAGCCTAGACTTCCCACACAAAAATGATTTTTGTTTCCAGGGTGGATCGAACCTGGGTTAATTTCTTCCAACTTTTCCCCAATTCTTCCTTACCAGGTGGATCGAACCTAGGTTTTTTTTCTGATATATGATCTTTTTATCTCTCAAGAAAAGAAAAGAACTTTAAAATTTACCAAGAATTGTTCGAGGTTTGATTATCCGATGCAATATGTGGGTTTACATGTATTTATTACTCCCTCTGTTTTTTAAAAGTTGTCGTTTTAACTGTATTTGGACAAATTAAGAAAAGGTATACAATGACTATATTAATCTCATAAAAATGATAAGTAATTATTTACAAATAATTTGTGTTCAATAAAATGAGGGTAATTTGGGTAGTTATTGGCATAAATTACATCATTACCTTAAAACGACAACTAATTTAAAAAAAAAAAAAACTCTAAAACGACAACTATTCAAAAACGGAGGGAATATATATTTTGGCAGATTGAAAATAACTTTTTCCTCAAAGAAAAGTAATACTAATATTTTAAGGCATGCAGATGTTATCCTGTGATCTATTAATTAATGTATATATAGCGCTGGCTTTCATTAACTTAAAGTCAAACTAGTTAAAATCATCCTTAATCATACATTAACTTAACTTAATGTATATAAGATCATCCTTAACGGCAAGCTCTTAACAAATTTATAGGTAGATCTTAGACATTAATTAATTTAATTTAATTCAGAAAATAAGCTTATAGTTAAGAGACGTCTCTTAGAGAAGAGTCAAAACTGAAACTAAGAGACAGCCACGTGTCCGTGTATGAGTGATTAATGGGTTAAATTAGGCCTACAGTAAATATATAAAGTAGAAAAAAATCGGAAACATTTTTTTCCCTCTCTCTCTTACGCGATTTCACCGAAAAACGAAACCGGATATGATTTCGTTGAAATTATATTTTTATATTAATATATTTTTTTCCTAAGAACCACAAGTTAAGAATCTACCAATAATGTTGATCAAAGAACCCTAATCATAATCGTCTACTGTCCAGATTGTTTCTATGCATTTATGTTTGTGTTTCTATGTTATAATTATTGATACAATATAAACATGTAAACGCAGCCGTAATCTTAAATGGAAACAAGCAATTGAGGCTTAAGAGAGTGTGTACACACACATCTATTTTTTGTTTGTTACAGAAATCATATACTTATGAAATTATACACATATACACCTGATGAGCCACAAAGTGATGACATTGAAGTAAGCATTGAAGTAAGCTGACGTCCACTACGTATGAGGAAGCCAAATTCCAAGTAAATGCATGGACTGAGTCTTACGGAATCATATTTCCTGTAAATAATTGAAAGACACTTCCCTAAAAATAGAAAACAGTGGAAGACTGCTTGCAATTCATTTGCAACTTGTATTATTCTAATTGCAACCTCTATCAGTGCTTCCATTTTGGTTTTGATCCATACTACAACTTTTAGCATCAAAACAACACATATCTTCTTTACAAATCGTGGTATCAATAGCATTATAAATCAACCTATTTACCCTCTATATTCTATCATATCCATTTCCTTATGAAATTTGATCGGGACTACGAAACAATGGTTTAGAAAAGAATTTAAAAAAGCCTCTTCATGAGTTCATTAGTAAGCTCGTGTCAAAACGGTGACATCAGCTATTTGTTTCAAAGTAATACCATATCAACATATACGAGAAAACTTTTCGAATTTTTCAATGAACCTTGAGGACAAGGTTCTTTCTAGCGATATCGCTAGTATTGATGAGCCATAACATGATCATGATGATGTGGCGGTAAGCAGATGACCATAAGTATATATGAGGAATCCAAACTCCAAATACATGGACCGAGTCTTAAACAAACTCATATTTCTATTTTATGTTTTTTTGCAAATAATCAAAAGACTCTCCTAAGAATATATAGGAAGCCGGTCTTCGTATTTGTATTTTCACTTTCAATTTATTCCTCGTTTGTAGAAACGGTGAGGTTCCAATTTCCTATATTTAAACCCCAAATTCAAGCAATAAAAGTAAAGAGTTTTCTGCCATTGAAGTTACACTAACTTATATTACTAGGAAACCTATCATACCTATATATAAATATATCTTCTATAGAAGGAAGCGACTAAGACAGATAAAACTAAACTACATAATGACCTTATACAAGACCCAACAAATTTGACAACACTTCCACTAATTCATTTTTTTTTTTTTTTGTTAATAGGTATCAGTTCCATTGTGAAGTCAAAACTAAGTATGCAAAAATGAGTTACTGAGTAACTATTTCCACGTTCTAAAAGGCTCCTTCTTTATCAAATCATAACTAAGACCAGGAGTTCTAGTCAGGTGTCTCGACTATTCCAAGGCTGGACCAAACTTTCAGTATATAAGGGGTGAACAAATCCTAAGTATGCATCAAGTGAGAATCGGCCAGCGATCTTGACCAACATGGCCAAACGACTACAACCACTTGGTTAATATATTGGAGGGTTGTAGTAATTAAACACTACACCAGCAATTTTGACAACTTATAGGATTATAATGATTCATTATAGATACGTTCCAAAGAGGTTCTTATTTCTTATATGAAGACAAGTTTTGAGGGATTTTCAATTTCCTAGAGGCACCAAAGAAACAAGGCTGTGTTATTGACAATTTCTATGACAAAAGACACAAGATACAAAGGTTGTGTGATTGTCGATTTTCACAACAAAAGTTACAAGGTAGTGGATTCAGATAATCACCAAGTAATAGGTCCACGACAAAGATAGGAATTCATAGAAGATCAACAAATAGTCTTATATAGTCAATAGCTGCAGAATGTGGTATATACATTATTCAGCATTAACCCCATATCAATCCTATAGATCTCCCGTAGGTGCATTGCATTGCATACAAATCCGAGAGATCCAATGAATTTTAATCACTCTGAAAAGAGAGACATTAATCATTAGTCAACTCTTCAAAAACTTAAGGAATCTCTAAAGCAAAGTAACAATCACAGATGGCTTGAAACTTCACTAAACAACATCGAGCACGCATCAGATCGTATCAAACAAATCGTGAAGGACATGCAAATTATTTCCAAAGAAAATAATAAAATCCATGCAGAAATTTTTTTATAAGAAATATAGAGAGAGAAATGAACAAAAGTTAGAAGCTTTATCTTCATCACGACATTGTTCTTCCTTAAATTAGGTTATCTCATGTATCTCTCATGGTCATAGAAAAAGACACTAACAAACACAGAACCAAGAAACAACAAGAGATTCGCCGGAAAAAAAAAAAACGGTTTATTAATTGTTTTTTTATTTTTGTCTTTTATTTTTATTTTTCAGAAAAGTAAAGAGCACAAAACTGAAGATTAAAGGGGAAATAAATCGAAATCCAGATAAGGAAGAGGCGTACTTATCGCCGGAGGAGAAGCTGTAGAGCTTGCCGGAAGCAGAGACGACGAGAAGAGCGACGGATGCGTCACAGAGAACAGAAAGCTGACGAGCTTTCTCGATGAGACCGTTGCGACGTTTGGAGAAGGTGACTTGTCGGCTACTTTTGTTCTCAATTCGCTTGATTTCTAGTTTTTTTCTCCCCATGGCTTCTGTCTCCGAGAGGGCTTTATTCCCTAATTTGATCCTCAGGTTGGGTTCGAAGTCGCCGGAGATACTAAGCGTTTTTCTCTTTCCTTTTTTTTTTCTATTTTTTTTCTATTTTTTTTATTTCTTTCTATTTTTTGTGCCTATCTACTTTTTCTTCGTTGGGCAAGTTTTTTTTTTTTTTGGGGTAAACGAGAGTGATGAAAAAAAAAATATGTGACTAAAAACGTTGCGTTTTGAAGACAAGGTAGCCACGTGTACCGCATGACGAGCGCATTTGCTGCTCTTGCGTTGCCTTCCCCTGCGGATTGAACTATTGTAGAAAGAGCTCTAAACCCCCACTCTCCATCATCTTTGAACTCTGTCGTCGACATATCAAAACCTTAAAACTGGTTCTCTTTATCGCTAGCTATTGTATAACACCTTTTCATAATTTGGTAAGACACGAGTTAAGACTTTTACATAAACAACCACACATAAGGAATTCAGTCATTTGTTCTTTGATCTTTATTCTAAATTTAACCCAAATCTTTGGCTACCATCTGATGTAGACCATTACATATCTGATGTTTTGAACTAAAGCTATTTTGCTCAACTCGCATACAATTTCATTGGACCAAACCAAACCTACAAAGACTTTCAATTGGATTGTATTTACCACAAAAGTGTACTAAAATCAAAGTTTCTATAGATCTTGTAAGCATAAGTTTGTTCCCTCGCATAATCAGGTTGTTTTTTTTTTATCATTGCCACATTATAGCTACATGTCTATACTGTTGGTGTACTCAGTAGTTTTTTTTTTTTTTTTTTTTTTTTCATGGTGTACTTAGTAGTTAGTATATAATATTCACAAGATTTGCATTCATTTGCTCGTTTCTTATTGCATATGCAAATTTTATTTCCTGCAAATCAGACCAATAGTTAAGATTGCGCATAAAACAAAGGTAAAGAACACTGGATATCACCACAGAAATTTACTGACCAAATGATTTTCATGGACTTCCAAACGATGGAAAAATGTTGGTTGAAAAACAAAGGGGAATGTTTACTACTGTATTAATTATGTGGCAGATAAAAATAGATATCTGTTATAAACCATATGGATGGACTCCATAACCGGTCCATGGCCCATTAGGGTTTTATCTTATTCTTTGTATCCTGCTATTATCCTTGTATATATATTCCTTATACTATTAATGAAAGACACAGTTCACAACACGTTATCAGCACGATAGTCTTTCACCCTAAAAATTAAAAATTCCGAAACCCTAAATCTCTCTCACAAAAACCAAAACCAAAACTCTAGCCGTCTCTGCAAACAAAATTCTAAACTCTATCGAGATAAGTTTTCTGTTCATATTTGTTTCTGCACGGATTATCTGTTATCAATCCTGTCTGTATTTCTGCACGAACTTTGCACAGATGATCTGTTATCTATTCTGTCTGTAGTTTTGCACGAATTTTGCACGGATTATATGTTATCAATTTTGTCTGTATTTCTGCACGAATTTTGCACAGATTATTTGTTGTCAATTCTGTCTGCAGATTTGCACAAATTTTGCACAGATTATTTATTATCAATCCTGTCTATATTTTTGTACGATTTATGCACGGATTATATGCTATTGATTCTGAACTGTTTTATGCAGTATATTACAGAAACCCTATTTTTTTTCATTTTACTAATGTAATAGCCATATTTCCATGAGCAAAATTTTGAGTTTCTCAGGAATCAGGATTATATATATTGAGATTTTGTAGGAAGTCCCAACCAGCTAAGAGACATAACTGTTTCCAATCTCCGTATCAGATCTCGGGTCTCTGTTATCTTCTCCAATTAAGATAAGTGCTATTTATTTATTATGCTTTATATACATGATCCAATTAAAGTTTGATAAGATAAAATTTGCATGAAAATTGGCACATGTGATTTGATTTATGATTGGAGAATTAATTGAGAAGTTAGTGAATGGAAAGATGTTTAATGCATGGCATGATAGATTGAATGTTTTAATATAAACTCTAGGTTAAACCGAAAGTAAACCGAAACCCTAAATCCTAGGTTAAACCGGTTTAATAAACCCTAAGTCACGGTTTAAGATCAAGTTTCCCATATAAGGAAAGTTTCCAGAAATAGAAAGTTTTCATAAATATAAAATCACCATAAATAGAAAGTTTCCATATAAGGAAAGTTTCCAGAAATAGAAAGTTTCGTAAAATAGCAAGTTTCCCAAAATAAAAGGTTCCCTAAAGTAGCAAGTTTCCCAAAATGGAAAGTAACCAAAATAGGAAACCCCTTCATAAGGAAATATTCCAAAACCCTAAAGTACACGTTTGTTTAGGATTTCTTTCTAGATGAGAAATAGAAAGTTTCCATAAATGGAAAGTTCCATATAAGGAAAGATTCCATAAATAGAAAGTTCCATACATAAAACCGAAACCCTAGAAAAAACCCTAGTACTATAAATCGCGGATGCTAAAACCCTAAAACTTAACCGCAAAATCATAATATCCTAATCTAGTATGATCCGATTGTTTGGTTATTTTTTGTTGCATACTAGATCAATCTTCTAGGGTTGATTTCATCCATATATATATAACATGATTGTGTAGAAAACACTTGCTGAAGACAAGCATGGTTCGGTCTTAAATACCGCATGACTTGGTCTAACCGATTACATGAGTTCTCATTTAACTCTATATTTTATAGATGTCAAAAATCAACTATTATGAATACACGGCACTCAATGCCTCTCGTGACAATTATTTACAATGGGCTTTGGACACTGAGATTATCCTAAAGGAAAAAGGGGCTTGGTGAATCTATTGTGGAAGAAAACAATGTCACCAAAAGAGAAAGATATAAGGCGATTACTAACATACGCCATCACCTCAATGAGAGTCTCAAAATCAGTACCTCACTATTAAGAATCCTCTGGACCTCAGGACGGTGCTATTACCCAAAAGCCCGATTCGATCGAAAGAATCTCAGATTCCAGGAATTCAAATCCATGAATGAGTATAACTCAGCACTATTTAAAATAGTGTCAATACTGAGATTCTGTGATGAGGAAGTTACTGAGAATGACTTGCTAGAGAAAGCATTCTCGACCTTTCACACAAACAATATATTGCCTCAGCAACAATATCGTGAAAAAGGTTTTTACCACATATGCAAGTCTAAACTCTTGTTTTTGGGGAGGACTCCTCTGTAGAGAGTGCTAAGGAGTGAGGCTTTGGAGAAACCGTGATGAGAACATTGATTCTGATATGCTACTTGCTGAGCAAAACAATGAGTTATAAATAGTGAAATGAGACCTCCTGGTCCTACCCCATTATCAGAAGCCCATTGGGCTGAAGAGCCTAAAGAGCCTAAAGAGACTAAAGAGTCTAACCACGTCCAAAGAGATAAGTATCATGGCCACAGTCATGGTAAATGGAATGAACGTGGTAGAAGTGGAAAATATAATTTATATGATCAAGGAAACCATTCATATGGTTAAGGCCACCGACCCGACTTTGGTCGTAATCGAGGTAGGCCACGGTATACCCAAACCACAACACTCAAATAAACTTGTTTGCTACTGATGAGTAATGGGGAAACCATTGGACTAAGACGTGCAGGATACCTAAGCATCTCGTTGATCTCTATCAAGAGAGTTTGAAAAGAATCAAGAAGCTCATTTAGTTCATCACGATGGTGAAGAAGATTTCGACCATGAGATAGATGATTATGAGAATTCAATAAACGAAATATCTAAAGACATGGTTCATTAGCTAAATTGCGGGTATAGCTAAATTTAGTAAAGGCTAAGGGCAGGCCCATGGCAGGCCCATATTCCCAAGGGCACGCATCCTCAGATGCTTCATATTCACCTAGCTCAAGGGGGCTTGTTGAGTTTCAAAGAAATGTGTTTGAATGGTTTTCACATTGAAACTAAGGGTGAAGGGAACAAAGGATTCCCATATATTACTAAGAGCACCCAAGACCATGAGAAGGTCTTAGAGACTATACTCGCGTCATAGATCTTTACTATGCCAAGGTCAATATGATAAAGGCTAATAAAGTAAACAAATAAGGGCTTACTGAGAAATTCACTAATGGCATGACCGGCTTGGCCAGCCCGGTTCGAATATGATGCGTAAATTAATTCAAAGTTCTAAAGGGCACACCCTTAAAGAAAACCGAGTTTTCCCTAAGCACCACACGTGCATAGCCTGTTCACAAGGGAAGCTTATCACTCGACCTTCACCAGTCAAAGTGTCTAAAGAGACCTTACATTTTCTAGAACGACTTCAAGGAGACATATGTGGTCCGATCCATCCACCTTGTGGAACATTTCGGTACTTCATGGTTTTAATCGATGCATCAACCCGCTGGTCGCATGTTTGCCTATTGTCTTCTAGGAACCAAGCGTTTGTTAGGTTATTGGCCCAAATCATCAGATTGCGAGCCTATTTTCCAGATTTTCCTCTTAAGACCATACGTTTAGATAATGCTGGTGAATTCACTTCCCAAGCATTTAATGACTATTGTATGGCCATGGGGGTAAGTGTGGAACATCCTGTGGCACATGTCCATACACATAACGGATTAGCTGAATCCCTCATTAAACGAATTCAACTAATTTCTCGACTATTACTCATGAGGTCGCAGCTTCTGATCTCAGCTTGGGGACATGCAGTTTTACACGCTGCTTAACTAATACGCATTCGGCCATCTAGTGAGCATAGATATTCACCATCCCAACTACTCACAGGTCAGGAGCCAGATATGTCCCATCTAAAGACATTTGGGTGTGTCACCTATTTACCCATAGCACCACCACAGAGAGCAAATAATGGGACCTCAAAAGGGGATGGGAATATACGTTAAAAATGATTCTCCCACCATCATTAAGTATCTCGAGCCAAAGGCCAGATACAAGGATTGTCATCTCAATGAATCGTTTTCCCAAGACTAGGTGGAGAGACTAACAAGCTGGTCAAAGAACTTACATGGAATCAAACATCCTTCACATGGCAAGATCCTCGGACTCCATCAGAGATCCAAAAGACTATATATCTGCAAAAGCTAGCTAAAACAGTTGCCAAGATTCCTATAATGACCCAAAGAGAGTAACAAAATCGTACATACCAGCTTGTAATGCACCAGTACATATTGATGTTCACAAGGAACATAATCAAGTTGCTACAGAGGCTACAACACGTAAGAAACGTGGTAGACCCAAAAGGTTCCAAAGATAAGAACCCTCGGAAATCAAAGAAAGGTGCAAGGGAAACCGAGAAGGTTCAAGAAACCATAGACATGGCCGGCTAATAGACATAACCCTAAGGTACCAATCAATGAGGTTTGGGACGCCAAACCTCAAGGTCCTGAAGGTGTAAAGAGATCTCTATAAACTATATCATGTCTAGAATACAATGGAACAAAAAAAAATGTCGACATAAATGATAATATATTTGCGCACAAGGTAGCAACTGAAATGAATGAGGATCAGGAGCCCACGTCTATACTAGAGTGCACTCAAAGACCTGATTGATTAAAATGGTACAAGACCATAAAACGTGGAGCTAAGAATCATTAAGAAGAAGAATGTGTTTGGTCCAATACAAAGGACACCATTCAATGTAAAGCCAGTGGGACAAATGAGTCTTTGTGATAGTGTGAAATAAACATAGTGAAAGCGTGATATATCAGACACGGCTTGTCGCACAAGGATTCACACAAAGACCAGAAATAGAGGAGATATACTCCCCTAAGGTGGATGCTAAGACATTTAAATTTTTGCTAAGTCTGGCTATATAAAAGAGAAAGATTTGCGGCTAATGGATGTAATGCCTGCATATTTATATAAGTCCACTGGATAATATATGAGATTACCAGAGGGTATTGAGCTCAAAGATAAGAAAGATTTTCGAGAACAGCACTGCATAAGGCTGGACAAATCCTTATATGGACTGAAACAAAGCGGACGTATGTGGTATAACCGGTTAAGCGAATATCTCATCAGAGAAGGCTATAAAAACGATCCGATCAGTCCATGTATTTTTATCAAGAAGTTTGCAAACAAAGGATTTGTAATCATAGCAGTGTATATGAATGATTTAAACCTCTGGATAATCGCCCAAACAGTTGAGTATATCTAAAGAAAGAATCTCAAATGAAAGACCTAGGCAATAATTAAGTTCTGTTTGGGATTACAACCTGAGTACGTGAATAATGGAATCCTTGTGCATCAAATGGCATACACTGAAAGAGTATTCAAGGAAATTTAATAAGGACCAGGCCCGCCCATTGACCAGGCCCAATGGTGGTGAGAAGCCTCAAATTGGATAGTGATCCATTCAGTCCGGAAATGCCATACCTCAGTGCCATAGGAGTTCTAATGAATTTGGCTAGACACACTAGACCAAACATTTGTTTTGCCGTGAGTCTCCTGTCTAAATTTAGTTCATGATCAACCCAAAGGCACTGGAAAGGTTTAAAGGAAGGTTTGATTAAGTTTTAAAGTCTATTCTTCCTGCGTTATTTACTTGGGTTTATTCTATACTGATCTAACCAAAGAAGGTCCAGTTTGCTTTGGTTTAGTTTGATTTACTAATGCAGGATATTCATAAGATCAGATTATGGTATGATCAATGAATAGGAACTATGTGTGGCTTGATCCTTTCCAAGGGTACGTAGGCAGCCTTCCTTAAGGCGCATCTACTACTACATCAAAGACCATCATATTTGAAGACAACGCATCTTGTATTGCTCAACTCAAGGATGGCTACACTAAGAGGGATCGAACGAAGCATATTCTGCCCAAGTTCTTCTTCACTCATGAATTACAGAAGGACGGTCAGGTCAAAGTTCAACAGATCCAGTCAAGTGAGAATTCAGCCGACTTATTCACCAAATCATTGCCGACTTCAACGTTCCGGAAGCTCATTCATCAGATCGGGATGCGCGGACTTAAGGATCTACAGTGATACTCAAATCAGGGGGAGTAATGCGTGTTGTACTCTTTTTCCTTCACCATGGTTTTGTCCCACTGAGTTTTCCTGGTAAGGTTTTAATGAGACAATATTCCCCAGCGCATTATAGAGATCCCGGTTTAGTATCGGGCACGGTTATGTCTTCCAAGGGGGAGTGTTATAAACCATATGGATGGACTCCATAACCGGCCAATAGCCCATTAGGGTTTTACCTTATTCTCTGTATCCTGCTATTATCCTTATATATATATTCCTTATACTATTAATGAAAGACACAGTTCACAACAATATCGTATTTTTAATAAAAACTTAATACGAAAAGTACTTCTTCGAATCGATGGGTGAATGGGCATATGATTTATATCCAATCATCCCATTACCTCCTTTCCCTATTCTGGATATGTCAAGCCCATTATCTTTTCTTCAAAGCAAAAAAAAAAAAAAAAAAAAATCTCTTTTTCAAGGCATCTCCATGTTTTGGAGTTTTAATTTATATATCAATGTTTAATTCTAATATTATAGTTTCAAGTTTTCAACTTTCAATCTTCGAAAACGACAAAGATATATTCCCATACAATTAGATTGAATTTACGGTTTTGCAACTCGAATAATACGGATTTTGCCATTTCCACTTCTCTTTAAACAACTGGTCAATTAAAGTGGAGGAAATATATTCCCCATAGTAAAACAACAACATGCAGTCGTTAAAATTCATTACCATTTATTTACTGCTTCTGTCTGTAGCAGTAAAAATACTAGTCCATAATCATTCGTTACTCTATAGTATTAGACTCTTTTTTATTTCTTGATTTGCTTCGATGATGACATTAAACACGTTCTCGGTATACATTTCACCTTCACGATCGATCTTTCTTCTTCCTTCTTGATCGTCTCCTTAGCCATCTCCATAATCTTTGATCTGTCCAAATATTTAGTCAGATCACAATTTTTGTAATTTGAGTTGACTCTGTGTGTACTACTAACCGTTCCTCGTTGAACGAGTTGGATCGTCTCAACGATGGTTCAGCCGTGACTCGTTCTTGACTCACCGACTCGACGATGCTTCCGCTGAAATACTCTTTCTCCTCCGCCTGAGGATTCCCGAACCTTGGATTCTCCGACATGAACCTTATCATCTCACGTTCGTCATCGACGACAGTCTTCTTCACAATGTTCTTGCATAAAACTCCTTTTCGAAGATTCTCTTCTTTTTGTCTCGGATTCATCACGCTCGGTGCGCAGTACTTGGTGGCGGCGATGTGCCCGCACGATATCATCTGGAGCCACATCGACCCACGACCCGATCCGGGTTCCACCGGATCTCCGTCCTCGACCCGCGTCGAAACGTCGAGTCGACAAGGCTTCACCACCGGGTTGGAACGAGTCAACTCGGACAAGTGAGAACGTACTTGCAAATCTTGTTCTTTCTTGACCAAGATCGGTTTTTGTTCGGTGGATTCGATTGTCTCCGTCGATAAGCCTCGAGAACAGCGAGATTTCGGCGTCGTGGAAGATGTATAACTCGTTTTCTCTTCGTAAAGTTCGTACTCTCCGTCTTCTTCGACGTAGAGCTCTGAGTCATCAAACGACGTCGTTCTGTTTTGAGGTTTGAGTTTTGACCTGAGAAGTCGACTTTTTGGAGTTTCTTCAATAGAACCAGACAATGGTCGGTTCACATGTACTTCTTGAAATTTGTCTGAAAAAAAATTTAGAAACAAGAAGATAAAAAAAAACTCCCTTGCAAAACCACAAATTTCAAATTTGTATGATTTTCGATTATCTTAACAACTTTACCGGTGATTTCAGATCCTTTCAAGACATACTCAGCACAGTCCGAAGGGTAAATCACATCGTTCTCTGCTAAGTCATTCCAAACGAATCCATTTCTATAGCTCCTGATGAATATATATCGATATAAAATGCATAAGTTTAGCCCGCGCCCTAAGATTACAGATTTTGCCTCAGTTTAAAAGCGTTGTTACGCATATTGTGATGGCATGCACTTCCCTCTCAGGACCGTAAGCCGGTTCATCACATCTTCATGATTGAAATAAACAGTTTCCCAAGGATACCGATGCTTCGTATTCTTTGCAAGATCCATCCGAGGCAAGTCTAAATATATAATGATTAATTAATAGTATATATGTGTAACAATATACTAATATACCTATCCATGTATTAAGCTGTTAATGGTTTCTACTCGAGCTAACTTCAATCTCCTAAATACGAAATGAACAGGTGATGGATTTCTTGCGAAGATTGGTGGAATGGAAACAAATGCAGCCAAGAATGTGAAAGGATAATATAATAAACGAATGACAATGTTCGAAATGCCAGTGGACATATTGGTGAATGTATAATGAATATGTACATGCCTAATTAATTTATCTTGGAACGTTGTAATTGGTAAAGGATAGGGCAATGTCTTAATATGCCCCCTTAGGTTAATCTTATTTTGTTTTCGTAAGAAAAAAAAAAGATGAACAAGAAAAGAGGTGACAAATTTGTTTCCAGCAGTCTAGTAAGTTGTAACTATCTTTGTAAAAGCAAATATGTTAATTAAGAAAGAAGTTTTATTTAACGTTGTCTCTGCGTTTTAATATAATAACGGGTTTTCGGTATCTACGTACTGACGTACATTCCGTCTTGTTTGAGAATTATATTAAAATATCGATCTAACAATAAAGAGATTTGTTCGTATGAAAATCTTTGTGAAAGTATATGTTATGCCAATGTTTGGTAGTTACTGAAATAGCTATAGTTTCTAGCTCCTTCTCTTTTATTTCCCATGTTCTTCAATCTATATATGTATATAATATTTATAATTTAAAAGTTTACATTACATTTGGAGACGGTGCATGACAGAGTAAAAACTATATTTAACTATTATTTGTAAATTGTATGTGACACATATTTAGTAAAATAGTTAAATATGTGGATATAATGCGACGAATTTGAAAGTGTTTGATACTTTGATGTATCTAGATTTGTCTCACTTTGTGTACTTGTCTACTGACACTTTGACACATAGCCTCATGGGGTCCAAGTGAAACTAAATTATCAATTCAAATCTGTCTGGGACGTACTTTTCACCAGTATATATAGACGAATCAACCTAACCAAGTTAAACCGCTTCAAAACCACGAATTTATTACTTTTATTCTTGCTCGTAGTGGCAAAGGCAAACTCTGGAAAGTTGGACGTCTTATTTTGTTTTATTGTTATTTTGGGTCAAGTCGTGTTCCTCTTCGTGCATGTCCTTTGGCCCTGATTACGAACGCTCTGTATATTTATTTGCTGGTACGAGACAAATTTGTTATATCGTTTGTAGCAGCAGATTTTGTAGTTGTGTTTCCAATCCATGATAATTAATGCGATAACGCTTCTTTTTTTTTTTTTTTTTAAATGATTTTGTGCATTTCTAATGGATGATATTTTTTCTCTACAAACGTAAATATATCCATTTGTATATTTGGACTTTATATCTTTTAGGTCAGGGACGATAATTTTTTTTTTTTTTGGACAAATGAGTCTCATCCACGAACGCATTGTCGACTTGAACTCTAATCTGACAATATTTAGTTAGTCCCGTTCCAACTTCCAATAACCCGGTTGAAGTAATCAAATAAACTAATTTCGATGTATTGCAGATGATCCATTTATGTAACAATAGAACAACTAGATGTGAAACTTGAAACTGAAACCCTCATACTTCTCAATTTATATCTAGTTGTGTTACAGAATATGACCAAGTGGTGTTTGGTCTACTAGCATACACATGGTCTCTTCAAATAAGTGAGAAATCGTGCTCTCTTGGTTCAAGTGTCACTTAAGAGAAGTTTTGGTTCCGATGGAAAGACATATGGGTCAAAGTCGATAATTTCTCAATTAACCATTAAAATAATCACGATATTGTATTTTTTTTTACAATAATAATGCTTGAAATATTTGGAGTATGTACATAAACTTTAATGATATTTACTTATACAATTGCCTATGCATTACAGTACTATTGTCCGCAAACTATTTAGCCGTAGAATTATAAACGACTTAGACAAATTACAGCACACAAGTAGATAAATTGTACATGTCAAGCCAAATAATCTCTGACTTTCCTACGTTACTGTTTCCTATTCTTACTCGAATTGGTGCTTACGTCTTTTGGAAATCTGACAGTATAGATGGTATATACAGAGACATAATTGAATACATACATATGTACATGTTACATAGATGGACATATATAAGAGTGGCTAGAACATCATCCGATGCATGCACGTAGTCTCTGTGAAAGCTGAGATATGTGTACAAAAGAAAAGTAATAACTATACGTATAGTGTCATAGCAAATCAATAATAGTGGATGGTCATTATTGTCAAAGCTTTTTGTCCATAGCTTTTGGGTGTATAATGCGACTAACTATCACAATAAAGCTGCATGTGTTTTCAATCCCTTTCGATGTAGACATATCACCAATACTCAGTTTTACTAATATATATATATATGTATTCTCATTGTCCATGACCTAGATTAAATAATAACGAAATTACACTAGAAACCCATAAGTTTCCGTATTGAATTTGTGAACGTAGCTATGTAGGATATGATATGTGTAAGGACTAAGAAGTAAGAATCATTGCACCAAAGATGTGGTGGCCTAGTTGTGAAAAAGGGTTTGTTCCCTTGTACTCAAGTTCAAATTCTTTTTTAGTACGGTAGAGTATTTTTTTAAATCGGTAGAGTACTCAAGTTGAAAATCTACTTGTATACTCTAGTTACATCTATCTACCTATACAAGACAATAAAATTGTTTTAAGATCTTGTATTAATAAAGTAACTAAAATCTAAAATAATGGAAAATCTATATATACATTTTTGGAGATATTTATTAAATAAATTCTGAAGTTCCAACTTATTTACGATCAAATGCCATCGACATTAATTATTTAGATTTTTAAAATTAAATCAAATATATTAACATAAAAAATCATTTCCAAAAATCTTAACCTAATATATTAAGCATAACTAATCCTTGACACAATTACATCCATATTCAATTCGATTTCCTAAAAGATCTCAACAATCCCTACATTTAATCGTAGCCATTCAAATCTTAATCTGGTTTTTAATCTTCAATTTTGGTCGTCGGTCATTCGCAATTAATTCAGAAATCCTTATATAGAATTGATTATTATTAACTAATATTTAAATATATATATATATATATATATATATAAAATCAAACTTTTAAATTGATTCAAATTATATGTCTATAAAATAAAATATTATTAAAAATAACAAAATAATGTTTAATTTCACGGGACGAGGTTATATAGTGGGACGGATTTGGATCGATATTAATACGGGACGATATTAATATCACGGATGAAATCTTAAAATTAACAATCAAAATACAATTATACAATCTTAAACACTTAATAAAATAAATAATATTAAAAAATTAATTTAAAATTTAATTTTTTAGTTAAAAAATCGACTTACCGCAGGGTAAAATCTAGTCTATATATACATTTTTGGAGACATTTATAAAATAAATCATGGAATGCTAATTTATTTACGATCAAATGCCATTGACATTAATTATTTAGATTTTTAAAATTAAATCAAAGATATTAACATAAAAAATCATTTTCAAAAATCTTAACCTAATATATTAAGCAAAACTAATCCTTGCCACAATTACATCCATATTCAATTCAATTTCTTTAAAAGATCTTAACAATCCCTACATTTAATCATGGCCATTCAAATCTTAATCCGGGTTTTAATCTTCAATCTTGACCGTCGATCATACGCAATTAATTCAGAAATTATTATATAGAATTAAATATTATTAACTAAAATTTAAAAATATATATATAAAATCAAAATTTTAAATTGACTTAAATTATATGTCTATTAAATAAAATATTATTAAAAATAAAAAAATGATATCTAATTTCACGGGACGGGGTTATATAATGGGACGGGTTTGATCGATATTAATACGGGACAGTATTAATATTACATATGAAATCCTAAAATTAACAATAAAAAAACAGTTATACAATCTTAAACACTTAACAAAATAAAAAATATTAAAAAATATAATATAAAATTTAATTTTTTAGTTAAAAAATGGACATGCGGTGTACAGCGGGGTAAAATCTAGTATGTATACATTTTCAGAGGCATTTTTAATTTGAAATAAATTCTGGAGTTTACAGTTATTTACAATGTAATGCCACTGATATTAATTCTTAAGATTTATTTTTTAATTAAATATATGTAAATTTAATTTGTTTGACAAATATCTAGAGAGAATCTTTTTTAATATCTTGACAATGATCATTTATACTCTTAATTATAGGCTGCATCTAATTATGATTCTAAGAGCATGATTAAAGGCAAGCTCTTATAGAAATCTTAAGCTTTTCTTAACATTTAAAGCAATATAATTTAATCAACTTTGTGCTTTAACTTTAAGAAACGTTCCTTGGCTAAGGAACATTTCTTAGCTAAGAGCATATATGGACAAAATATTCCAGAAATTAAGTTTAAAATATTTATGCTTTCTGTTATTTATGTTATACATTGTATCTCATGTATGTTTTAATTTTTTTAATTTGCAACCATTATTAAATTTTCTATAATTATAAACTTTATTCTATGTTAATTTTTTTTTCTAAGAACCACATTTTAAGAACCTACCATTAATAATACAAAAATCTTAACTCAAAAATACTATCTCTTAACAATCACTTTTATACATATATTACTTAAATATTGCTAAAATGTATTTCTAAGATACTACTAATAATCATGCTCTAATAAACAACAGAACATACTACAAATTCCTTTTTCTCGTCGTGAACATGAGAAATATTTTTGAAGGTTGCAAATACTTTGAGGATGAGAGAGTTTTAGCCTCTGTTTGAGTAATTTTGTAATTTTTGTTATTGTCCCTGTTTGGATCTTTTGTGGTGTATCCATTCTTTTGTATAGGCTATTTGATTTGTTCAAAGGAGTTAGAGTTAGTTGCAGTTTGTGTGAGGTTCTGTCTCGTTTGCAGGTGTAGGTGTGGTTCGAATTTTGTAACTTGTTTCACACTTATGCATTCTAATATAACAACAGATGACCAAAAAAAAGGTTGCAAATACTTTATTTTATATAGTTTCGTAGATATGTCTAAATAGTCTCACCATTTCTAGAGACTCAACAACATAATAAAAAAGAAAATAAATAAAAACTCTAAATCAACTTTTATGTTCTGTTTCACCAAGAACATAAGATGAGTAAGGATATGACTCAAATAGCCCGGACATCGCCGTCGGCGAGGTAGCGTTTGCGGAGAGCGGCACAGCCACGGAGCGGTTCGTCCCTGAAGAAACCCATGGCGTTGGCAAAGTGGCGAGTAGAGGCGGCTCCGTTGGAGCGCGTGAGGATCACGGTGGCGGTGCTTCTGCCAGGATCAGCCTCTTGGCAGCGGGACAGAGGACTGTGAACAAGCTCCGCCAGACATTGCTGGTCCTGTCGGTCTCCTCTGACGGCGACTTTGTATTTCCCATTGGGTCCCGTCACCGCCACCCCAACCAACTCCGATTTCAGTGTCACTCTGTCTTTGCATACTATTCTCACTCTTGCCCCTGTTTTTCATATAACCCTTAAAATATTTTTAAGTGTTTCAAATAAAACAATTGCTGCTTTTGTTTTTACTTGCGATTTCATTTCTATATATAGAATTTTGGATTTTTATACTTATCAAGATAATCTGTAAAATGCAATTAACAAATTATTTAAACGTAAACAAAAAATTGAAGTTTTAGACTTTAAGTTGATTTAATTGAAAATTTACCGAATGGATGGTTTTCTATTTACATGTATACAATGGGAAATATATATATATATATATATATATATATATATATATATATATATATGAGGATAATAAGTACGTAAGTATAAATACGGACCGTGGATATATTTGGTGGCAATTGTCTCGAATCCAAAACGGCAAGTGTCGCAGTAAACACATCCTTCAATGTGGAATGGTGTTCCAACCGCCATGGCCGCAAGTGGGAGCAACGAAACGAATAACACAACGATCACAGGTACCAATGATTTAGCCATCTCCATAAACTGAAAGAACGATATTGTAGATTTTGGAGATTGTTATTAGTGAAGGGGTTTTCTGTTTTATGTGAAAACTATGTATTATATAAGAAGGGAAATGAAGTGCACATGTAGTAAAGAAGGTGTAAGTGTATCGCATCTTGTGCAAATTAAAAGCTTCCTTAGTGTCGGCTGGATCCACTTGCGGCTGCTCCTCCGCCGTACACGGCGAGAGAGTTTGTGTTGCCTTCTACACAAGTCAACTCTTATGGTTCTTGTTAATTCTAGTCTACGTCTCGATCGGACTTTACATTTTTATTTCGACTAATTTATTCGGCATTTGACTTTATGTATATAATTCTACTACTATTTTTAACAAAGTTTTCTAAACTGGATTTATCCCATCCAAGATATTTTTGAAAGTAGATTCTTTGGAAAATAGGAAATCTAGTTTTTGGAGTTTCCCACCAATTTTCAGTAAGAATCTAATATCCAATCTACTTGGGGTTTTCACTTACAATTTGTATTTTCTGTTTTTTTTTTTTTGTAACAAAATCCAAAACGTAAAAGTCAAAATTTAAAATCAAAAAAACTAAAAACTATAATCTAAAAATCTTTTAAAAATCCTCAAACATGCTAAGTCGTATAAGATGGAGCATTATGTTACAAATAGTTCACTTTAGGTTATAAAATAATGAAAATTTTGAAATATTGGAACAATAATCTTTATCGGAAAAAAAATGGAACAAAAAGAAAAGTTTGTTAAATTGAGAGAGTGATGAAACTGCTGGTTAGCTTCGGTCTGACCAGAACGTGCTTTTGTTTCGTCTTAACGTAAGAGTGCATTTGAACACTAACGATTCTCTAGATATTATCTTGTAGGCTGGTTGTACATAACTACATATAGATTATATTTAGTAAAAATCAGATTCGTTAAAGATGAGTAATGTTCACTTTGACTTATGCTTCCATGTTTTTGTTTTTTTTTGCCATAGGACCATTTTCATAGATTTTAAATCTTTGATTGTAATCCTAAATTGTTTTCATTTTCATTGAAATATTTATATTCTTGCAAAAAAGAAAATAAAAAAAGATGATTAATGTTCACAGTGACGTCTGTGTTCCAAAGAAAATACAGTTCTGAAAGAAATATACTATATCTATATGTGAATTATATGTATAATATTTACTGTAATGTCTAAATACATATTTCTTATCATTTAATTTTATAAATGTGGATTAAGGGATTTCTTCGTGGATGACGGAAGTGATGCTGGTCCGAAGAAAATATGGAAGAGGTCGGTCACGTAAACAACAATGAATCTTAATAACTAAGCCTATATATTGGGCCGAAGGTGACCGACATGGGCCCAATAAACCCATTCCAACCATTCGCGTTTATTAATTACGACGAGAAAAAAAACGCACTGAGAGAGCGCCACGTTTTCTTTGCAAAATAGGCCGTAGGCTTCTTCACAGTGAAGCAAACACAAGTTTTAGAGAGAAGAGAAGAACACATACACGCAAGATCTCGATGCAATTCTCTCACGAATAAGGTACAAAGTTTCATCAACCTTTTTGTCTTTAAACAGATAATATTGACTTAAATCTAGTCTACTTATGTATCACACACAAAGTCTCTTGGCCAAAGAGAGAGTATTAAGATATACAAACGCTCGCCCTTATCAGCGGAATAATTACATATCTTTTTTTTTCACAATCATATAATATGTTTTGGATTTTGATTTCAACCGCCGATTAAATGTGGCTAATTAAGCAGCGGGAGAGTCACCGGAAGATTGTCGGAGATTTGTCCTGCAGGTGAAATCTCCATCTCAGCTTCTGCTCCCACATGATGATTCTTCTCCATCTGTACGATAATCATAGGTCAAAATCACTATTCACTTTCTTCTTTTTGTCTTCTATCCAAGGAATATCTTTTTCATACCATCAATTAAGACCCTTGTTTTAAAAATCGCTAGGCGCTAGTCGGGCGCTCGGCATGGGCCTAGCGATTAATCGGAAAATCGGATTAAAATCGGGGATTAATCGGGGATTAGTTTTAGGGTTATTTTAATATTTTTAAAATATATTAATCCAATATTGTAAAAATTTATGATTTTTATTACAAATTTATGATTTTTATTAAAATTTGAACACAAGTTATTGTAAAACATCACAAACTCTCCATTCAAATGATTGAATAACAAAAATAAAAAGTTTTTTTATACTTGCAATCTAAAAAATAATCGGGGTATATAAGATTAGGCGGAAAGTAATCGGATTAGGCGGAGAATAATCGGGTTACTGATTTTTTAGGGGATTAGTCATTAATCGAGGCGGATAGGGTGGGCCTAGCGATTAAGCGGGGAGTAATCGGGGCTAGGCGGGGATTTTTAGAACAGGGATTAAGACTAACAACAATAAAAGCACATAAAGTAGCACTACTACTAGACACTTGGAGTTGGAACTGAGCCAATCGGTTCCAAACCTAAACCATAACAAAAAAGAAACTAATCGGTTCATCAACTCTTTTTTGGTTAAGGGGTGATTAATAATTATTAATATATAAAATAAAGACAACGTTTACACAACCTTCAAGGTAACCAATATTAAACCAAACTAGACCATAACCTGAAAGAGAATCAAGAAATCTTAATGAAACTCTACCAAATTGACTTAACCAGACTATAATAGGTTCATAAATCTCAAAATCAAAATGAACCAAAACCTAAATAAACGTCCCCTTAACAAAAAAAAAAAAAAAAAAAAAAAAACAAGAAGAACCAAAACCTAGTTAATATCCCAACAATTTTATTTAGTAAAATGATATAGCAATAATGTAATTTCTACTCATCATAAACATAAATATATATAATTTACTTTAATTTTTTAGTGTAATTATTAATATAAACTTCATGAACTTTTGTTGTTGTTATAATCCCGACTTCATCTGATATAAATATATAAATAGTTTTAAAAATAAACTTATTATTTTAAAACTAGGGAAATTGTTAAAAATGCCCCTTTTGGTGTGTCCCTTTTCAAAAATGCCCCCTTTAGATGTCCATTTTCAAAAATGTCCCTTTTTAAATCTGAAATTTTTATAAAGTTTTATTAGGTTTATAAGGTACTTATGGATTATAACTACTACTTGAAGACTCGATCCAAGTATTTATAAGGTTTTATAAGGTGTTTTAAAAGGTTTTACAAGTTATTTTAAAGAATTTTTAAGGTTTTTCAAAGGTTTTACAAGATATTTTAAAGGTTTTTAAAGGTATTTAAAATGCATTTATAAGATATTTATAAAGTATTTATAAGATTTTAGATACATAGAAATGTAGTTTGTGTATGTTTTAATAATGTTACATACATATTTGGGTAAATCTTATATTTTTAAGAGCATTTTTTATAAAATTTTAAAAAATGAGCATTTTTGAAAAGTGGCATTGGGCATTTTTGCAAAAGCCCCAAAAAACTATTCACCTTTTTTTTTTTTTTTTTTTTTTTGAGCACCAAACTATTCACCTTTGTTTCCGAATTAAAACGGAAAAGATTTCCCCTAACTCAAACCAGCCCGAATCAAATTTCTGTTATAATTCAGTAGTAATCTCACAAACCCTAATCAAATATACAAACAACCAAAATACCCTAATCTTGAGAAGAATTTTCTAGAATACAAGGCAGAAAATGCAAACTACTGGCTGCCATAAGAAAAAGAAAGTGCTAACTAGTGAATGCTTAAAAGTGCTCTGTCGATATATCTGCAAGCATAAGAGTGTGTATCTGTGTCCATGTAAAGAGCTTACTAGTTATGCATATTTATAGGAAATGTAGCTTTCGTTACCTGGCTAGCCAAAACCTGGTTCTCTTCTTTCAGCAATTTCTCCTGTTTTAAAGATCAACACGTTCAGCAACTACCGATCAAGTTTCTAAACCTAACAACTTTAGATTTTGGATTTCAAAACATATGCATTGGGAAGAAGTTGCAAAGATGTGTGCAAGCTCGTTAAGCAGACTTAGAGAAACAGTGACAACGAACGATAATATATATGATGTACTATAACTTTGGAAGCAAATATCTGACCTTTTCTTTAAGGTTCTCCACAAGCTTCAACATTAGTTCTGTCTGCAACAAATAAAAGCAGCACAGTTGTTATCGGCAAACAAAATTCAGAAAAGAGTAGACATTACGAAATCAACTTACCTTCTTGGCTCTGGTTACGGAGAGGGCAGTCTCAAGGTGTTCCTCTAGTTGAAGAAGAGTTTCGGCACTCACATTATTGACATTTGATCCCACAAGCTTGCTGCATATATTCATAGTTTGACAAAAAAAAAACCTAATTCCTTTGTAATCAAAGGAGGAGAGCAAATATAGTCTTAGTTAGTACTAACCTTTCCACAAGTTCAAGTAGCTCATGGTGTGAACCATAGTTCAGAGCTTTTGACTGAATATCCTGCCCATGAAAAAGGGACAGAAGAAGCGGTAAAAGACAAGGGCTACGAGAATTTTGATATGCATCTGGAGCCACCACCTCATTTTATATTTAGGATCACTCGGTAAACTAATAATAGTAAATTTACTCCTTATAAAACTCCATCTGGGAAAAGATTCAAAATGTTTGTATTACCAAGGCTTTAAGATCATCAGCATGTTGTTTTCCATATCGATCAAGGATCTTGACCAGGCTGGAGAGATGACAAATAAATAAAAATATGTGAGGATCAAAACTACTATATCTAACCCTTGAAAAGACGACTGGAAACTATGAAACATTTATATGGCATCAGAAGAGACATTTGGAGACAACACCTTAATTTTTACACATGTATATTATATATAACACCACTATTATATTCTTAACATTTCAGAAAAAAACAATAATCTTAGTATTCATGCTTAAGCAGTGTTTCTATATAATTATTGATACAATATAAACATGTAAACGCAGCCTCAATCTTAAATGGAAACAAGCAGTTGAGGCTTAAGAGAGTGTGTACACACACATCTATTTTTTGTTTGTTACAGAAATCATATACTTATGAAATTATATACATATACACCTGATGAGCCACAAAGTGATGACATTGAAGTAAGCTGACGTCCACTACGTATGAGGAAGCCAAATTCCAAGTAAATGCATGGACTGAGTCTTACGGAATCATATTTCTATATAATTTCCTGTAAATAATTGAAAGACACTTCCCTAAAAATAGAAAACAGTGGAAGACTGCTTGCAATTCATTTGCAACTTGTATTATTCTAATTGCAACCTCTATCAGAGCTTCCATTTTGGTTTTGATCCATACTACAACTTTTAGCATCAAAACAACACATATCTTCTTTACAAATCGTGGTATCAATAGCATTATAAATCAACCTATTTACCCTCTATATTCTATCATATCCATTTCCTTATGAAATTTGATCGGGACTACGAAACAATGGTTTAGAAAAGAATTTAAAAAAGCCTCTTCATGAGTTCATTAGTAAGCTCGTGTCAAAACGGTGACATCAGCTATTTGTTTCAAAGTAATACCATATCAACATATACGAGAAAACTTTTCGAATTTTTCAATGAACCTTGAGGACAAGGTTCTTTCTAGCGATATCGCTAGTATTGATGAGCCATAACATGATCATGATGATGTGGCGGTAAGCAGATGACCATAAGTATATATGAGGAATCCAAACTCCAAATACATGGACCGAGTCTTAAACAAACTCATATTTCTATTTTATGTTTTTTGCAAATAATCAAAAGACTCTCCTAAGAATATATAGGAAGCCGGTCTTCGTATTTGTATTTTCACTTTCAATTTATTCCTCGTTTGTAGAAACGGTGAGGTTCCAATTTCCTATATTTAAACCCCAAATTCAAGCAATAAAAGTAAAGAGTTTTCTGCCATTGAAGTTACACTAACTTATATTACTAGGAAACCTATCATACCTATATATAAATATATCTTCTATAGAAGGAAGCGACTAAGACAGATAAAACTAAACTACATAATGACCTTATACAAGACCCAACAAATTTGACAACACTTCCACTAATTCATTTTTTTTTTTTTTGTTAATAGGTATCAGTTCCATTGTGAAGTCAAAACTAAGTATGCAAAAATGAGTTACTGAGTAACTATTTCCACGTTCTAAAAGGCTCCTTCTTTATCAAATCATAACTAAGACCAGGAGTTCTAGTCAGGTGTCTCGACTATTCCAAGGCTGGACCAAACTTTCAGTATATAAGGGGTGAACAAATCCTAAGTATGCATCAAGTGAGAATCGGCCAGCGATCTTGACCAACATGGCCAAACGACTACAACCACTTGGTTAATATATTGGAGGGTTGTAGTAATTAAACACTACACCAGCAATTTTGACAACTTATAGGATTATAATGATTCATTATAGATACGTTCCAAAGAGGTTCTTATTTCTTATATGAAGACAAGTTTTGAGGGATTTCCAATTTCCTAGAGGCACCAAAGAAACAAGGCTGTGTTATTGACAATTTCTATGACAAAAGACACAAGATACAAAGGTTGTGTGATTGTCGATTTTCACAACAAAAGTTACAAGGTAGTGGATTCAGATAATCACCAAGTAATAGGTCCACGACAAAGATAGGAATTCATAGAAGATCAACAAATAGTCTTATATAGTCAATAGCTGCAGAATGTGGTATATACATTATTCAGCATTAACCCCATATCAATCCTATAGATCTCCCGTAGGTGCATTGCATTGCATACAAATCCGAGAGATCCAATGAATTTTAATCACTCTGAAAAGAGAGACATTAATCATTAGTCAGCTCTTCAAAAACTTAAGGAATCTATAAAGCAAAGTAACAATCACAGATGGCTTGAAACTTCACTAAACAACATCGAGCACGCATCAGATCGTATCAAACAAATCGTGAAGGACATGCAAATTATTTCCAAAGAAAATAATAAAATCCATGCAGAAATTTTTTTATAAGAAATATAGAGAGAGAAATGAACAAAAGTTAGAAGCTTTATCTTCATCACGACATTGTTCTTCCTTAAATTAGGTTATCTCATGTATCTCTCATGGTCATAGAAAAAGACACTAACAAACACAGAACCAAGAAACAACAAGAGATTCGCCGGAAATAAATCGAAATCCAGATAAGGAAGAGGCGTACTTATCGCCGGAAGAGAAGCTGTAGAGCTTGCCGGAAGCAGAGACGACGAGAAGAGCGACGGATGCGTCACAGAGAACAGAAAGCTGACGAGCTTTCTCGATGAGACCGTTGCGACGTTTGGAGAAGGTGACTTGTCGGCTACTTTTGTTCTCAATTCGCTTGATTTCTAGTTTTTTTCTCCCCATGGCTTCTGTCTCCGAGAGGGCTTTATTCCCTAATTTGATCCTCAGGTTGGGTTCGAAGTCGCCGGAGATACTAAGCGTTTTTCTCTTTCCTTTTTTTTTTCTATTTTTTTTCTATTTTTTTTATTTCTTTCTATTTTTTGTGCCTATCTACTTTTTCTTCGTTGGGCAAGATTTTTTTTTTTTTTGGGGTAAACGAGAGTGATGAAAATAAAATATGAGACTAAAAACGTTGCGTTTTGAAGACAAGGTAGCCACGTGTACCGCATGACGAGCGCATTTGCTGCTCTTGCATTACCTTTCTTTGGTAAATGAAAACTATCTACCCTCCCCTGCGGATTCAACTATCGTAGAAAGAGCTCTAAACCCCCACTCTCAGGGCCGGTCCGCAGGACAGGCCACCCAAGCGGTGGCTTGGGCCACCACAATTTTTTTTTTTTTTTAAGGTTTTTTTTTTTTTTTTGGTAAAAAGGCCCATAAAATAAAAATATTTAGTAGAAATTAAAGTTTTTTTCGAAAAAAATAAATAAAATAGGGCTCAAACAATTAAATTTGAATGTTATAATATTCAAAATATCATTATTTTTGTATAATTTACTAAAAATAGGTCCAAAAAAAAATTTAGCCCTAAAACTTATAAATATATTAGGCCTCATTTTATTTTTCGTGTAGGGCCTCACAAATGCTCGGACCGGCACTGCCCACTCTCCGTCATCTTTGAACGCTGTCGTCGACATATCGAAACCTTAAAACTGGTTCTCTTTATCGCTATTGAACTCTTCGACTTCTCAAAATTTAACATTTGGCAGCTATAGTACGGCGTTACCGAAATGTTTGTTTGGCTTCATTAGAAAAGTTACTACCACACACCAATATCCTTACAAAATCTCTCATCGGTTTCACCCACTTTTTGCCGCACTTTTTGTTATTTGATATAGCTTCACTTTTTTTTGTCTTTTTTTTTTGACATCAAATCTCCAATTCATTAAATTGTAGTCAAAATACTCTCTTTTAGGAGAATATATCAGAAACCATTGAACTTACATGAAAGAAAAGAAATATACATGTTGATGTATTTCAAAAGAAGCACAACTCCTCGACAAAAATACGAAAAGAAAACGCTAGTACTATAAATTAGAAAATAATGAGTTCCACCATAAAGGTAAGTCATTCAAACTGGCGGAAAGCTAACCGATGACATGTCGTCAGCCACCTTAAGATACATTGCCTCACGAGAATAACAAGATTCTATGGGGTTTTAACAATCTTAACTTGCTCCTAGAATGTTGAAGTACTTATTCCCTGAAAAGAGAGGTCGCAAGTAGGGCGAGATAGAACTCATGCGGTCCAAAGTCCGAATCCGGCGCCTAAGAGAGAACACCAATTCCGCATTTCTTCAAAAAATGATTTTTGAGTACAACAGAAAAATACATGTATCTTGGACAAGGGGGTCGCAGATAAGACAAGAGAGATCTCACAGTACAAAAGCCGATCCCAACACTTATAAATCTTGAGATAAAGAAACGAGAACCGTCGATGTCCTTAACAAGAGAATTTAAAATATTGGTTGAAAAACAAAGGGGAAAGTTTACTACTGTATTAATTATGTGGCAGATAAAAATAGATATCGTATTTTTAATAAAAACTTAATACGAAAAGTACTTCTTCGAATCGATGGGTGAATGGGCATATGATTTATATCCAATCATCCCATCACCTCCTTTCCCTATTCTGGATATGTCAAGCCCATTATCTTTTCTTCAAAGCAAAAAAAAAAAAAAAAAAAAAAACTCTTTTTCAAGGCATCTCCATGTTTTGGAGTTTTAATTTATATATCAATGTTTAATTCTAATATTATAGTTTCAAGTTTTCAACTTTCAATCTTCGAAAACGACAAAGATATATTCCCATACAATTAGATTGAATTTACGGTTTTGCAACTCGAATAATACGGATTTTGCCATTTCCACTTCTCTTTAAACAACTGGTCAATTAAAGTGGAGGAAATATATTCCCCAGAGTAAAACAACAACATGCAGTCGTTAAAATTCATTACCATTTATTTACTGCTTCTGTCTGTAGCAGTAAAAATACTAGTCCATAATCATTCGTTACTCTATAGTATTAGACTCTTTTTTATTTCTTGATTTGCTTCGATGATGACATTAAACACGTTCTCGGTATACATTTCACCTTCACGATCGATCTTTCTTCTTCCTTCTTGATCGTCTCCTTAGCCATCTCCATAATCTTTGATCTGTCCAAATATTTAGTCAGATCACAATTTTTGTAATTTGAGTTGACTCTGTGTGTACTACTAACCTTTCCTCGTTGAACGAGTTGGATCGTCTCAACGATGGTTCAGCCGTGACTCGTTCCTGACTCACCGACTCGACGATGCTTCCGCTGAAATACTCTTTCTCCTCCGCCTGAGGATTCCCGAACCTTGGATTCTCCGACATGAACCTTATCATCTCACGTTCGTCATCGACGACAGTCTTCTTCACAATGTTCTTGCATAAAACTCCTTTTCGAAGATTCTCTTCTTTTTGTCTCGGATTCATCACGCTCGGTGCGTAGTACTTGGTGGCGGCGATGTGCCCGCACGATATCATCTGGAGCCACATCGACCCACGACCCGATCCGGGTTCCACCGGATCTCCGTCCTCGACCCGCGTCGAAACGTCGAGTCGACAAGGCTTCACCACCGGGTTGGAACGAGTCAACTCGGACAAGTGAGAACGTACTTGCAAATCTTGTTCTTTCTTGACCAAGATCGGTTTTTGTTCGGTGGATTCGATTGTCTCCGTCGATAAGCCTCGAGAACAGCGAGATTTCGGCGTCGTGGAAGATGTATAACTCGTTTTCTCTTCGTAAAGTTCGTACTCTCCGTCTTCTTCGACGTAGAGCTCTGAGTCATCAAACGACGTCGTTCTGTTTTGAGGTTTGAGTTTTGACCTGTGAAGTCGACTTTTTGGAGTTTCTTCAATAGAACCAGACAATGGTCGGTTCACATGTACTTCTTGAAATTTGTCTGAAAAAAAATTTAGAAACAAGAAGATAAAAAAAAACTCCCTTGCAAAACCACAAATTTCAAATTTGTATGATTTTCGATTATCTTAACAACTTTACCGGTGATTTCAGATCCTTTCAAGACATACTCAGCACAGTCCGAAGGGTAAATCACATCGTTCTCTGCTAAGTCATTCCAAACGAATCCATTTCTATAGCTCCTTATGAATATATCGATATAAAATGCATAAGTTTAGCCCGCGCCCTAAGATTACAGATTTTGCCTCAGTTTAAAAGCGTTGTTACCTTTTACACGACCAAGCATATTGTGATGGCATGCACTTCCCTCTCAGTACCGTAAGCCGGTTCATCACATCTTCATCAAAACAAACACACTTTTAAAAACCGGCCAATCACATCACCGTTGATGTATACAAAACAAAAATCGAAACTTTAGCATAAATTGAGATCAAAACACTAGTCAGAGAAAGACCCATGGACTATATAAACAGAGTATAGTGATCTCTCTCTTTCTGTTGTTTTGGGTATTGACCTCTTAACCGGAGAGGCTGGTTAACCGGAGAAATGACTTCGATGAAGTGAGGGTGTTCAAGGTGGCCATTTCTAGTGAGATAATAAACAACTTGGACTCTTCTGAAAATGGGTTTCTTAGTCTTGACCTCATCTTCAAGTTCTTCTTCATCTTGATGATGATGATTCAAAGACCTTATTAGCCTCTCTGGACTTTTGTTGCTCTCTCTGCCTCTTCTGCATCTTACAGCTTCCATCTTTCGTGTCTATAATGTCAGGGACAAGAGATGAGAATTATTTAACACACAGACTGTGTTCTTTATATATAAAGATAAGGGAATGTATTTGTCTCTGTGTGTGTGTGTGTGAATTGGCTCTCTCTGTGAGACAGCAGAATTGGCATTAGAGATGAGCCAAACCAGAACAGACAACGACTTGGCTTTACTTTCTACCTGATGGTACAATGGGATAACCCGGTCCAGTCTTAATCAATCCAGCTCTGATTTTATCTTCATTTTAATTACTATATAATTCCGGTTCAACCTTATTCTTAGGGTGGACATACATACCAAACCAAAATTTAGACCAGGTTGCTGCTTTATATGGGCTAAAACCGTTCTAGCACCCGGTTCGGTCTTGATATACTTAGACCAGATTGGTCCTCATGGTTAGAAGATTTAGTTGAGGAATTGATGTGTCATGTCATTAAAGATATTCTTTGATTGTCGAATATTAATTAGTAAACCTCATTTAATTTGTTTCGTTTGCCTAAATATGGATAAAAAAGATAGAAGCTAAAGTAGTTTCAGAGACGACGATGAGTCAAGATCATTGTGCTTCATATGGAAGCTTGACTTTTAATGACCTCTTCTCATATTATTAATTAAATAATGTTCTGATATTCCATTTGTTTTTAGCTAACCACAATATTCTTCCAAGTCTTTAAGATAAAAAACAGAGCTCCAGAATCTAGGTAAAAACTAAAGAGAACACGTGAGGCTTGTTTACTGCTTTTGTGTACTGTCTCAATACATCCGTTAAAATCAGACCAATATGACACATCAATACAATAGGGTAAAAACTTTAATGGACGGTTTTCAATTAATAGATCTCTTTCAAATGATTCTAACTCAATAATATTTTCGAAATCCACACTATATATTAAAAATCAACTTATGTTAAGTTAATCAAAGTTGAAAGTACAACATGAACAGTTAAATTTCATTAGTCGTTGTTTTGGGGGTACTTAATGAAACAGATAATGTGGATGTGTTCTCTTAACCCATTTGCATGGACTGGGCGTAGAGTGGCCCATCTACTTAACTTCCTCACCAGCCACCAAACAAAACAATGCCATTTTCTAAATAGTTGTGTCAGCTTTTTATGACCTCTGAATAAATCTTATAATAAATTATGAGTTCATAGAATTTTTTTTAAAAAAGGGGAAACGTACAAATGAACATTAAATTTTTGAAAATGATTGAATAATTTTAATTAATTTCGAAAATATTCATATGATCAACATTGATCTTTAGAAACGCTATAATAAATACTATGAATGAACATCGTTCTCTACAAAATACGAAAACGTCTATCTACATAAATACATGTATGCATTTGGGTTACACAATGATATAGTATATCTCAAATTTCTCCGTCTGTCCAACGCAATGATATTAGATATATGAGAGTTTTATTTCTTAGATTGAAGTAGTTGTAATGTATTGATCTTTTACCATTTTAAAATTTTAGTTGAATAATAATAAAGTGCCTTGTATTTTAGTTGAATAGTAAATTTATAAGTTTGTATTCGTAGTTGCAGCTACATAATGTAGGCGCACGGGTAGTTGCAACTATATATACCAACGGTTACCAAGTGCGTTTTCTGCAATTTTTAACCTTCCATTATTAGAAATACAAGCTTGATACAAAACAAAAATAGTAGGTAAGAAAAAAATCTAATGGGCTTAAAAGCCGATATAAAAAGCCCAAATAAGGCCCATATAATCATCCCATTTTCACCCACCATTGTTTCCGTTGGAAGCTCTTTGAAAAACTCCCTTCGAATTCTCCGTCCCTTTCTCTCTGTCTCTCGAGATCGAATCGGCAATGGCTGCTTCCAGCTCCGTTTTCACAGCCTCTCCGTCGCGAAATCTTGTATCTATCCCTCTTCATCAGTCGCTTTCTCCGCCGTTGATCAGATCCAGCTCCGTCGCGTTTCGTCCCAAGAGACGATCCAGCTCACTCGTCTTGTGCTCCAGTGATGAATCAAAGAGCACCACAGAGAAAGAGATCCCAATTGAACTCAGTAGTTTCCCTCTCATTGCATTCTGATTTACAAATCAAAATTTTCAACTTTGTCAATCTTTGATTTGTCAGGGTATGAGGCGTTTCCGACAGTGATGGACATCAATAAGATACAAGAGATTTTGCCTCACAGGTGATTTTTGTTTTATATAAAGCACTGTTCTTTTTATAGCTGAAGTTTGCATTGTTGTGATTCCAATTTCTCAAATCTGAATTTTGTTGTGTAGATTCCCATTTCTGTTAGTGGATAGAGTGATAGAGTACACGGCTGGTGTATCTGCGGTAGCTATTAAAAACGTTACCATTAATGACAATTTCTTTCCTGGGCATTTTCCTGAGAGACCTATAATGCCTGGAGTTCTCATGGTTGAGGTATTTGCATTTCCCTCTTCTCTCTTCTTCTTACTCTAAAAGGTTCAGTCTTTTTGCATATATTCATAGTTCATGAGAGACATTTAAGTTTGCTCTGTTTCTTGCTTGCTGAAGTAGAATGTTTGGTTGGTTAGTTGGTTTTGAATTGTGATTATGGTGAAATAGAATGAGGCTGCTATTTGTGGTCCGGTTGAAATTTTTTGAGGAAAACTAAAGGTGAAGGCTTTGCTTTAAGTTTCAGTTTTAAGGGTGGGTTGATAGAGCTCTCCAAAGCTTGAAATTTAAGAAAGGGACTCGATTTGAGATTTAAGAATAAGATAAGCTGTTCTTAAGGATATCTTGGATCATAGCTTTATACTGTGACAAAACCAGTACTTTCTATCCCAAATGTACATGGAATGAATGATTTGGAGGCTTTATATCGTTTCTTCATAGATTTTCATCCATTAGTTTCTGTTTTTATTTTACACAACTTGTTCATAATGATAACATTTCAAAGCCGTAAAACTCTGTTTCGTTTCCATAGGCCATGGCTCAGGTGGGAGGTATAGTGATGCTACAACCAGAAGTGGGTGGATCTAGAAGCAACTTCTTCTTTGCTGGCATCGACAAAGTCAGATTCAGAAAGCCAGTGATTGCAGGTGATACTCTGGTGATGAGGATGACGCTTGTGAAGTTGCAGAAGCGGTTTGGGATAGCGAAAATGGAAGGGAAAGCATATGTAGGGAATTCTGTTGTATGTGAGGGAGAGTTCTTGATGGCTATGGGAAAAGAAGAGTGATCACCACGCCTTTGCTTCTTCTTCATACGGGCCTTGTGGCTGCTAATTAGTTGTCACTTCCTAAGTTGAGTCTCATTTCTATCTTCAATCTATGATGTTTGTTTGCATATTATGATTATATTAAAAAGGGAACTTCATTTTACTGACTAGATTGCCCCAAATAATTTTTGTTTTCTATGGTGACCATTTAGAAGCAAAGAATGAATATAACCTCAAGCATGTGAAACCAAAGCATCCTTGATTATATTGTTCGGAATGATCACAAATCAAATTCTTTAAATTTTTACAAAAGAGCAAATTATATGGTTGAAAGGATTTATGGAACAGAATAACCATTTTAGTTTTGAAAAGCTACGATATAACGTTTAATTTGAAATGAGATAGAAGACAATTCCAATTCAGCGCGAGACACCATTACATATTTGGCTGGAGAAGGTAACGAAACCAGATAGATGACATTTGTAAATGAGAAAGAAAAAATAAGAAAAGGAACACTTACATTTTAGAAATGTAATTATTAAATAAACATAAAAAGCGAAAAGCTAAGAAAGCGAGTCTTGATCGATTGATTGGTCTCGTCTCTTTGATCACTTGTACTCGAGAATCATGTTGTTCTCAGGAGCAAGTCCAACACAAGCTCTGAGTATGTTCTCAAGCATTGCACGCTGTTTCGACAAAGCATTCACAACTGGCGTACCAGGAGGGACCTGCATACATTTGAATGAAAGTGATGTTAAAGAACGTCGCTAGTACGATGTTTTATTTTGTTTTTGCTTACCAGTGGTGCCTTTGAGAGGTAACTTAGGAGAGTAGCCACCGGATGGAAAGAATGGAACTTTCCCTGCAAGAAACCAACAAATCAAACTCACAACCAAATCACTTTGGATAATCACTGAACTATATAACGATTTCGCAGACGATAAGAAACCTCGGTTTCGGCCATGAACTGGATCCGAGTAGTGAGCTCAGCAAGAAGAACAAGGTCCAAAATAATTGGAGCAGCCAAGAGAGAGTCTTCACAAGTGTTGTGCATCACAATCGTGTTCTTCCCTCCCATGAATATCTCTGATGTGTACTCGTCCATTGCTCTCTTGCTATCTCCTACATATGGCACATACTGCAACACCATCCAATAGTATAGTTTATGTTAATGTGTTTTGCTAGATGGGGTAATTATGAATAATAGTAAAATAAATCACCTTAATGACCACAACGTGGTCAGGGTGTTCACCAGGCTCGTACAAAATTCCGTTGCTACCAACCATATCGTCCACGACATTGCTCTTCGATATCTCCTTTGACCGGAATGTTTGCGGCGCTGACAAGTTCATGCCGTCGTTGTTCCCAAGGTGGTTGTAACTCACAATCGACGTCGGCTATATATGTTCATACATATAGATAAAATGCAATTAATTTCGTTTTGTAACGTTACCTTGTTAATAAATTTAATTAAGAGATTAATGATCGATCACATACTTTGATTCCGGCACCAACAAGGAAATCGACGAGGACAGACTTCATCTTGGTCTGACCACTCTTGAAGTCATCACCACCGATCAAGCAGTTTCTCTCGATGGCCAATTCAATAAGCCCTGTATGCAAAATGTGATTAACTACAGATAATTGAACGTCATTAATACTATCTAGATATATAGTTTAATTTAATTATTACCAGGGACAAAAGTGTTTTGTGGACTTCCATTGATGAAAGGAACGTTCTCAAGAACACAAGCAATGGCGTAAAGTGTAGAAGGAGAAATCTCAGCCTCATCCTTTTCCAAAGATGACATTAGATTCTCCGTCGTGTCGTTAAGACCAACCACCACATTGCTGTATCTTTCTGTGTTCGCCGTCCACAGTACCACCACTTTATCCACCTTGTTTTTCTCTTTGAACTCCCTAATTTATATTTTAAAAAATTTCAATATCACACAAATTGTCTTGTACTTGACGATCATGATACATCTAATGAATCTTGGAGATCTTATTTGCTAA